GGGGGGCAGGCGGAGGAGAAGAACGGGAGTGGGGGGGAGGGTAGGAGTTAAGAGCAGGTTGGGGGCTAGGAGCATGTGCTGCGAGGGCAGGTGAGAGATGACAGAGAAGAAGGAGCGACTTTTTTACTTCTTTGCTGCGTTCCGGAAGAAAACAACAAAAATGAGGAGCGTATGGGTAGGGAGCAAGGGCCCAGCAAGGGCCTGCCTCCCAACCACTGCAACCCCAGCACCCACCTGCCCGCACCCACCCGCTTCAACACCCCCTCTCACCCCCCCACCTGCACCCCCTCTTCTTCTCACCTGAACGCCGCTGTCTTGCGCCTGGTTGCGCACCCCTCCCAGGACCTCCATCACACACGCCGTCTTGCCGGTGCCCGGCACCCCGCAAATGTACAGCACACCCGGGCTGTCACCGCCTGGGAGAGAGGTGGGGGGTGGGGGGTGAGATGAGATGAGGGACGGGAGGGGTACCGGTATACTATTATATAGCCATGCATACGTAGACAAGAGCCAGCAACAGCACATGCCCACATAGGAAGGTAACCACCTTCCTATGTTGTCACCTACAGTTGACAGGCCGCTGCGCCCTTGAGGCACAACAAACTCCAAACCCAAAGTTTCCAACACGCCGCCCCCATCCTGCCGCCCCCCCTCCCTCACCCTCTTCCACCGCGTGCCCAATGAACCGCCGCAGCGCCCCCTTCTCCGCCTCGCGACACGGCAGCTCCCCGGACCGGTTGTTCAGCGCTAGGGCGCGGCGGGCGGCGGCCAACGGACCCACGGGTCCGCGCTCCGGAACCGTCGCGGCGCCCTGATCCAAGAGCAGCCCCGAACCGTGCTCCTGTGGGGGTTGGCCGGTATGCGTTTTTGTGCGTGTTAAGAAAACTGGCCGCGAGGCATGGGGACGGGAGGGACATGGGCAACCCCCCGAAAGTTAAGCCCCAGCGGCTACGAGTATTTGATGAGATCCATCAAACGAGGATCGTCAAGTGTGTGTGCCGAATGCACCAAATGCTCCTCCTTCCTCCCAACTCCAACAGCCCTTACGTCGATGATGGCCTTGTACGAGTGCGCCCGACCGGCTGCCGAGCGAGTGCGGGTCTGGGTGCTCAGCGGCTGCCCGGGCCGCGGCTTGCGGATCACCCACCCGTCCAGCGTGTTACGCTGCAGGAGGGCGGAGAGAAGGGAGAACGGGAGACAGTGAGCGATACATCGTGACAAGAAAGAGTGCAGACAGGGGCATCCAGTAGAGGACGTCGCCGCGACCACCTCCGCTCCCTCAACCTCCAAGGTCCTACGGCGCTTTGCTTTCCCAATTCCTCCCTCCCTCCCTCACACACACTTCGCTAGTCGCGTTTCCGTGGCAACGTCATCTTCCGTATCACAGTACGTTCCGGCTCGCGGCCAGCTTTCTTAACACAAACAAACACCCCTCTCCCAACCTCACCGGCTTGTACTCCGCATCCCGGTCCTCCTCCACCTCACTGCTCTCACTGCCGCCGTCGCTGCTGCCGGCGCCTCCACGACCCCGCCCCTTGCCGCCCCGCCCGCCACTGCCCTGCCCCTTGCCGCCCCCCCGGCGGCCGCCCGCTGCAGGCACCGCCGCTGCCGCCGCCGCGCCCCACTCCGCATCATCATCGCTGGCCGCCCCCTGCCCCTCCTCGTCGGAACCCAGACGCCGCCGGAAGCGCTACAGCAGGAAGGTCGGGTAGGTTGGGTAAGCCAGCCGGCTGGGGTAAGAAAACGACAATAAAACAACAACGATCTGCCGTACAACTCACCTTCCATTTGTCGTCGTACTCGTACTCGCACACATACACATCCGCGCCGGGCGCCTCCTCGAACCGCTCGGGCGGCACCACCAGTGCCCGGCCCCAGATACAGCCCGGGTCCTCCAGGTGCTCCGCCACACCCAGAAACACCTCGCGACTGTGGTGGTGCTTCTGCATAGGGGGGGGGGGAGATGAAGGGCGAGGTGAGATGATGGAGGGTCAGGAAGGAACTGTCTCATTTCCTTACCCGCCAACTCCCTTTCTCTACCTCACAACCCCCTCCCTCTCAGCCCCCCACCTGCTCTGCCCCACCCACCCCTCCACTCCCGCACCCCCCCCCTCGACTCCCCCCCACCCACCCACCTGGCGACCCAGATGCGTCCCCTCCGGCTTCGTGTAGTGCCGCACCAGCAGCTGCACCTCCCCCTGCCTGTCCCGCATCCATCCACACACCCGCGCCAGACCCAGGATCTTCTCCCCAAACAGAAACGCCTGGCAGCACGTGTTCAGCTTCCGGCCCTCAGCAGCCGAGGTGGCGGGCAGTACACCGCTCTCGCAATCGGGGCACACCCAGTCACCCTCGGGGAGCTTCTTTAGCGGCGGGCGCAGGCAGCGGAAGTGGAAGCCGCGGAGGCAGCGGTCGCATTCCACCATGCGAGCGGGGTCGGTGTTGCGACCGCAAATGGCGCACTCCTCGTCCTCCTCCTCGTCCGGGAGCTGGTCAACGTCATCGGTTTCGACCACGTACACGTCATCCCCGGCTCGGTACTCCTCCCCGTCGATTTCCCAGCTGCTGAGGAAGCGAGGGGCGGAGGAGGAGGAGGTACCGCCGGCGCCTCGGCGACGTGCGGGTGCAGTGGTGGCAGTGGTAGTGGTGGCTTTGCCGCCTTTGGGCGCGGTGGCGGGCCCGGTTGCGGCTTTGCTGGCGGTGCGGGCGGGGACCTTGGGAGCCGTGACGGCTTTGCGTGTCGAGCGACGGAGGGTTGTAGTTGTGGTTGCTGGGGCAGCATCACCGTCAGCCTCTTCACCGTCGCTGCTGAGCGTGTTCTGCTCGTCGTCGTCATCGCAGCCGGTGCGGGATGGGTTGCGGCGTTTGCGGCCGCGGGTTGCCGCGGTTGCTGCTGACTGAGTGGCGGCAGCTGTTTGTGCTGCTCGGGCCTTTGTGCGTTCTGTGGCAGCTGTCTTAGGAGTAGTCAATTGGGTGGTCGCGACGGTCTTTTGCTGCGCCTTTTGAGCAGGACCTGGGATGGAAGATAGGGCGGTGTATGGTTATAAGCGGCCAGAAGAGGGAGAAGAAGAATGTATGCTAGGATATACGAATGTATGCAAGGCTATACCATGAAGGCAGGGATGTGGGCATAGACAGCCAGCGGGACCTATTTCAGGATGCCGATAGCGTAAAAGCTGGAGCAGGCAGCAATGAAAATATTCTTAAGCTGCTGTGGGAAAGCCTTTGGGAGTAGGCGTGCGTCAGCCGCGCGACGGTGTGCAAAAAATGGCCATACTATTGCCTTGGCAAACTCACCAGGTCCTTTGCATACAGGAAAGACTTCTGTAAGACGTGACTGCTTTGGTGGTTGCGGGGCATTCGCAGCTTGCTGAGCGCCACCAGTTTCGAGCCATGGCTTGCTGTTCAGGGCTGTTTCTTTAGCAGCCCTCGACGGCCGCTGAGCGGTGCTCATTCACACCGGCCTGTCACAATACCTATATAACAGTCGATAGTAAGTATGCTTACACAGCCCGAAGAGTTAATTTTCCCGTTGGTTGCAAGGAGCAGAAGAAGAGTCAATTATTAATGTGGAGAGGAAAGCTTGCCAAAATGTTACAGTACCAAACTATTGGTATGTATAATGTCACTCAGTAGTACAGAGCGATCGCTGCGACATGGGCCTCTGCTGTAGCTTTCGCGCCTGAACGAAACCTTTTTTGGATTTTAATTGCATGGGTCTCTGCCTCCACCACGGTAACTCATTATGCATTATTAAAACAGCAAATATATATCCAGTGCAACAAAAGGAAAGCTGAGTACGTGATTTGTGTAAAAAGGACGGAACCAAGGCAAGGAATCCATCCATGGAAGGCACCACAGCCTCGAATAATGATGCGCTTCTCTTCCATAAAAAGATACCACCGCCAATTCCCTGTATGCGTAGGCCTACTCCTGGACGTTCACAACTCCGGGCATCGGGCAATGCCCTACTTGTTACCCTAGACGGCTAGCTTGTAGGACCTTCCTAACAACAATAAGTGTGCCAAATTATAATCCCATGCAGGTATCAGTATGTCACAAACCTCTACACTCCTAAAGCCTCTCATTACCACCCTCCGTCCCATGATTCAATGCCCCAAGCCTCCCACCATGCTCCTTCTATCCTACCATTCCCCATCCACCCCATCGCTGTCACCCTCGCTATCACTTCCCTCGCCGCTGCTTCTAAACATGTCATCGCAGTCCTCCGGGCCGCCCGGTGGGCGGTCCACTCCACTCGCGTCCAGCACTCCAGGGCCCAGCAACCGCTCCCAGGCCCTCAGGTCCGAACTCCGAGCGGAGCAACGGACTAGCTCCATTGACTATCATGTGGGGGGAGGTGTCCAGTTGGAGAGGTGTCATGCGGGGGTAACATTAGGTGTCATGCTGTATTATGCCATGTCTGTCCGCGCCATGAAGGGTGCCAGGTGCCGTAGGTTCTGATGGTGGCACAGCCGCGATCGCGTGCAGTAATGTTCGTACGATAAACCGCCAACCGCCGCCAGTTGGGGCATCAGACCAATCAGACCAACGCGTCAAGATGGTGCCGTTGTTGGGATGGGTTGGTCGTTGGCATGATGTGGATTTAACGTCCCCCGCCCTGAGCCCCTATACGACAAGCCCCTATACGACATCGTCCCAAGAAGCCCCCCTCCCTCCCTCCCTCGCAAACACAGCAGTCCACCCACCACCCCTCCTTCCCACCCACCTGCAGCCCCGGCAGTACGGCATGTAGCGCCGCCAGATCCCCCCGCACCAGCTGCATCTGCTTCACCCGCAGCCGGGTGACCTGCCGGGGGGGCGGGTTGGATTGGGGCATGCAGGCGGGTTGGAGGGGCGGGGGCCGGGTTGGAGAGCAGGCAGGCGGTTTGAGTTGGAGCGCATGCAGCGTATCATGCAGACAATACAATGCAGTACAACGCAGACAATACACGTCAGCCCCACGCCATTCGGGCGGGCTGCGCAGTCCTTCCACGTCAGCCCCACGAAGGCTTCCACAGCCACCACAGCACCACAGTGCCACCTCTCGACGTACGCGTACGACACCGTAACCCGAGGAACCTGAGGAACCCCGCCCCCACATCCCCCGCCCGCCACCTCCCCCCTTGGGGACTCCGTTGCTTCACCTTTCATTTATCTCCCCGCCTTGTCCCCCTTACCTTCCCCGCTAGCCCCTCCAGCTCCCCCATCCACCCCGCGTGCGGCCCACTCCACCGCAGCCCCGCGTAGCTCTCCCGCAGGAAGGCGAAGGGCGAGGGCCGCAGCGTCAGCGGGTGGCGCCGCCAGTCGGCCTCCCCCAGCACCCGCAGCAGCAGCCCCGCTGCCGCACCCACCATGCTCGGAAGCCAGAGGGAGGAAAGTGCGGCTGCTGCTGCGGATGCGGATGTGGATGCAGGGCCGGCGGCGACGGAGGAGGTTAAAGGGCCGCGGCCATTACGGACATTGCCAGGAGTAGCGGTTATGGCAGTGGTGGTGGGGCTACCCGCAGCAGTAGCAGCAGCAGCTGCAGAAAGGTCGGGAGGCCCCGGCAGACCGATAGAGCCCAGATCCAAGCAGATCTCGCCCCTGGGGTGTCGTACTGCCGTACAATCCAGCCGGGTGAAGTACGGCAGGGCGGCTAGCGCGGCGAGTACGGCAATGTCCGGCATGTAGCGTACCTGTGGTGCAGTGGAGGGGGAGGGGGATCATGCATGGGGGAGCGGCCGCAGCACTCGGCAGCAGTGTGTCCTATTTAGAAAGCTGATGTAGCATGTAGCAGCTATCGTGCTATCAGGTCCCCTGACCCAAACCGGTACCCAAACTCCTGCCATCTCGCTCCTCGCACCCATACACCACACGGCTACCCTCGGCCAGTCTTCTTAACACACCACACCGCTCCCTCCGCAGCGCTCAACTCCCCTCCTCCCTCCCCCCCACCTGCAGTACACGCAGACGCGGCGGCAGCCTCACCGACTCAGGCGGCAGGGAGCTGCCCACAGGCCGACCGAAGCCGAACGCGGCACCCGCCTCCGCCTCCGCCGCCCCTGCCCCACCCACCCCCGCCCCCGCCCGGCTGCCAACACGCCGCCAGGTCCAGGGGGGCAGTCCCGCAAGGAGAGTGTACGGCAGCGGCGGTGGCGGCTCCGGAACCACATCCCACTGACCCACCGCCACACACTCCGCGGACAACTCGCCCACGACCAGCCGCGTCAGCGCGGTTGCGGCGTACGGAATGTACGGCAGAGTGAGAGAGAGATCTAGACCCAGGTCTAGATCCAAAAGGTTTTCCACCATGCAGTGCAGCCGAGGAGGAGCAGGTACGACAGCTGGGAGATTGAAAAGGTTGGCTACAGCCCTGCCGTACAGTACATGCCACGCCTTGGGGGCGGGTTGTACGGCAGCAGTGGCCAATGTGGCAACGTCGGTTGCGCTAACTGAATCCGTATCGAATCCGGGAAGATCCGGAGAGGCAATGATGTCGCCCGGATGGCAGGCGGTGACGACAGCGGCGGCGGGGGATAGGGGCAACACCAGCCGGGTAAGGTTGCACAGGGCTTGTAACGGGAGCAGGACTGCTGACGAGAAGTTTGGATCCAGATCGCAACTGACGCCGTAGTTGTACGGCAAGCAGCTGTACGACGGCAGTTTCAAGCCGCGTAGCTCCAGGAAGCCCAGGGAGGTCAGCTGGCACACTGAGGCGACCAGGGCGGCTGCCAAAGACGGCTGAAGCTGCGACTGAGGATGCGGCAGCGGCTGCGCCTGCGGTTGCAGTTGTATTCCCACCCCAGCTGAGGATTGTTGCGTGAGCCCCTGCTGCGCTGGAGGCAGCGGTATCGGAGCGGCAGCCGGTGCTACTGCCTCCGCTGCTGCTGCTGCCAGCTGGAACCCCGCCGGCTGCCCCCCGATGCCAGCCGCGACCCCGGGGCTGATACCGGTGCCGCTGCTGCTGCTGCTGCTGCTGCTCCCCAGCCGCAGTGTCAGTGTCAAGCAGCGCAGCCCCGGGCACCAGACAGCCAGGCGCTCCAGCGGCAGGAGCGGGGGGAGGTTAAGGGTTGAGGGTGCGCGGCATGTGTACGGCAATGCAGTCATGAACCCAGATGGATCCAGATCCAGCAGCAGATCCAGGGAGGTGAGCCGGGGGCCCAGGGCTTGCAGCAGTGCGGCGAGGCCAACAGGTTCAACACCCGCTACTGACGTCATGGCAGCAGCTGCAGCTGCTGCTTGGGGTGCTGCTTGGGGTGCTGCTTGGGGTGCTGCTTGGGGTGCTGGAGAGACTGCTGTGGTCGCCGTTGCCGCTGCTACCGCCGCTGCTGCAGCTGCAGTCGCTTTAGTACCATTCGCGGTTGTAGGCACTGCGACGGTACCGGTAACGGGAAAGTTGCCGCGGCTGCATGGCTGTGGGCTTGCCCTGGCGCGGTTAGCGCCGTGTGGGTTTCCGCGGTCGGTTGGAGGTACCGGTAGCCGTGGTAGCGGTGGGTGACGGGGCGGGTGTGAGCGCTGTGCAGGGTGCAGGATCAGGCGGGTGAGGGCGGGCAGGGCGGCGGACAGTCGGGCAGCGTGGTGCGGGAGCAGGAGGTGGGGGCAGGTGGTCTGCAGGTGAAGCGAGGTGACGGCTACGGTGAGGGGTGAGAGGTGGAGCGGGGGAAGCCTGGCGGGGGAGAGGAAGGTGGGCGGCGGGCGGGGGGGTTGTGCGAGGTTGCGAGGATACGGTAGCTGGTGAAGGTTTGAGGTGCGAGGGGGGGGAGCGGCATGCGTGCATGCGGGGGCGATGGAGGTTTGCTGGGGACTGATACCGGTGGTAGGTTTTTCATGGAGGTAGGTGGGGTAGGTAGCCAGCTTGGTTGTGACTTCAAGGATTTTGGGGAGTTCTCAGCGTGATTGTGAAGGTTTGCGGGAGCTGCCGCCGGTACTGTGATGTTGACTCACAGCGTGTCGAGTGGCATCGTGTCGTCACAAAGGATCCGGAGATGGGTTGGTTGACATCCTCGAGCCAAGGCTCCTCCTAAGAAGCTATAGACACAGCGCTTCTTAGCTTCCAATTCGTCAAACTTGAATAATTGTGTAAGGCTGCTGCTGTCGACCGCCAAAGAGAGGCAACTCGCGTCGTGTAGGTCGCGACATGCGCTGCTGGCAAGCCGCAGGGCAAGAGCTGAATTGCCGAGTAGGCGCCAGAGGTCAGGAACAGCAGTTAAGACATCGGTTAATGTTGTTTCGTGGCATCGCCCTGCTGCAACAATTTCTGGATTCGAGTTTAGGTAACTACAGATGCGAACGGCAAGGCGACTCATCGCTTGACTGCTGACTAGTGCATGTGGCTCCTGTGATATTGGGGAAAGGGTCATTGGAGAAGGAAGTGCTCGTGTTTCCGGTCTGGGCCTAGGCGGACCCGATCTGATGGGGCAAGGCCGTACAGTGCCGTGCAGGGATGACAAAGCCAACCGTCCAGATGATAACGGAGCCCTTTCCTAATCATTTTTCCGCGCAGTTAGCTAGAAGCGTATCCTAACATTGCATATGAGGGATTGCAAGGCACGTGTTATCTGAGGGATTGCAAGCCACCTTGACGTGTTGCAGCAACGCGCACGATAATTTGGAGCCTCTTGTTACACACGTCCCGCATTTGCGGGCTCAACTCTCATCGTCTGAAGTCACAATCCTCTCTCCTTCACTCCTCTCATCCTCATTGCATTAGCATCCGGCTTGTTCCCGCAATCAACAAAACACGCTCATTTGTGGCGGCCTCTAGCAAAGCACCGCTATTATATTCAAACAGCGAATGAAATCGGCCTGGGAACCTGTACATGTGCTCCCGCTCTTGACCGTTCCAGTCGCACAACTAGTGGACAGGTGGACATGTGCTTATACAGCGGGGTCCAGAAGCGTCCAACCCAACCGTCCGTCACATACACCCGCTGCAGTCGGGCCGATGACATGTACCAAGGATACCCGGGAGCGCCCGTTTAGCGCAACAGTTCTGTTCATGTGGCCGTCAAGTCAGCACGAGAATTGTCATACATCTAGGCTTGTCAAGAGTCGTGTCGTCATGCAGTCATGCATTGAGTCCAGCCCGTCGTCCCTTCTTTTGAGTGCAAGTTAGCACATCAGACGCACACACACACCAACGTACCAATGTTGGTCAAAGCACTGCGGTCAAATGTACAGCATATGCCTCCGCGCAAAGTAGTCAAAAAACCGTCAGCAGTCAAGTCGTCAGTCGCTGTGGTAGTCCTGCGGAGACAGGAAGGGGGTGGGAAGAGATATCAGCAAGCGGCCTAAGAAAGCACGAAGCAACCAACAAGGAATGCTACATGCAGTTACAACGGCACGAGTTCATGCCAGCACAGCAACCCAACCCAAGGAACAGCCCTCTCGCCCAGCAACCCACCTCATCGTCCGGGTCGCCAGCCTCTAACCGGACGCTGGGGTTGTGCGAGATGTGCGAGGGCGAGACGGGTCCTTGCCCGCGCACGTTGCGCAGCCAGGACTCCAGTTTGCGCAGGTTGGCGTCGTCCAGCGCCTCGAAATCCAGCTCCATCTCGCCGGACTCGTCGGGCTGCATGGCCTCCGAAGGCAGCAACCCCATGAGCTCTGCAACCAGACAGGAGGCAAGCCGGCGTGACGTCAGTCAGGGCTCCAAGCGCGGTGCATGAAGGGAAGCATGTATGGGTGGGACGGAACATAACCGGACATGTGAAACAAACCCGACCCAGCGGCGTACACAGGCGGGCCCTTGTCACTTGCCTCCTTCCCATGAAGGCACCCCGATAAGCTTACCGTTGAGCTGGTCCTCGGACAGCTCGCCAAGGGCGTTCTGGAGCTCCGTGGCGATTTGGTTGCGCCGCTCCAACGACAGAGCCTTTTCCCGGCCCTTGCCACCCGAGGTGACTTCATGGCTGTAGGCGCGCCCGCCGTTGGCAGCCTGTTGGCAAGCACGAAACATGAATAAGGGCTAATAAATATGACGACAGAACTTCCTGTAAGTATTGTAGGCTGAGGGATCCGGCAAGCAGCGCGCCACGAGTCGTCATCTAGAATGCACAAGTAATAATAACCGTCGCACGAAAAAGTGCATCACGCGGTTAGAAGCAGAGGATAGGACCAGTTCCTCAAGACTTACTCGGCTAGGGGCAGGAGCAGGAGCTGCAGGGGCTGCCTGCTTCTGTTTGGATACGGCGTTACCGCTCCTGGTCGGCCGTTCGCGCGACGCCTTGGGCGGAGGAGGCTCAAAGTCGGGGTCAAATTTGGGAGCTGCTACGCCGGCGGTTGCCCGCTTAGTGCGCTCACTGCTGAGCCCGGAATTGGCCCAGTCGTTCTCCCAACGCTTCTCGGCTTTCTCGGCAATGAGCCTGACAGGGTTGCCCTTGGGGTTGTACAGGATGCAGTTCGACCAGATTAGCCGCACGTCATCGCAGAAGTCCTGCGCAGACGCGTACTCTGCCTGGCTGAGCTTCTGGAGGATGAGGTTAATCCACATGGGTTGCTTAATGATAGTGTAGTAGTCCGGCACCAGCTTCTCGTCCACAGGGTTCAAGAACCACTGGGCGTCTCCTTTCAGACCGCGCTGGACGCTGTCTATCAGCTCCCGGCACTTGGCGAGCCAGTCATTCGCTGGAGGGCAAGAAAAGGGCGGGGTTCACAACCTGCAAAATAAGAAAGTCCAGTACGCAATATCTCACCTCCATAGCTGAGGCTGGGCCTGGAATCCAGGCGCGCCTTCTTGGTTGGTGGACCCTGCAGGAAGATGAAGGAAGCTCCATGGTCAACGCAACCTGCCTGGCCAGAGCTCCCACGAACTTGCGACTCCCAACAGGACTCACTCCGTAGCCCCCATTTTGCTGAGGAAGCGAAGGAAGCTCGGGGTTGCTAAGCAGCCTTTGGATACGCTCGAGATCCTTCTCCGATGCAAGGTTCCTGTCAACAACGTTCTTGTCCACGCTCACGCGAACGATACCGCCGCCGTCAAGGCCTAAGAGGTTGGAGTCTGCTATCAGGGACCCGTCATCTAGCCTAAACTTGATGCGCCTAGCTATGTTTGCCTGAGGAGCTGCCATTATCGCATCCATTGAGTATCCGCGGCCGGCCCCCCGGCCCAGAAAGGCCGGGGCCAACGTGCCCTAAATATAACACAGGGTAGGCTGGTGTGAAACCACTTTCTCGGTCCGGCGGCGGCTGCTTGGGAGCGTAGGGGCTTGCGCGGCGTGCTCGGCGGCGGACAAGGGAGGGACCATTAAGTGCGCATGTACCAAGTCGTACTTTTTTAAGTCCGCACCTCCGCTTCGTCTGGCTAGCCTATATGCTTCCTTGCCTGCTGAAATGCTGCATATGCTGCTCTTGCTATGGAGTGCGTTACTGTTGTTGTGTGGCAAAGATGCATGACAAGCGCGCCAACTTCGGGGACGTGCCAATACCACTTGTGCATATTGCTATGGAAACATGCTTGCAATAACGTGTCAAAATGGTTGCCACTGGATGCCACATGAGGGCGTCAAGTGGAAAACGACCTTAGAGAACTCGGGCCCCAAAAAGCCTCCAGGATCGCGCAACATACTTATAGGTGTATCGGATACCTGCCAAACTACATAAGAAGTTGCCTAGGGCGTAAAGACTGACAAAACACGAGCGCAAGCATCGCTCGTCAAAACCCGTCCGCCCCTGCTGCTTGGAGTAGAATAACATGAATCCTTGAAAACGTACTTGGATGAACGCCAAGGCGCCTTGGTATCTGCAAGTAGGGGCGTACAGGAAGTTGCGTTGGCAAGCGGTAATATACCATAAGCACCAAAGCAATGCATTTACTGCGAGCGGTAGACTGCAGTAAAGTACAAGCCTTTTTCAAGGCCTCCTTTTACTGCATTTGGGCAAGAGCTCGGTGTTCGCAACGATGGGACTCGGCGAACATACCTCGTAACCGCAGGAAAAGCCGACGCTCAGACGTTCATTTCCCTGCAAACGACAGAGCTTAACAGCCAGCGACCATTAGCTCGGCAAAGATAGTCGCTGTGGGGCCGCCTCGTGTGTTGCTTCCGACCCAAATGTGGGTCCTGACTTACCAGCAAAGTTAGCAAGCCGTTGCAATATTGGAGTAAGAATGCGTAACAAAATATTGATGGGCACCTCCTGCCTTTTTCCCTGGTCACTTGTACGACGTGACCGGTCGTGATCAGCGCACAGCACCCAGGACCAGAACTCAATGGAAAGCTTTGTATAGAACCTCTCGCTGCTATAGCTGGCGGCCTAGGTCGCACTTTCACCCGTCAACGCCTTCCTTACAGTTGCCAATGTCAAGAGGCGTTGAATTCTTATGCAACTAGTCATACAACACACAAGCGCGGCTACCCAAATCATCTCTCCCAGGCCCAAACATGCCTTGCCATACTGCTGTTCCTGGCCGCTTTGGTAGCAGATGCCCCAAAACCCTCCTCGGCCCCAGGACCCCCGTACTAAGGGCGCATCGGACCTCCTCCCCCGCTGCAGCGCCAATCGGCAACCCTTCACCCAACCCTTCTTCCTACCCAGCCCCGGGATCTCCCTGCTCCACCCCGCATGCCAGCACATCACTTTCCTCCTTGCCACCCCCACCACCACCACAGCCATCCGCACCGCCCCCTCCACCAACAACACCCCCATCCGTCCCCGCCCCTGAACCACCATCCGCCGCTGCTGCGGCCGCTGACCCCTGTCCTAGATCGCAGCTCCTCGCCAGGCGGCGGGAGCGGGTCACAGCCGAGATCATCCAGGTACGATTGGATCCCCTCTGGATCTCTGTTCCCTGCCACGGCACCCTCCCATCATGCCTCGCGCACCACGCCATGCAACCACACGCGCCCATGTCCCCACCCACGCGTCCCATCGCTTCCGACCCAAATCCCCTCCACCCGCCCCACACCAAACTCCGGAACCACCACACCGCCCTGCCAGTTGTATTACTGGTAACACCGCTCCGCGCGCCGTCCCGTGTCCCCAGCGTCCCCCGCCCCGCCCCTCGCGTCCCCGCCCCAACCCCCGCTCCGCCCTCTGCCCCCAGGCCGCCAGCCGCGCCCGCCTGCCCGCCTCCCCCGACCAGCTGCGGTGGGGGCTGGCGGCGCTGGAGTCGCTGCTGCCGGGGGGCGCCCTGGCGCCCAACCTGGACACGCTGGGGGCGGTGGACTGGGTGAGGGCGGGAGTGAGGGAGGGAGGCTGGAAGGTGGAAGCTGTAAGGAGGGAGAAAGGGAGCGTAGGGAAGCATACACCGGTTCACCGGCAAGGAGTATGTTTGTCGGCGTGTCGGTTTGTTGTGCTGTATAACGAGACAGCAGCAGGGGGCGGGGCAGGGCGGCAGGTTTACCAGCTAACCCCGCCTTCCCCCTTTTTCCCGGCTTGGGCGGGGGTGGAGTTTGCCTACCGTAGCTCACCACAGCTGGGTTTCCTCCCTTCCCTTCTCTTCCCCCTTCCCCGCCCTCCCCCGCGCAGGCCCGCCTTGCCACCGACCCCGCCTCCGTCGCCTCCAAGCTGGTGCTGCTGAAGAGCCACTACCCGCGGCTGGACCTAGGACCCGCGCTGGCGGTGCAGCCGCGACTGCTGATGCGGCCCGCCGAGCAGCTGGAGAGGGAGGCACGGCAGGTGCGAGGGGGGGGAGGGAAAGAGGCAGGAAGGGAAAGAAGGAGAAACATGTCACCTGCCACCAAAAACCTCCTTCGCACTGCGCACTGCAGGCCCCGCTGGCTTCTCCACCGCCTGCTGCCCCTGCTCCCGCTCCTCCACCTGCCCCTGCTCCTGCCCCTCCGCCTGCCCCTGCTCCCGCTCCTCCACCTGCCCCTGCCCCTGCTGCTGCCCTTGCTCCTCCTGTAGGTTCGCTCGCTGCTGTCCGGAGCTGCCGACCCGGAGCGGCTGCTGTCTGCGGTTCCGGAGCTGCTGAGCCCCGCGCTGCTGGTTTCGGTGCTGGTGTCCATCAACAAGTGGTTCCACCTGGAGCGGGACCCGCTGGAGGTGAGGAGGGGGGGAGGGGAGGGGGCGAGCAGGGAGGAGGAGGAGGAGGAGGGGAGGGGGCGAGCAGGGAGGAGGAGGAGGGGAAGAGGAGGAGAGGGGATGGGTAACCGCGCAAGGAGATTATTACTGACCGTGCAGGACCGTGAAATGGAATTGGCTGTCTTACACCTTTTGGGGCGTGATTGAGGGGACTGCTGTCGGGGCCGGGTGAGCTAGCTAGCTAGCCGGCTGGCTGTCTTAGGAACCCGAGTACCGGTATATGAAGTATTTGCGTATGACTTGGGTCACCAGTGAGTGCTTGAGAGGTGTGACATGGCCCTCTGCGACCTGATGTTGCCCTCTTGATGCAGGTGTTGGAGGCGGATCCAGACATTGTACGGCGAGCGCAGGTGCGCATGGCAATGCACAGGAAAGGAAAGGGAAGGGTTGATTGGCGAGGGAGAGAGGAGGGCAGGGGTGGTGGGGGGGCCATGGGTCGGAGGCCGAACCATGGGTCAGTTGCTGTTGTTGCCAGGGTGTCGCATGCTGCGTGTGCTGCGGGCGCATGCCGGCGTGCGGCATGACAGGCATGCAGGAGTTGCTGCACTGCACTGCTGCACACGCGTCCATTCCCCAACTGCGCGGTGAATGGGGAATGGACGCATGTGTCGAGGTTGCGTATGAAGTGGGACAGCAGCAGCAGCAGCTGTGTTGAACCAAACGTGCGAACTTCCTGCACTGCTATGTCTCGCCCAACCGCTAGCCAACCGCCGCCCAACCCCCAACTGCGCAGGAGTGGGACATGCCGCTGGACCCTGTATTCATGGACGCGGAGGGCAACTGGGTGGCGCCGCTGCTGCACTATAAGGAGAGACGCGCGGACTGGCAGAGGTACCTGGATGAGCGGGGGGCGGACCAGGGAAAGAGCGGTGTGTAAGCAGGAGGTGGTGGACAGATATGCATGGAAGAGGGGTAGGAAGGGTAATACGAAACCTCATGAATGATGTGTTGTCGTGAGAGCGTTGTCATGGAGAGAGGTTTGTTGCAGGAGTAGAGTCGTGCACTGAGGTGCCCTGGTGCGAAGTGTGGCAGGAGTGAGGAGATGAGTGAGCAGGTGAGTGGGATCATTAAGAAGATACGGTAAGTTTTTAGAGTTGCTGAGAGACCCACGGGTCACACAATAGCAGTTGTTACTTTTCTTCTTCTTTCACTTTTTTTCTCCATGTGACACGCTGTCGGTCGTGAGAGACCTGGGAGGTGCGCTGAGTGCTGCTGAGAGTCTCGTACGTACATGACAGTTGTACCTTTCCTTGTATACCGTTAGTCAGTTGGTTAGTTAGTTACCGGTAGTTGGCACATGTACCATATTGTACGGTATCCAACTGGAGAGCGCTCGCCCGTGAGCGGGGATCAGGGCTCGTGATCATGGCTGTGCAGCTCGGACAGCTTGTTTGAAGAAGAGCCCGGTGCGCATGAATGAGTGGGGGAGCGGAACAGGCTTGGAGTTGGAAGAGCAAAGAGCGGCGGTTGTACTGCAGGGGAGCTGTGAGAGTGGCGTGGGGTTACGGGTCGGAGCCGCAAAGGCGACACGCTGAGTCTGCTTCACAATGAGGGGCTGCGGGTTCCGGGAGCTCCGGGCAAGCTGGGTGAAGTACCGGCATCGTAGCAGTAGGCCTTAATTACCGTAAAACTGCTGGCTGGTTGCGTCCTGGAATAAAAACCACCTCTGGGGGAGGCTAGAAGCTCTGGCAGTTTCATGTAAGTGCTCTGCCGGGGGCAGCGTGTGGCACACTGTCATCCACTTTATCTCCCCCTGCTATGGCAGCGCAGCATTTCTATGACCGTCCTCCCGCGTGAAGCCTCACCAGCGGCGGGTCCGGACCTATCCCATGCACATCCAGTTTAGCTTGACCCATGCACATGCCTGCACACATGCCCGCAAGCATGCCTGCTGCTGGAAAACCGCGCGCATCCTCTCCCACAACAACCAGCGGCTGCACCGCGCGCAGCTAGGGTAGGGGGGCTTGCACCACCCGCACACCACCCGAGGCCCCGCCCGAGGCCCCTAAACTACGTCGCCAGGCTGCACGCACCACCACGCTGCCAACGTGCACGAGCCCAAGCGCCATGCCTCATGCACGCGTGTGCGTATGCCGCCGCATGCACGCTTGTGCGTATAACGCCCCCGCTTGTCCCCATGCCACCCCAAGCACCCGCAGGAGCGCTCCGACTGTTGTATGTAGTCGGATGTTCAGGTCCGCAGGTGTTCAAAACCGCAGGCGATGTTGGGTCTCTGCTGGCGGAAGTGCTACACGCAGGCGGAGGAGGTGGTGGACGCCAGTGGAGTGGAGCCCAGGGCCGGCCCTCAATTGGAGGAGGCCTGGGAGCAGGAGGCCAGCTACAACCCTGAAGGGGGACCCAAGACAGGCATCCAAGACAGGCATGTTAGCACTTCAGTCTGCTTCCATGTGACCTGCTTACATGGTCGTCCTGTCCTCCCCCGGTAACAGTCCACATCGGAAAAAACAACCTGGGAGTGGCAGTAGCATGCATAGCGGGTAAGGTTCGCCTGACACCCCCGCCTTGCGTGCGCTCGTGATGTCATTCATTCCGGATGCCGCTCTACTTGCCTTACCCTCCCACAGCCGCGCACATGTTATCGGACTCCACAGCACAGCGCCGCTCCGCACGGTGAAAGCAGGAGCGAGAGCGCAACCCGATCGTCACTGCTGAAGCGCAGGAAGCGGGCTGGGAAAGGCGTTCGCAGCCTGCATGAAGGCGGGGGTCCGACCCCCTGCAGTGAAGGTACCGGTACCCTCAAAACCTCCATAGCAGGGCGGCAATGAGCTGCGCGATAGCGGCAATTTATGTTGTTGGTCTGGCCTCTTGCAGCCGCCAATGGGAAATACTGCCGGCCTGGCGTACTCTCGAGTGAAGGCGGCCGTGGCTTCGCGACATGTGACATATTGACATTCCCTTCAGCCACAGTGGCAGCAGCGGCCCAAGTGGTGCAGTGGACGCAAGCAGCAGCCAGCTAGCTAGCTAAGGGAAAGTCCCACTGCTGCTGGTCTGCTGCTGCTGCTGGTGGCGGTGCTGCGTGTAGTGGTTGTGCAGTTGTAGGATGTGAAGAAGGCGGGGTCATGGAAGTCAGCTGTGAGGGCCAGGTACTCTGAGGTGAAGAGCCGCACTGGCCGGGGAGGCTGCTGCTGCTGCGGGTCGTGCTGCTCCTCCTTCCCAGGCCCTTGATCCAGCTCTGATGGCCGCTCTGACGGCTTCAGCTTGGGGCCGTTGATCACCAGACTGCTCACCACTGGCAGCTGCTGCTGCTGCCCCTGCCCCTGCTGTGGCCCCTGCCCCTGCTGCTGCCCCTGCCCCTGGAGCTCCCCGTCCCGCTGCAGCCGCAGCAGCTGCCGCCGCTCCCGCACGTCCTCCGCGCAGGAGAACACACGCACCAACTCCACCTAGCCGGGTGGTGGTGGTAAAAGAGGGGTGTTTAAACCGCGTCAAGAGTTTGGGTGCAGGTACCACTTGCATGCTGCACCATATGGTGGGCCTCACACGCACACGCGCCCCTCCCTCACCAGCACAAGTCCAAACGCCGCAGCCTCCGACAAGAAGCGCTCTGCCTCCGGGGGCGGAAGTACGACACACACGCTGCCGCCGGGCGCTAGCAGGGCCGTACAACCGGATGCCAGGTCGGCGAACGGGAGTGCCACGTCAGCATGGCGAGCAAAGGCACGAGCTGTACGACCCTGCGGGATCAATCGTACAAATTGTCGGTGCCGTACATAGGTTCGTACATTGTTTTGCCCTTTTAAGACACCGAGGTGATCACACACGGCACCGGTATATGCCTTATCACACATGCGTTCGAATGCGGCCCTGCGCGTACTCACCTGTGCTGGCTTGCTGCTGCCCACAAAATACGGCGGATTGCTGATGATGAGGTCAAAGGGACCAAACGCACCAGCGGGAATAGTACTGCTGCTGCTGTTGTTGCCACCACCACCAGCAGCGACAACAACAACGGGGTCAGCAACATCGACAGCACCCGTACCCAGCGTCTCCGTCCCGTCTTCCGGGTCTTCCCCAGCTGCTGCTGCTGCCGTTCCGGCCCCTGCTGCTGCTGCTTCGGCCTCCTCCACCTCTGCTGCCGCCCCGCCAGCTGTAGGTGTCGTTACTTCTGTAGGTGTCATTGCTGCTGCTGCCGCAGCTGCCGCCACCAGCTGTTGCAGGCTCGCATGCAGCACCGTGATACGATCTGCCCAGGGGCTTAGCGCCACGTTCTCCGCAGCTTGGGCGCATGCGTCAGCATCAATGTCAATAGCAACAATGTGCACGCCCGCTTGGCTTGTTCCCTTGTTGCTACCCTTCTCGTCGTACATGGTGCATCCTGAAGAAGGAGAGCATGAGGTTGTTGTTGGGGAGGCTGACGTCACAGGTGCTGAAGTGCTGAAGCGCGGGTCGCTCTTCTGGGCCGCCATAAGGGCCAGGACTCCGGTGCCCGTACCCACATCGAGAACGCGGCGGGAGCTGCGGGGGCCGTGTGGTGAGGAGGATGTGGAGGAGAGGAGGGAGGGCGACGGGAAGGAAGAGGAGGGATGGGACTGCGGCACGGGGGCCCAGCTGCCGAGAAGCATGGCGTCCGTGCCCATCTGCGTGAGGTGTGGGATGAGAAGGAGGAGGAGTAGGAGGAGGAGAAGGTGGAAACCGATTGAAAGGAGCACCGACGGCAGTGAGCGATGATAAAACAGGAAGGACAGCAAGATGGGATGGATGGACACTGGGCGGTACTTCAAGGATTTCCATATTTTACAAAGCTCAATCGGGCCGTGTGTTCAAGTTTATACGCCAAGACGATTAACGCGGGCAAAGGCACAGCAGAGGAATGGCCTGTACCTTCATGGCGCAGCGGTCCTGATGGACAAGGAAATGGCGGAACTTGAACGCCTGTACAACGTATATGCTTAATTACAACAAGCGCGAGCAAAAAGTAAGCTTATTATTGGGCGACGATCTAGGCGATGACTAACTTTGCGAGCATGCTCGACGCCTTCTGCGCTGCCTGGAGCGCGGCTGCAACTAGCGGCATATCGGAGCAGCTGAAGCCAGCTCTTGCTCAATGCACGCTTGCTGCCGAGCGTCTGCTGGCCGCAAGCATACTTGCGGTGCAAGTTTGAGCCGCATAACATTTTCTCCCTTCGTTTGCGAGCACGAGTACAATACAGGATTCCGAGGACTGCAAGAAATGCGAAGCAGTCCACACCCACGCACCGGCCGTCTTGTCGGTCACCGCCTGAGCATAGCATGCGCAGCATGTACGGCAGCATTTGACTTCAATCATTCGCTGAAGAGGCCTCAACCGGAGTTTACTTCTTGCGACCCATAGAAACACCTCGACTTCAAACCTATAGCCTCCTAAGCCTCTGGCCTTCAACCTTTTACTAGCTGCTGGTTGCTGGGCGGCTGTGTCTACTTCGGCCTACTCGAGTCTGCAGGTCGGCTTTCCTAAGTAAGGACCCGTCAAGCCAGGGCCGCATCCTAACCCCAGGAGTAGTCCGATGCATGCCTCTTTCAGCCGTGCAGCCTGTGGCGTATTGCCGTGTATTGGTGTGGTGCCCCATTACATTGGCCGGGAGTGTGTGCCAGCACCTGGCAGTGGCTTGTACGCACCCTGGAAAGTGGACCCCACACGCCGTATGCATCGTTTATAACGCTGCTGTGTGGCCCCCCATCCCCGCCACCACCCACGCCGTCTGCTGCGGTCGCAATCGGCACTTCAACGAAACCAACGCCCGCAACGTAACCGCAACGTAACCAACGCTGAGGCAGCGGCTCCTCCTGCACTCCACCACCACCACCAACACCTCAACAGCTCATCTTGAGCTCACCTTGCTCCCGACCACCCACCCACCCAGCCCAAGGAACACTGCATGGCTACGCTAACTGACCTTCGCTTGACGGCTTGAGACACACACACGCCTCCCTCCCCCAAGCCAGCGCCATTGCCTTTTTCCCCAACTCCCCAACGGTTTGTTTCAACAAGCTCACGACCCTGTATCCACCCGCCACCTCCGGTGACTGCTGTTCCTCCTCAGGCATGTATGTGCCGCTTCCCCTGCGCCCTCAACTTGCAAATTCTCCCGGTCTCTCAGTTCTCGGATCTGCTCAGTGATGAACTGCTGCTGCTGCTGCTCCCGCGCCCCGGCTGCTGCTGCTGCTGCTGCAGCTCTCAGTGGTGTTGCTGCTGCATGTGCCGCTGCCAGCCCCGAATGATGGCCGCCTCGCCGTAGTCGGTGTGCTGCCACTCGGGCAGCTGCTTGACGGCGGACAGGTAGCTGGGGGGGCGGGGGAGGGGGCAAAAAAATTAAATAAGTGAAACAACTAATCCCAATCCCATATCCCGACTCATGCAGTGAGCGCATTTGGAGGCACTAAGAACACGCGGTTCAGGACGCCGGAAGTGAGGCAGCAAGGAGGGTCAAAGACAAATACCATACCATAGGAAGCCACATGGAGCCACAGGGGGGGGAGAGAAGCCCTCATCAGGCAAGCAGATGGGCACCAGGACATCGGCATCAAGCAGGCAGGCAGATAGCGGCAAGGCAAGCTAGCAACCGGGCAGGCAAACAGCAGGGCATGCAGGCCATTAACCCAAACATGGGGGGACGCAGATAATTAAGGGCCACAAGACGAATGCAGCATGTCATGTATCAGCATCCATGCATCGCAACCGACCCACGGGTCACCGACCTCACCGCCCATGGGGTTCACCCGCCCCAGCCAGCTCGCCCCTCCCCGTATCTAAACCTAAACACACCAGTATACGGCCAGTTTTCTTAACACACACCACTACGTTCCTACTCACGGACACACGCCTACAACTACCGAAAGATCATAACAGCACATTCCTCCCCCCGGCGCCAGATACCCGCCGCCCCCGTCCCCGTTTTCATTGGTCCATTTCACTTATCTATATGTCCCCCCACCCAACCCCCACCTGTGCACTGCCTTGAGCTCCTCGGGAATCTGCCAGCCCTTGAAGTGCTTGAGCGCCACCGCTATATGGTACAGCTTGGGCGCCAGGGAGGCGTCGGTGGCGTTGAGGCGGGAGCCCCCGAACAGCGGGCCCTGCCGGGCAGGCAGGCATGCGGAGGGGTGGGGTAGGGGTGGGGGTGCGGGGCAGGTTAGGGGGAGCGAACAGCGGAGGTTAGGGAGGGGAAAAGGGGATGTTTGTATCAGTCCATTCACACCCGTCCCTCGCTGTCATGCAAACTTGTCAAATCTTACCTGGTCCGCTGCTGCTCGTCTCGCGTCTCCCCAGCAAACGCACCCCCAACGGCCTTCCACCTCCCCCTGCCGCTCCCCTCGGCCCCAGCAGACATGGGACACGGGTGACTCGGTTTGGGTCGCAAACACGTGCAGCACTCTACATACACGTTTTCCCCCTCCCAAACCAACCATGATAAGCTGGAATTTTGTTCCCCACACGTAGCCCCACCCCCACCCCTCCTCTTCTTTCCCCTACCTTTCCCCTTCCTCCAGCCCTATGGTTTCCTATGGTTCGGTCCATCATGAGCCCCCACGTAGCCCCTCCCCCCTTCCCGTTGCTCAATTTTCATTTATCCCCCCCAGCCCCCCCCCACCACACACACACGCACCTGCTGCCGGTTCTCACTGAGCCACTTGTCCACCCCCTGCAGCTCGGCAAGCAGCAGCGCCCGCTTGTCAGCAGCCTCCGACTCAGGGCCCAGCAGCCAGCCGCGGAAGGCGGGGAAGAGCTTGGCACCGCTGCGGCGGCGAGGGGTGTGGGAGAGGGGGGAAGGGGCGGGAGAGGGGGGAAAATTGGAGGAAGAGGGGGAATTGGATGAAGAGGATTGTTAGGAAGCAGAAAGCATGGGGCTGAACATGCAGACCACTCGGGTACCAGGCATACACGCAGTATTGGGCTTACGAATGCCCTTTAGCTTTCCTTTCCCTTCTGTACACATACCCTCCTTTCCCGCCCCTCGCCCCCTGCTCTTATTTAACACTGCCTCTTTCCCGCCCCCGCCCCCGCCCCCCCTGCCCCCCGGCTCACATCTCCGGTGGTACGGAGGACTTCATTGGGGGTTCGGGGTACTTGTCCTGTCAGGGGGAAGGGGCGGGGCGGTGGTGGGGCAGTGGGGTTGGATGGGGCTGGATACTCGAGGAGATGGCATGAAACCACACGCACCGCGGCCGGGGGGTGGGTGGGTGCATGGAGGAGCGGGCAACAAGAACGGGGAGTGTGGGATATTTTGGTACAGGGTGTGGATGCAATACACACACGCTGACACGCACGCACGTCTTACGTACCTCCAGGTGTACGACAATGACGTCGCTGTCCGGCATGTACGGCTGACCCTCCTCCTGCATGTGGTTTGGCAACGGAGGCATGTCGCGTGCATGTATTGAGAAGGAAACCCGGTATGGGTGGGGTTAGGTGGCGTACGGTTTAGGGGCATGGAAAGGTTATACCCTATACCATTATGCATCGCTAGAGGGATTTGCAGGCGTTGGGAACACACGCCGGCAAATCCCTCTTCCAGGATGTGTGTCGTATGGACATGTCCCACACATGCCTAACGGCGTGACCCATGGGTCACATCCCGCCCGCTGCAGCCTCAGCCCAGGGATGTCCTTCCCAGTTGTGCCGTACTTCGAACCCCAAACACACCTTGATAACGGGAACCTTGCCGCCGCTGACCTCTTGCAGCCTGGGGCCACAAGTGGGGGCATTAGAAGGAAGCGGCAAAGCACGGTTAAATAAGCCTTAATCGTTCTTGCTACCGCGCCCCGTGTGGCATTACCCCCCGCCTAATTACCATGGTGAAGCCTGTCGTCATACAGCTCGTCAGTTTCTTACTTTCCACCCCCAAAACCACCAACCACCATGCTGGTGGAGAAAGGAAGAGACTGCAGTGAAGTACGACAGTCGTGATCTCATGAACCCACCATGTGGGTTTGTTGTCAAAGTCAATGTACTCGAGCGTGTACGGCACCTTCTTGGCTTCGAACGTCAGGAGAGCCCGGTGGCAGAAGGGGCCTGTTCGTTGTGGGGTGTGGGGTAAGGAAGGAGGAGGAGAAAAGTTGTGGAAGTCGCCCGAAGCCGGAAGCGGCCTTTGAAGAAGGGATGTATACCGTAGAATCGGATGCCAAATTGCTACCGGTATTGTCCGGTGGGGCTACTAGTCTAGGAGACTTCAGGAGGAAGAGCATGTGACAGCGGGATAAGGGCAGATGTGTTAATGATACTGTATGATACATGTTGCCGTGTCCAACTCTTCGGCATGAGGGGGCACCAATGAAAGGCAGGCAGATAGCCCCGAGGTCTTCAGCAGCAACCCCAATGTGTCCCCGAACTACAAGCCCATTGCTGGAAAGGCACACGCATTAAGGCTCGCGCTTGGGAATGTCTCGCGGCCATTCAACTCACAGTCGCCCAGTGTCTTTGTCGCTGGATCGCCCTTCACGTAAACAACAGTGCTTGAGGCCATTGTTGAGATAGCGGCTGACCGCGGTCGTTTGGCAGGCAGAATCGTGCGTCTAGAGGAGAAAGCGCGAGAGAGGCGACTGGTACAAAGACTGGAAGACAGCATAGTGAAGTAATGATCAGCAGAAGGTATAGGAAAAGCGACTAACCAAATTCTTCTTCCAACGGAAAATAATTGGAATGGTTTACGCAATGCTTTGGAGCTGCTGATCAACGGCTAGCGAACGCATGGCGATTTCCTCTTACTACCTCCAACAGACATCGCATACTTCACTATGTAATATAGTCTTTATGACGCAGCTAAATTGCTGCCATAACTCGGTAACCCTTGTCGAACCATGGACGCATCGATGTTGCCCTGCGTCGTCACTATTCCGGCGCCTGCCCTACGAGGAGCAGCAGAGTAGTAATAACTCTCCTTCCCCTTTCTTGGTGTTATGGATCATCTGCACTGACATGCACGTGAGCAGCCCCCCTTATCGGCTTTCCTCTGGAAGGAAGAGGAAATCTCCGCTAGCGGCACGTAACGGGGCATGATCAAACGAAGGCGTGCATAGCCCGCCTTCCCGTCATGCGTCGCACATCTGTTACACCACATTAAACCCAGGAATAGTCGGAGAAGTCAAAGTACTATCGAAAGAGCCCGGGCCTCATCACCGGAGCATTGTCGCTGGCCTAGTTCGTGCCTATGTTTACTCATAGCACCTTCTGCCGCACCCGCCGAATCACTCACAACCCAAAACACGACGCGCCTCATGACACACGACCTCCCAGTTCCCACCGCATGGAGAGGAGCTCACCCCCCGGCCCAAACACTCTCCTCCTCCGTCCTAAGGACCTGCCGTACCTCCCAGACCTCCCAAAGCTGCTAGGGTGGCTCGGAGTGACAGTTGCAGTCGCACTACCCAGCCACCGAGCCACAACCTGAAGCTGCAAGGCGTGTGCGCCAATGCCAACACCATGCTACGCGGGGCCCCAGCCAAGCCACATCACATCGTCCCCAATCCTCATGTCCACGACCCTGCACCAATGCCAACACATGACATGCAGAGAATGGGAAATGCGCCTCGGCGCAAAGGTCTTCTTAGTTGCTGCTGCTCGAGAATTCCTACAACAGCCTTCTGGATGGATTCAAAGTACGACCCTAAACATTAAACAGCATCTGACCCCAAACGTTTCAACATCAGTCCTACCACCACTGCCCCCTTTTACCACCGCTGTTATAACCGGATTGCCTGTGTTGACGCATGCCACACTATTTTACATGAGCACACCACGCAAACGCACCCGGGTACCACGTGCGTTTATGCAATTGCCCAAACACTGTTCAAGTCCCCTAAACCGTTTACGTTTGCCCCATTTCTTCTCGTACTGTCTTCGAAACGGATATTGTCTTCAACCTACCCATAACCTCATATGTCCTGATAAGGGGCTAACGGCAACTACACCAATCTTTTTGCCCTAAACACGAGGGCCGCACAATGCGAGCAGCGCGCTTTACGAACCACCCTTCCGCCTAACAAGCTAACAACTCAACCGCTCGCCAGCACCTCCCACAAACCCAGGTTCCTTCCAAACGCCTGCGCCAAAACTTCTCTGCCAACCTCGGCCTCCAGCGCACTATATTTGTACCCCCTCCAATCCTTAACCCCCCAAAGCACAACTTACGTCGGAAAGCTCTGAAACACATTCCACGCCACGCCACGGCTCCAAAACAGAGCCAACACCACCACGCTACCTACGACACTGCCTGCCTGCAGCCGTATTACACGCTCCCACTGCCGCCACAGCCCCTCAAGGCCCCAGCGCCTGCACCCCGCCCGCCGGGGGCCCCATGCCCGCCGGGTAGCCGCCCCGCTGCTGCGCCAGTGTCTGGAAGGCCATCTGCATGCCCTGCACGTACCCCTGTACGGCGCTGTAGGCCTGCTGGGGCTCCATACCCGTGGCCAGAGCCTTCTGGTACGCGTCCTGGAACCAGGTTTCCATGTCGTTGTAACCTCCGTAACCGCCGTTACCGTTACCGCCGTACGGCTGCTGCAATTGCTGCGGCGGTACGACAGGGGGGCCCTGGGGCTGCATGGGCGGCTGCCCATGGGGGCCGCCCATCATGGGAGGGCCCTGACCAGGCATGAGGCCGCCTTGCATGGGGCCGCCGGCCTGCATGTAGGGGTGCTGCTGCTGCTGTTGTTGCAGCTGCTGTGGGTGCTGCATCATCTGCGGCTGCATGGGCGGCGGTGCCGCTGGAGCCGGCTGCAGGGGTGCACCGTAGGCCTCAGGCACGCCCACAGAGGGGCCCGCGGGGGCCATGGCAGCGACGGCGGGCAGCGGCTGCAGCGGGGCGCCGTAGGCGGCAGGGACGGAGGAAACAATACCCGCCTGCTGCTGCTGCTGTGGCTGGGGTGGCTGAGCCGGGGGCTGCTGCTTGCCAGCTGCTTGGCTTGACGGAGGCGGCGGCGTCGGCTCAAACGTGGCCGCAGCGGCGGATAGCTTGCTCGCCCGGTTGCTCGCATCCGCACCCCTGTCACGGCCGCGCCCGGTCTCAGCTGCTGTTGTGCTACTGCCGCCTGCAGCCCCCTCACCGCCACCAACCCCCGCAGCCTTCCCTGCCATCTTGCTGTAGCGCCGCACCCCACCTGCGGCCGGCGCCGCAGCATCGGCACCTGCAGCAGCCCTGTTGCTGCCGTCGACTGCCCCAACTGGCGCTGCGGCGGCCAGCGGCTTAGCTGCGGCAGCGTTGCTGCCCGGCAGGGGCGGGAACTCCTCCTCCAGGGTACGCTCCTGCCGGCGCTGCTGCTGCTGCTGCGGGGGATAGGCGGCGGGATGCGGCCCGCCGCGACCAGGGGTGCTGCTGCCGCGACCGGCGGCTGAGCCACGGCCGGCTTGGTCGTAGAAGCCCTCGCCAAACCTGCACGACAGGAATCACGGCACACCCACGGCAGTTCGCACGTAAGGAAGGGGTGAGGGGCGAGTAGGTTTGTGGATGGGCAACAGCATCGAGCCTGTAACGGGCCTTGCGATCACGCTCTTACAGCCCCAAGTGCCATGTCCCAGTTGTGATCGCGCTCCTCGCTGCTAGGCAGCAGCACGTGCATACTGGAAGGCGCTCGGAACAGACTTCCTACTGCTAAAGTACGACAACCCTGCCTGCAGCCACGACCCTTTTTACACAAGCCCTCTGCAACCCAATCCCAAAACGACCTGCCCGGCCTCCTTACCTGCCCCGTCCCCTGCCGCGGCCTGCTGCCTCGAACTCCCGGCCGCCGCTGCCCGCCTCAGCACCCCTCTCATACCCCCCCAAGCCGCGGCCTCCGGAACCCCGGCCCCCGGCGCTGTAGCCCCCACGGCCCAAGTACCCCTCGCCCCGGCCTCCCCCGGCGTCCCTGCCGCCTCCGCGACCACGACCATAGCCCCTTCCTCCGCCTGTTGCCTCCAGCCCGGACACAGTCCCCGGGAAGGCCCGATCCGCGCTGCCGCGACCGCCGTCGCCCTCTGGTGACAGGGCGCGCTCACCACGGCCGCGGCCCGCGCCCCTGCCTCGTCCCCGACCTGCTGCTGCTGCGCTGCTGAAAGGGGCCGCTGGGGCGGCTGCTGCGCCCCTGTCGTCATCTGAGGAGGCAGCGGCGGCGGCGGCAGGCGCCCGTCGCGGTCGCGCGGGCCGCTGGGGAAGTGCCTCTGGCGCGTCTTCCATGCTGGGGATAGCGCCGGCTGCTGATGCTGCGACGTCGCGGCCATCGAAGCCGCCGCCACGGCCCCGGCCACGGTTGCTTGCGGCGTACGGTGCCCGGTCGCCCCCACGACGACCCCCGCGACCTCTTCCGCTACCCCCGCGCCTGAAGCTTGACTGCATGGGGCCAGCAAGGACGGGATTACAGAGCCGCAACCTGGGGATGCCCGGAAAGCGGCAACGCAACTGGCACAGTATCCTATGAGCTACATGCTATGGGTGTCGATATTCTCTAGGGAGTACTTACGAAGGCGTTGTCGGAGTCATTGTCAGCAGCGTCCTCTCCAAGCTCCAGCGTACTGAATTTGTCATGCAGCCAACGACCCTCCGTGTCGCTCCGCGCCTTGCGGTCGGCGAGGTTGCCTGGCCTGGTGACCGGTGGTCACGAAAGGGGAACACATGCTACGGTTTGACTGCACCGTGGTGAAAGTGCTACAGAGGATAGAGAGCTCGTGCAGGGTTCAAGGAAGTAAGATTCACCCGTATTATAACAAAGGTTAGCCCAGGGGTGACGCATGTGCCTTGCTCTACACACCTTGCGGGTTCCGCTTGAAGTTCTTCGCCAAACCGGTCGTCATGTAGCCAGAACGCGCCAGAAGTTGGCACCTCGAACGGCTCACGCAGCTTCGCCTTCTTCTTGTCACCCTTATCTTCATCATCGGGCTGATCATCTGTCTCTCCGACTTCTTGGTCACCTGCAAGAGAGTTGGGAGGGGCCATCCGATCGGAAAGAAAGTCACGGCATAATGTACCAAAGTGAGCATGATGTAAAGCATAATCAACAAGTATGAGCAAAATGAACGTGTTTGCCAATTGTATCCCGCAGGCAAGGCCAGGGCGTGAAGCCCAACTGCATTGCGGACTCTTAGCAAGTACTGGTTGCCACACGCTGCCTCACCTACTACTTCAGCATTTTCCTCACTAGCGCGGCCTTCAGCAGCCGACTCCGCATCTCCGTGCTCCTCTTCTTGGCCATGGCTGTCGGCAATTGAAGCTGCGTATTCGGCGGCGTCATGAAATTCGGCCTCCTCTGCTTCATCATCACTCGCTCGTCGCCGTCGCGTAGGTATCCTCACGTCTAACTGGTCCTCGGCCATCTTGGACCTACAAAGGACCGACCATAAACGATATGGTCCATGTAAATGCCATAAATGAAACTAGTGAAATTTCGAAAGCAACATGCAAGCTAACGCCGAAGCAACTTTCGTTGAATAGGCCCGAAATGCACCGTTTCCTCACGGATCCAGCATGTTGGGGCTGCTAACAATTCTGTGCGGGCGCATTACACTGCAGAGCTACCTAATGGCCTTACCAAGAGCTTACGCGGGAGTAAATGTGCCGAGCGAAAATGATTCGGGTAGAGAGCACCTACGGGAGGTTTATGATTGCCTAAGATCCATTTATTATACAGACAGAATAATTTGCACGTTTGCAAGGAGCTGAGTTGAGCCGGTGCCGCCCGTACAATTTAGTGCCGCCCGTACCAATTTGTACGGCGTTGACTTTCGCGTGCTGTGACATCCCGCCCGGGCGTGGGCCGTCAGGGCCATGGATCTAGGGCCATGCTAGGCCTATACGACACGGCGTGCCTTAACGGTAAACCAAGCCATAAGCGCTCTTGACCTAACTGGGTATTACTCTTAAGCGTGCGATGTTCTGGAAGCTTTCAATGTTGCCTGCAATGCCGTCTGAGGTCTGACCCTAGTCTGACCGAATCGGACAGCACCCGCCCTTCCAGTCTCTTTCCATGTCCACATTACATGTTGCACGCCGGTTGTGGCAAGGGGATTGCCCGCGGGCCCATGTTACAATTTTCCCAAGCTGTACTGAGCTAACTACCATTAACGTTTCTTGTGATTGCTTGCAAGCGCGCAACGCTAGTATCCCAGCAAAGCGTCAATGCGTGTGGGCCATAGAGGCGCTGACCTTCCCCAGCGCCAACTAATGTCGATCCGCTCTGCAGTGTAACTGCAGAGAAACAGCAATTTGCCGCATCTTCCAATTAGGAGGGACGCGCTAGTGTAGTTGCTAGTGTTTGCCGAAACCGCCGTACAAAGCTGCGTTTCACCGATCACCCCTTGCCCGTCCGCTTTGGCCGCCCAGTGCAAGCTGGGTTCAGTTATGACAACCTAGCATGGTCCTGTGCAAGGTTGCTTCCACTCGGCTTTAGCGGCGAAACCTAAGGACGTATCCAAGAGTCCTTCCTTCTACCCCCAAACCCATGCTTCACCCATGCACGCCCACATCCCTCCAGCACGGCAACGAGTGGTTACTGATAAGAGGGACGCGATCGGACGTTATCAACGGCGATTGCTGGTCGCGTTGTGTTGCTCGTGAAGGTGTGTCAGACGAGGACTTGTCGCATTTGCAGCGGAAGTTGGCTTCACGACGATGAAGTTCTCGATGTTGCTGCTGTTTAATATTTAATGGGTATAAGTGTTCCCCATATTCCCTGCTTCCTCCGTTCTTGGTTCCGTGTACGATGAAGCGTACGAGTAGGCATCGACGGCGTTAACCACACTGCCGACAATCTTTAATAGTCTGCTGGAGAACTTACTTCATCTTGCTTGGTGACCCTCCCACAGCACATGGTAGACACCTGGTTAGTTCTTGCCTAGTTTAACGTGCGCGTTGGCTTCTTCCGTGGATTCCAGATGACACTCACGCACCTTGCCTTTGGCAATGTGTCCCTAGTTGCCCTTGTCAAACAAAGTTAGGCGGCAATGGCACTCGAAGTTGCGTCCCTGCGTATGGCTTTTGCGCCGAGGCACGCTGAAGGCCTGTAAACGAGGAGTCTTCATATGGTTCACGGTACGCTTCCGTCCATGAGCCTATGGGCTGTATCAAAGTGGTCATGCATAAACCAACTTTGCGGCTCTCAAGTAGTTACTTCTATCATGTTTTACTGCTATGCTAGTAAGCATCCGTAGCGAAGAGCTTAATGTCTGAGGTTGGGTATTTTTCTAGGTGCTGACAATGGCCGTTTCCGCTGCCGACAGGACACCGTGCCCGCCTTTGGCAAATGTGTTAATTGGAGCCAAGGCAAAATCATCACATGCGCAAGGCTGCATCACAAGTCTTCGCTGGCGTAGGCCAGCTCAAAGTCACCGTTCAGGGCTCCGTGCTGAGAAGACGCGTCGTAAAGAAGGCATAAAGAAGTGCAGACCGCCATTTGTCATCGCGCCTTTCCTGTCACATCGGCTTCCTCCCTTTCCGGCAACCGTGAACCGGCATCGCATGGCCTGGGACATGTCTGAGCTAACGGTGCAGCCTCAAGACTCCTTCCAGGTTCCAGAGGAAACACCGTGCAATACCAAAGACTGTGGGCCCTTTGAGAGCTGCCACAGCGATACTGGGCATGGAAGCAACAGTCTGTCCTCTGTATCGATTAGCAGGAGCAGCAGTGCTGCTTGTGCTGCGGGCCTTGAATCCGTTGACAGCCCAACTTCTGCACCCTGCTGCGATACTGGCGAGGTAAGCAGCCCCAAGCGTGCTGGCCCACAAGGCGCCCGGCAGTGCTTGATGGTTGTAATCCCGAACAGCAGCAGCCAGACCGCAGCTGAAACTGACCCAGCAGCAGCAGAAGATTCAAATTTCATCCAGTCCCCAGTTCCGACAGCTGGGACGCCTCGCGAGGATACCGCCGCAACACCTGGCCACATCGCAACCAGCACAACCCCCCGAGGCTCGCACCGGCGCCCCAGGGTCTTCAGCGTGCACCCCCACCACGGCGGCAGCGGCAACTCCGACGGGATCGACCTCGAGAGCACCGTTGACCTGGCTGGCGAGGGCGACCTCCTCCGTGCTACCGCAGCTGTCGCAGCTGCGCTGCTGCCGCCCGCGACGCTTCCTGTGCGCATCGTCTCCACTCGCTCACCCCCACGCGACGACGCTACCTCCAGCGCAACTGCAACCCATGATGCATCCTCTGCTGCACGACCAACCGCCGTCAAACTGCAACGTGCCAAGATGGCTGGTGGCTCCCTCGTTGCTGCGGGACCAGATGGTGACAACATGGGGGAAGATGTTGCCTCGCAGTCACAACTCATCGCATCTGACAGTACTGCCGGAAGCCCCGGCGACGGCGGCGGCGTTGAAGACGAGCTGACTGCGGTTGCTGCTGCGGCTGCAGCCGCCGCCGCGGCAGCAGCAGTCGCAAAGGCGTCCACCATCACCGTCGTGCGCTCGGGGCGGCCAAGCGCAGCTCCCTCCAAAGCCGCGGGCAGCAAGACCCAAGCCGATGGCTCTTGCTGCTCGCCAGCTCAGGCCGACGGTGATAACAGCTCAGCGGCTGAGCTTTTGCAAAAGCAGCAGCACACCGGTGGAAATGGTAACAGCCCGCATGGAAACGCGCTTGCCAACCGCCGCCGGCTTCTCCGTGCGGCGGGGGCACTGCAGGTTGCCGTACAGTCGCGTGACGATCTGGGCAGCGTCTCACGACCGCTACCTGGCATCACCGGCGCGCACGGCGGACCGCACAGTGGTGCAGATGCTCGCGGTTTCGCCATGCATGCGTCTCCACCCATCACGCCCGGCAGCTTGCCGCCCGCCTCCCCCGGCACCCCTCTGCTCACGTCGCCTCCCATCACGCCTACCGGTGGTGGTGGCCCCGGCTCGCCCCTCACTGCTGCTGCCACAGTAAGCCCTCGCTCCGGTCGTGGCGGGGGCCGAGGAGGTCGTTCACCTAGGGCTGGCGGCCTGGACGGCGCCCCAAACAACGGCCATAACGGCAAAAGCAAGAACGCCGGTACCTCCTTTGGCTGCGCCTTTGCGGGCGGTATGGGATACGAGGAGCTGAAGTCTCCGGACGACAGGCATGTCCGCCAGGGTCGCAATGTGCATTCCACTTCTGGACATGGGACGACGTCGATGGCCGGCGGCGCCAACGGCTATGGTCGCATCTTCCAGTTAGCCGCTGGTACGACACAGTTGCCGTATATGTACGGCGTTCCACCGCCGCCGCCGCCACGGTCACGGCGCCGTGCTTCCGAGGCGGAAACCGCTGCTGCTGGGTTGCTGAGCGATGCCTACGGCCTGCTGCCCAGAAGCTTAGAGATCTGCCGCCAATCACAACCCCCTCTTGCCTTGTCTCCGCAACAGCAGCTGCACAGCCGTGCTTCCCCCATCCCACCGCCGCCGTCGAGCCCAGGTCCAGCCAGTCAGCTGAATGCAGATATCAGCCTGCAGCTGTTCCTTTCCGGCCGAGACGCAGATAGGCGCTACGCTGCTCTAGGCGCTACTGACGGCTTTGGCGGTGTTGGGGTGACTGCGGGCAGCAGCCTAGGCGCAGGCATGCTGTCATGCCGTCAGGGCACGCAGGAAGGCTCATCTGCTGCCGTCATGATGAAGCCAGGTTGGGCGTGCGGGGCAGACGTGCAGGAAGTCGACCGGTCGCTGCTGAGCCTGCTGCCCCCGCAGTGCATGCATGGTAGCAGCACCGCCGCCGGCTGCGGGGCCGCCACCTGGCCGGCTGTGTTGAGCGCTGCCAACGAACCGGCTGCAGGGAGGCAGCAGGGGGCGCAGGCATGCGGCGCAGAGACGGGCGCTGGTACTGGTGGTAGCGGTTGTGGAGGGCCGGATCGCGTGTCTCTGTCTAGCGGCTTCGTGGCGGCGTCTACCGGTGCGGCGCAGTGGGGCAACAACCTCCCCACTGTGCCAGGTGCTGCGCATGCTGGCAGCCGTACGGCAGCGGATTATATGTACGGCAGAAACCCATGGGGTGGAGCAGGCGTGCTGCAGAGCGGCCATGGATTCCAGCCGGCGGATTCGGGATCGGGACACCAGCAAAACGTGCACGCAGGCACGCATGCGTGCGATGTGCTGTCATCACCAACACCCACACCGCCGTACACTCCCCTGGGAGACTGCTCGACGCGTCTTGCGGCTGTTGCTGCTACCCCCACCGTCTCGAACCCCTTCGCACAGCGTTTGCCACAGAGCCCGATCGTCGCCACAGCAGCCACAGGCGATCCGACTCTGGACGTTATCAGTTCAGTGAACTGGTCGGTTGGAGCGAGCGCTACACTACCCGGCGTCGCCTCCGCGTCTCCGCAGCCGCCCTCCGGCAATTCCACCGCCGCCACCCCCACCCCCACCACCATCGGCAGCACTCACAATGCCGGAGTCCCACCCGTCCCTCCTGGCCGGCAAGTCCTCCGCACTTCCTCCTTTCCAGCCACACCTCGGTCACCGCCGACGCCTGCCCTCGCGCCAGCCTGCCTCTCTCCCCGCCTAGCTCCGCAGCAACCTCAAAGCAGCTGGGACTACGAGCTGGGATCAGGTTGCATGGCGGCGGGTCGCCTGATCCCCAGCACCGCTGCCGCTGCCGGGCTAAGCGGTCCTACGGGCAGCAGGCAAGATCTGCCGTACGATTCACCGATGACGTTTGGCCAGGGGCAGCAGCCGCCTGCGACGCTGGGCGTTGGTGATGTGGGTTCCGCGGAGGTGGTGGCGGCGCTGGCGGCCGCTAGGCAGCTCATGCCGGGGGTGCTGTCAGGCGGGGGACTGGCTGGCGCGGGGGCGGGGGCTGGAGCAGCATGCAGCCAGCTGGGGCCGTTGGCTTACCTGCTGCAGTAGCAGTCGCGGAAGGGCTTGGGGGAAGGTCGTGGTGAAGGTGCGGGCTGCGGGTGTGGAGCTGAGGGTTGGGCGCGGGAGGCGTCGTCGATGGGCGAGACGGGACGTTGAGGGGATGCCGGGAATGTGCGGTGTGTAGCATGAATGGGTGGACGTAAAGAGGGTAGGGGTAATGGATGGCAGGAGGAATGCAAACGGGGGCTGTTCGGGATTATGGGGTTATGCCAAGACGCCGGGCCATGATGCGAACTGGGCCAAATGTCCAGCTTTGCTAGCGGCCTCAAGCAGTGTCTTGTTGTGGTAGGGCTGAATGGTGCACTATTTGGCTTGTTGCTTTTTTTGTTGGGGGTGAGCTCATGATAGGCTTTGCCGTTGGGGCGCAAAGAGTGGCATTTGCTAGGGCTCCTTGGGGGCTGGTGAGTCCTGCTAACGACGGGAAAGTCTATGCACGAGGGTGCTTCGGGCGTAGTAGTGAAGCTTTATCGGCATCCTAGGCTTAGTATTGGCGCCCTGTAAACGGGCATATGTAAACACTTTTAGTTTAGGTATATGTCCTGCTGCTGCTAACATGCAGCCGTCAGCACGCTGTTCGGCTGCCTCCATATGCGCTGCCGCGAGATGCGGTGTATGTGATTGCTCGTTAACCTTTGCTCTTGCGGCACGCGGGGGCCACTCTTGCTGCTGCTTCCAATAGCGGATTAACACTATCCTTTCTAGCGCTAGCGTAGTAGTTTGCGCCACTCTGTTTTAGCGCCTGCAGGACACCACCACTGATGGCTTTTACAGGACCGCCCGTTGCATCAACACATGCCGTACATCGTCCTACCAACCCTTTCACTCGTAGGTCTTATCGCGGGGCGCGGCGGTCTCAGTGCGTGTAGGGTTTTGTGAAATCTGGCTAGGATGTGTGGTATATGGCATCTAGGGTTTCACGCAGCGTGCAGCGCAGGCGTATCGTCTCGGCAGCCGTTATGTCAGGGCTGCAGGATGTTCCCCCATCGTTGTCGCGCGCCGAACAAGGCTCGCAACGAGTGTGTTGTTGCGGTCCCGAGGGGCCTAATAGGTTACTTCCCAGCTATGCGTGTCTACAGTGCATGTGGTTGTTTGGCGCTGTGGGTAGCTGGTGGTCAGCCAGCGGCGGTGTGTGTGATGATTCCATGCTTCCGATGCCTCATTCGAAGCTATAAGCAACAACGGCCAAACGTTTGCCGCCGCGCGCTAAGTCGCGTGTCGTCCGCCCTTTTCCGCTGTCTGCATAGAACCTTACCGGGAAGAAACTTGAGTTGCGCGTAGGGCAGGTTGCATGTGGGTTGGCGCCCATTGCTTGAACGGCGCCTTGCTGTGGTGTGTTTTGGAAGGTGTGTTTTGGAAGGAGGAAACGCACTGCGAGGAATGTATGCGTGTGTACGCGCTATTAGGGAACCCCATCATATATCTGTACTGTTTTAGCACGGGGAAAGGATGGAGGTGACTAGCGAGCTTTCGTCATGGGCCGGTAGTAGCCTGCCGTGCTAGCAACAAAAAAATCCTTACTTATGTCTCAGTGTGTCATGCCTAAAAGGTGCAACAAGAACAGCATCGACGGCGGTGTGGTTGAGTTGGCTTACACGAGGATGGATTCTGTGGTAAGCTACCACCGCTGGTGGTAGAGCAGGATGATGGGACTGGTGTTGCGCGCATGATGGGGCATGGCGCCTATGTTTGGTAGCACTTGAATACGGTAGCAGTCTATGATGTGGTCAACGGTTAGTTTGACCGTCCGGTTACAACAAATAAGGCAATGTCAACAGCGGAGCGCTGCGTTACGTTCCATAGCTATGGTGATACTTATCGTGTTTAGCGCGCCAGGCCCGACTCTGTTCGCCTGGCCAACAACTGCTTAAAGCGCGAAGAATGGTTGTATCTTGTATGGGTGTGCAGGTCTAGGCAGGTTCTCAGTTTCCCTTTTGGTTGTGGTGCGCAAATGCAGGTGCGGTACACTAATACTGGTGCACGTCGACCACTGTTTCCGTGGCAATGATTATGGTTGAAACCCGTGACCTGGGTAACGCTGTGGTGGTTTAGTTTGCAGAGCGTGCTGTGCCGCTATCAAGCAGCTTGGGATGTGTTTTGGCTGTTCAATTTGAATCGTTGGAGGCAAAATTGTGTGTGCGGTAACTGGGTTTTAGCGCAATGGCAAGGCATTGCCAAAAGTTCCTACTTGTCAAGCTTAGGCTAGGGGGTTTGTTAGCCACAGTTGGGGTCTGGCCTGGATGTAGCTAGGTGGCCTTAACCGCTTCCGTGTCGGGCTGAATAAATGGGTGTTGGAGGCGAAGTGCGATGGGCACTTGCTGCGTGTGTGTATGGGTCTGGCGTAGCCGTGGTGTATACGTGATGCTGTCTATGACACTGTTCAAGCGCAGGAGTTGCTTATCGCTGTCAGGTTTTGGTCGGAGGTAAACAATGGACAAGGACGCAGGTGATCTAGTTTGATGTTTCGTTGCCAAGACGTTATCCAAACTTTGTCCATGTCAACATGTGCGGATCACGGCACACAGCTCCCATGCCGTGCACTAGGGAAATCCCCGGGTAACATGACGAATGCAGGCGGTTTGCATGTTGTGCCGTACTGTCCCCAGGCTGCCGTACAGCCACAGTCACCCAGCATGCACGGCATCCCTCGCCACTATGGCACAAGAAGTCTAGGGCACGGTTGCTAGGCAGATGACGGGGGGTGGCCATGTGCATCTGCCCCTTCTCCGCATGAACCATATGTCCACATCGTGCATGTTGCTTTAACACTTTAGTGCAATAGCAGCTGGTATCCGGGACTTCAGAAGGCAGTCTGTCTGTCTGTGGCGTTTGGCAAAGCAGGCTGCGAAGGAACCGTGAGCCCACGCGTCCGTTGTCTGGCACTTCCCTGGCTTGATGGTGAAACAGGTAGGGTTAACCGTGTGGCAAGATGTTTAAGATTCATTGTGCTGAGGTCCCTAATCATGCAATCCGCAGCAAGCGTACAATACCGATCCTGCAGGCCAGTCTTTCGTATTGGAACAGGCGTGTTCATAGTAAGCCGGATGACAGACTGGCCGGACTTGGGGCGCGCTGCAGCCCAGGATGGTCCCTTGACGGTTAACACGTACAGGCTTCGCCAGGCCCAGCGGGTCTCAACATGCCAGCTTACGAATAACTTAGTTTAATGGATTGCAGTAGTATGTATTCACATTGATCACCATACCACTTCGTCTGCCCGTATGCGATAAACTTCGAAACGGCCGTGGCACGGCAGACACTTCACACCCGCAGGCCCGGATCGAAACTGAGCTGCAACCTTCTTTATAGTCATATTACATAAACATCTACATGTGGGCTGGCTCAACATTACGATCCCCTAAAATGCGGACTTTAGCCTTACTTGCCGGCTGTCTGTTTACCAAGTAAAACTAGCTGACAAATTCCAACACCGATGCCCTATAACATGTCAGATTAAAGAGTCTTACTAGACGTTGGACCACAAAGCACAATATGGACCGGCTGGACACTCGGGGAGCTAGGCGGTCGCTGATACGAGAAGCCATCGAGGTCAGTTAACCGCGTGTGGGTTAAGGACTTGAACCCCTGCACAGAAGAAGTCTGTCTGTTTGCAAGAGGCCCTACGGTTTGTCGACGCAGGTTGGACAACGCGAAGTAAATGAACTTGATGGGGAGGGCCTCCGCTTCACCTCCCGCCATGACAAAGTCGCAGCAGAGCGGGGCGTCGGTCTTGGACTGTACCTTAAGATTCTGCCATGGTAAGGGGATTTAAACTAGAAGCCAAGTGTAAACTTTTGCATTCCCCCCATGTGACTAATGATGCTAACGCCTACTTGGAAACCTATGTGGTCGCAAGCAAGGCGTAAGAGGGGACAGCAACCCTTTATGATATCCACTGGAAGCGCCGGAGCTGTCCTAAGATTGTAAGTCTAGGCTACCCCGACACCGCAGTGCCCTCCATCCACCCTGCCTGCAGGCTCTTTTGGATGATGGTCTGGATGGCCTTTTGCTCGGTAAGCAACTGCCACGTAGCCTCCCTTCGGGTGCCGAGCACCTTAGCCGCATCAAGTTGCAAGGATTGAACGCTGTCGTAACCTACAGCGACCAATCACGCTTGCCGGGCTCTGATACCTACCGGCACCTTACATAGCCGGATGGTGCGCTCCCATCGCTGCGACCCACCGCATCCTGCTACACACATCGCCGTCCTAAGAACCGCGCATCACTGTTGTTGCCGCCTCCCACTGCCGTACCCAGATGCCGTACTTGATCGTCATCAACACCTCCGTCTTCACCGATTACGACCACAGAAAGGATTTTGCGTTCGGCGTTAAAATGTACGACCGTTTCGTACTTCCTTCCTTCACTTTCGCAGCCATCGTGGACGACAAGAAGGACAACGGAACGCTGCAGTACATCAACACCAACATCGCAGACACGTGGAAGGGACCCATGCGCAAGGGCGTGTTCCTCACATGTAAGACCGCCCGTCCTCCGCAGCTAGCCCCTGCCGACAGCGTCAGCCCGCCATGCAGGCATACCGGGACGCTTTAGTTGCACACCCCTCGGACTTTACCCCCCCCTCCTACCGGCACGCTTCTCTTCCGCACCCGTGTCATCCATGGTTCCCTCCGCCCCAAGTGGTGCATACACCCTACTGCTGCTCTGCCGCCCTCTTCCAACCCACGGCCTTTTCCCCTTACCGTGCCTCCACGTACAACCCCACCCACCGCTGCCGCTGCTCAGGGCTGTCTCTTGTGGACGCGGGCGCAACGGCGGTGCTGGCAGGCGCAGTGGTGGTGCTGTTCTTTGTGGTGGGCGTTCGCATCGGTGCATCCGTACGGCCGGCCGGCCTAACCCTGTCCGGCCTAGCCCTGTCCGGCCTAGCCCTGTCCCGCCTAACCCTGTCCCGCCCCGGCCCGCGGCCTAGCTGCTTACTTCGCAAGCGCCTGCATGCACTGCAACCAGCGGCTGCCGTGCATCGCTCCTACCATAAAGCCATGCCTTGCCATGCACCCATGAAGGACCCATGTCTTGCCATGAAGCACCCACACCCTGCCGCTCCATGCCGTGGCCAGGTGGACAGCTGGTTGCAGCGCTCGGACCGGAAGACGCGCGAGGTGTCGGACTACTCCGTCATCGTGGGCGGACTACCGCCCACTATCACAGCGACAGAGGTACGGCAGCGGCTGGCAGCGGCGGCGGGAGGCGGGGTGTGTGGGACAGAGGGAAGGCCATGCAAGAGGCAAGAGGGCGCTGTAGGGCAGTAGCAGTGCCCCTAGTAGAAACGCCTCTAGGATCCGACGGAATGGCGCTTTGGGTTACCCTAGGCAGGATGGAGCCTGGTCACTGCTGCCCGTATTCCCCGCCGCAGTTATGGAGACGTTTCCTACGCCCTCCCTTCCTGCTTTCACCGCGCAGCTGGGCCAGTACTTCCAGGATCGCTTCGGAGATGACCCACGGGTCGATAAGGTGCGATGCGGTGAACCCCGGAACCAAACAACCGCACGGCACCGGCAGAACTCTTGCCTGCCTACCCATCATCCAGCCGCTGTCCGCTGCACCCCCCCCCCCAACTATATGGTACCTTTTGGACAATCGGTTTAAGAAATCCGTTCGCGACCCGCGAGGAGGAACGTACTGGACTGAGGTTGTGTGTGTGACTTCTGACTCGTCCACTCATGCCATGCGCCCCCTCCTCCTCCTCCTCCTCCTTGTCAACTTGTTTTACCACTATCATACCTACACACATGGGAATTTCTTTTTCCTCCTGCTGCTGCTGCTACTGCTGCTCAGGTGATGGATGTGGTGCTGGTGAAGGACCTGGCGCCCGTCATCAACGCATGCAAGAAGGTTCACAAGTACGAACAAATCCAGGTAGGTGGGGCGGTGACATGGTACTTTGTCTTTCCTTTGGCGACTGCCGCAGGGCCGCTACTGCTGTTCTGCTGTCCCTCCCTTTCTACCACATGCACGTGTGGTTATCGTGTGATTATGGTGTATCTTAAGGCACCTGTGCTGTTCCATGCCTTCCGTTCCGTTCCGCTCGCAGCGTTTCATAGACCGGATCCAAGGCAAGCACAAAGGCAAGCACAACAAGGGAAAGGCTACGAAGGCCGGCGCCAAGCATGCCCAGGCTGGATTCAAAACCGGTGTTCGGGACGCGGTGGAAAGCAAGGACGTGTCTCCCGGGAAGGAGCCTGGGAAGGAGGAGGAGGCGGCGGCGGAGAAGAAGGTGGTGGTGACCCACATCACTGCCACAGCGGGGCATGCAGCAACGGCGGCAGCTGCAACGGCGGCGGCAGCAGCAGCGGCAGTGGTGGTGCCAGAGGGGGCGGCGGCAGCAGCAGCGGTGCGGGGATCCGGGGGTACTGGTACTGCTGCTGCCGGAGTCGACGACGTGCGGTCCTCGGAGGGCCTAGCCTCGTCCCGGGCGTCAAGACGTGAGCTGCGGGGCGGGCTGGGGGTGGGGGAAGGGGAGGGAGGAATTAGAGGAACGTGCGTGCGGCGACCAACCTCTACTGCTTTCGTACCCACACCCCACATGTGCACACGCACACCCTCCGCACCGCACACAACCCCAACAGCCCACAAACCTCTAACCGCAGCCCCCACTTCCTCGCTCCTCGTCCCCATTACCCCGGCTCGTTATTAGTTTCCTCTTTACCCCACTCCTCCCCCCTATTCCTGCCTCCCCTCCGCCCTCCGCCCCCCGCCCCGCAGCCGCCAAGTCGCTTTCCTTCAACATGAGCCGGCAGCTGGCGGAGACGGCTGGCAAGATCCGGCAGCAACAGGCGCTCATCAGTGACCGACTGGAGGCGGGCATGATACACACGCAGGCGGTGAGGGGGGAAACCGAATATCCAAAGTGGTTTTGTGCCAGTGATCAACTAGGTGACAAGCCCATTCTTATATTTTTATATTCCGTGAGTAGGCGGTGAGGGGGAGGGAGTGACACTTGTGTGGGGTTATACTGCGTTACCAGCTGTCCGAAGCAGCAGGCAAGCCAGACCTGCAATCAATCGAATAGGGCGCCAGGAGGAGCTGAGCGGGATGGGGATGTGGGTGTTAAGAGGAGGGAACTTACTAGCCGTGTGACGTGCACAGACTCCACCATGGGGCGTGAGGGGCGGGGGGAGGGGGTTGTGAGTGCAGATGCCGACCATAGCAGGGGGCCGTGGCGGGAGACCCTGCCGCTTCCTGTATCCCCATTGCTGTGTCCTAACCTGTGGTTTTCCCTGGTTTGGTAGGTCCTGTTTGACCCACCCCACTCCCTCCCCTTCCCTCCAGGCCTTTGTGACGTTCAACACGGAGCGCATGCGCATCAACGTGTGCAGGCGCATGCCCTCGGGTGAGTCCGGGGCGGATGGGGGGGGGGGGTGAAAATTAAATGAGAAGGGGGACGGGGGTTTCCTTTGCTGCAGGCCGGGAAGCCTGGCATTGCCGTACAGCTGGCCCCTGCTGGGACCTCTGCCGGCGGTCAACCTGACGTGCACTTGTAATCCTTGTCACGTACTCCCTCGCTCAGACGCCCACCCTTACCTCCCCTTCTCCCCCATCCCCGCTCCCTCTCCCCGCTCCCGACCAGGCTGGTGGTCCGCGCTGCTGACCCCCCGGCGACTGCAGCTGCCCCACCGCGGGCGGCAGTGGCGGCTGTGGGTGCAGCGCGCGGCGGCACCCGACGACTACCGCTTCGAGAACCTGGCCACACGCACTCGCACCAACATGCTCATCCAGGTGGGGCGGTGGGAGGTGGGGTGGGGTGGGGTGGGGTGGGGTGGGGTGGGGTGGGGTGGGGTGAGGTGGGGTGGGGTGGGGTGGGGTGGAGCGGGGTGGGGTGAGGTGGGGTGGGGTGGAGCGGGGTGAGAGAGAGATGGGCGCTGCGCCTCCCTCCCCTCAGGACGCCTCCGGCGACCCCCCTCCCTTGGGCCCCTTAGCCTTTTGTGGCACCCCGCGGCGCGCGCGTCCCCCCCTGGCATTGCCTGGTGCTTCCCTGCCCTAACATGCGGGTTCCACGTAGTACGATCTGGTTCCTTACACTCAGTACGGTCTCTGCACTCTCCTCCTCCTCCGCCGCCGCCCCCCCCGCCAGCTACTCCTACCCCCATTGCTTTGCCCTAACTTGTGGTCACCTATGGTTTGGTATGGTCTTTGACCCCCTCCCGCCAGCTGGCCACCGGCTTGGTTATGTTCGTGTTGATGCTGGTGTGCGCGGCGCTCATCACTTGGCTGTCCAGCCTGTCCAACGAGACCGCCCGGGACCTCAAGTGGGACACGGCAGCGGTGACGGGGCCGATCAGGTGGGTGGCGGGGGTCAAAGACCAGGTACCACAAACCACGGGAGACCACAGGTTGGGGCAAAGCAATGCGGGGGGGCAATCTGGTGGGAGGGGAGGGGCCAACCAGCCGTGCCTGTTACCGGTTATGGCCCATGAACCGCTTACCAGCACTCCCACGCGCACGCCCAGCCGCCTACCTGCCACCCGCCACCTGACAGGTACTTCACATAGCCCTCCGCCTCACAAGAAACTGTTAATTCCAAACCCACCTCTCTCTTCCCCCTCTTCCACCTAACGGCACCTCTCCTCTGTCCCTCGCCTCCCTCCGCAGTTCTGGCTGGTCTCGTGTGTTGTCCTCCTCCTCCCCGGCGCCCTCACTACCGGCGGCGGGGCACCACCACCGCTCCCTCCTGTCAGCTGTCGACGCAGGGAGCAACAAGGTACGTACGGCAATTTACCTGGCGCATATTCGTCCTCTTCGTTGTCGTTGGGCTTTTACGATGCAAAATCTCGTCCTTGTCGTCCTCCTTCTAAGCCGACCCCTGCCCCTCTTACCCCTCTTGCCCCTCTTGCCCGCCTTCCCATCCGTCCACCTCTGACGCCCCACCACGGACCCACCGTTTCCCTCCTGCCGTACACTCGCAGACGCTGTACGACACCTTTTGTACTGCCATGATGCCCACCTGCTCGGCCTACGTGAACGACAGGTTCACAGACGCGCACATCAACATGACGTTCGGGTGCGGTGGCAGGGGTTGGGGTTTGGGGAGCCCCAGATTTGTGCCTGGTTTCCTGGGTACGGCGCTATTTGGAGGCATGCAAAACACTGCTGGGTGTTCTGTGCAGTTGCTACCGCTAGTCCGCTACCGGTACCGGTATTCAAAGGAGTCATTTCTCGTGTTCTCAGGTGCCGGGATGGTATCTCACTTATGGTGTGCCCTACGCTTTAGTCCTATACTCCTATGCCTCCGGGCGCTGAACACACCGCACACCGCCCCCGCCCCCGCCCCCTCATCCTCCGGTATACTGCGGTCAGGGTCAGTGTTCCCTCGCGGCTCAGTTTATCTCAGCACCCCTTTCTCCCCCCTCCCCTGCAGGAGCGAGTGGGGTTTCTCCAGCTCCACCTCCCGCCTGCTGTACGAGCGACCCATCCGGCAGGACCTGCTGACATGCGGACAGCAGGTGGGGGGGGGGGAGAGGGGTGTGGGGGGCGGGGAGGGCTGCAAGGGCTCCACTCCCAACCCACCGCCTTGCCTGCATCCCACCCCTTCCTCCTGATCTGGGTCGCGTACAGCCTCCTCCTTCTCTCCTTGTGGCCTTGCCTTCACATCTGATTTGGTTTTCCTCCCCTGCCCACCCCCCTTCCCCTCTGCTTCACTATATCCCAATGGCTTTACCCTAACCTGTGGTCCTGGTATATCTTCCTCCTCCCCTCCCCTGCAGCCCGCCTCCGGCTCCCCCTCCTGCCCCGTGTCGTACTGCCTGCCATGCTACTGCATGGGCCTCAGCTACAGCCCCACCGCCTCCGCCTCCGCCGACTTCCTGTCGCACATCAAGGAGGTGTGCGGACCCTACATGGTGCAGTTCGATCTGCGGTGAGGCGGCTGGCGTGGGCCGTGACATGCGGGAAACAGTCCGTTGTTTCCTCTTTACCCCCTCCCCCTGCCCCCGCCCCCTGCCCCCACCCCCGCCCCCGCCCCCTGCCCCCACCCCCGCCCCCGCCCCCTGCCCCCTGCCCCCCGCCCCCGCCCCTCCCTGCAGTCGTGATGGGTTGCAGGTGGCCATCTCCCTGGTGGTGGCGCTGATCAACTCGCTGCTGGTGTTCGTGCTGCGGCTGCTCAAGACGTTTGCGGAGCGGCACTGGACCACCACCGACACGGAACTGAGGTGGGGGGGGATGGGGTGGTGGTGGTGGTAAAAGGCCATACCATACCATAGGAAGCCACAGGTTACGGCAAAGCAAAGGGGATGGGGGTGGGTGGGGGCATGAGGAGGGAGGGGGAGACGGGTGGAGAGCGAAGGGAGAAGGGGGGGGATGCCGCTTGGAGGGTGAGGTGCGATACCACTTGTGCTCGCCGAATGGAAGGTAAGATGGGGGCGGCGTCGGGCGAGGGAGCGTGTGTGGGGGCGGTGCATGGGGATGTTGCACGAGGGTGGTGCACTGCTGTGTGACTGAACCCATGACCCATGGTTTGGTCTTTGTCCCCCTCCCCCCCTTTCCCACCCCGCCTCCCCTCCTCCCCCCAGCTTCGCCGTGTGGGCCTACCTGGTCAAGGTGATCAACTCGGTGGTGGTGCTGCTGGTGGTCAACTGCTCCACACTCAGCAACCTGCAGCAAAAGGTGGGTGCGCGGGGAGGGGGGAGAGGTTGCGAGGGTGCGGGGGGGCCGGGGGTCTGAATAGGCAACCAACGAGCTCTGTGACAAGGCTGAGGGAGGGAGGGGGGTGCCTGGGGGGCGGGAGTTAGGGGGGATGCAAGCCTGTTGCGAACCCAACCCAACCTAACCCAACCACGCCAAGCATTGCTACCTCCGTCCCACCCCGCTTCCCCGCCCCCTCATATCCCCCCTCCCTCTCACCCCCTCTCGCCCGCTCCCCCCCCAGGAGTCTACCGCCTTCCAGCGCTCCCGCTGGCTGCGCAGCTTCATACTGAACGGCCTGTACGAGGACTTCACACCCGACTGGTGGGGGGGGGGGGTCAAAGACCATACCACTAGTATGGGCGGGGTAAAAACTAAGGAAAACTGACGAACTGGATGACGAGGCTTCTCCATGGGCTGGCGGGGGGGGGAGCCAGTGGGCTTGCATACACACACACGCATGCACGCATGTAACACGCACGCACGCGCGCCACAACCCCCCCGCACGCACCCGAACCACCTGTACAGCATTGTGTTGTTGTTGCTTTACTTGTCCTCCTTCCCTCTTCCTCCTTCCTCCTTCCTCCCCTCTCCTACCCACACGATTCGTTCCCTACCTCCTTCCTCCTTCACCCCACCTCTTTACCCCACCTCCACCTCCACCTCCCCCATAAAGGTACAAGGCCGTCGGCTTCTCCATCCAGTGCCTGCTGTTCATCAACGTGCTGGGCCCGCTGCTGCGCTCCGCGGTGGACTACGGGCTGAAGCTGCTGCTGCGCTGGCGGCTGCGCAGCGGGCACTGCGGCAAGCTGGCGGCGCCGGAGGACTACAACACCGCGTACAGGTCGCCGCAGGTGGGTGGGGGGTGCGGGTGGGGGTGCGGGTGCGGGGTGTGCGTGTTGAGAAAATCGGCCGCGAGTAGGAACGTACTGTGATTTGCGGAAGGTGAAATCCACACCAAAACACCACAGGAGACGAGGAGTGGGTGCGGTGTGTGTGTATGTGTGTGTTCAGAGGATGGGGAGGAGGGGGTGAGTACCGTAGTTGGGGTGCCGCTCTGGTGCCCGGAGTCTACATGCGTTGTGTAGGGGCGCTTGCATGGGATCCCTGCACTTGCCTCTTCCCTGCACCTCCCCTGCCGCCCTCCCTCCCTCCCTTCCCCTGTAGTTTCCTACGGGCTGGTATGGTCTTTGACCCCGCCCCCCGCCCCCCGCCATGCATACACGGGCAGTTCGTTGTTTCCTCTTTACACCCCTCCCCTCCCCTGCCGCCCCTTCACTTCTCATCTATTCCCCCCCGCCCCCCCCCCTGCAGTTCACCCTGGAGGTGCGCACCAGCGACATCATGTTCAACCTCACGTTGGCGCTGCTGTTCGGCAGCGGCATGCCGCTCTGCTACCTCGCAGTGGCAGCCTACCTGGCCCTCACAGCGGGCTGGGACCGGCTGTGCCTGCTGCGGCTCAACCAGCCGGCGCAGCGCTACCAGAAGCACCTGCCGCGGGCCATCATGCGTGGGTGGGGGGTGGGGGGTGGGGAGGTGGTGGGTGCGGTGTGTAAGGAGGTAACATGTGGGGAAGCCGCATGCATCGGAAGCCCGAATGCTGCCTCCGCCCCTCCCACTCGAGTCTTTTCACCAGGAGCTTGTCGTCATGTTTGCCTTTCTCATTCAACACATTGGGTATTCTTCTCCCCTCCCTACCTCCCTCCAGAGCTCCTGCCGGTGCTGCTGGTGCTGCACTGCGCCTTCGGGCTGTGGATGCACACCTACTTCAAGGCCGACCTGGCCGCCATGAGCCTCACCGGGGGCGGGCAGGCGGCGCAGGGCGGCGGCGGCGGTATCGACTCGCTGTCTCGCAACTGGCTAGGTCGCCGCATCACGCAGCCCAACGGCCTGCCGCTGCTGGTGTGGGGGGTGTGTCTGGCGGTGTGGCTGCTGTTCGGAAGGTGGGTGGGGGGGGGGTGCATGGCTGGGAGCGCAACTGGGCACGCATGCATGCATGTACCGCATGCATGCACACGTTGCTTAGCCCCCGTAAACGGCACCTTTGCTGCTGCTGTCCGGCTCCCCTATTGCTCTACATCCTTCCCCAAGTGCATGCTGCGCTCCTCACCCTCCTCACCCTCTCCCCCGGTGCTCCCCTCCCCACCCCTCCCTGTCTCCTGTACCCCAGGTGGATCATCTGGGGCGCCCTCAAGCTGCTGGGCCGCGGCTGCGTGCGGCTGGCGGCGCTGCTGCGCTCGCTGGCGCCCGATGACGGATCCTCGGGTGGGTGGGTGGGTGGGGGGCGTGGTGTGGCGTGCGGGGTATGGTGTGGCGTGCGGGGGTGTGGTGTGGTGTGCGGGGGTGTGGTGTGGTGTGGTGGTGCTTTTGTACCACAGGTGCCGTGCGGTGTAGTGTGGAGGTTTGGTACGATGTATGCAGGGCGGGGCACACCTACACAGACCCTTGTCTCCCCCACTCCTCCTCAACTCTCCCCGTTCCACTCCCTCCTTACGTTACCCTTCGCGGCCTTCCTTACCCTGCCCCTGTCTGACCCCCCGCCCCTCCCATGTCTTCCCGCTGTTTGCCTTACCGGCAAATGCCTTCCCCACCCCTGTTGCTTCAACTGCCTTACTTGCTTTCCCCACGCTTGCACGCCGACAAGGGCTATAATGAAGGCCAGTTGCTGACCGTTTCCGGACCTCATGGCGTTACCAACGTTCTGTTTTCTCCCTGCTGTTTCCCCACCCCACCCCGCCCCGCCCCGCCCCGCCCCCAGATGTGACGTACGAGGAGGCGCTGAGCTCCTCCAAGCTGGTCCGCATGCTGCGCGGCGCGCGCACCTACCGCATCCACCACCTGCTGGGATACCAGCCCTACCTCAAGGGTGACGCGGGCAGGCTGTGGGCGGCGGCGCAGGGGGCGGAGCGGTACACGCGACTGGTGGGTGGGGGTGCGGATGGGGATGCCGGGTGGGAGTAGGAGCGACGGGAAGCAAAGGAGGAGCGACGCGGGGAAGGCGACAGCGACGGCGGGGGCCGGCGTAATCCAGTGGCGTGCGGTGTGAGGTTCGGTATCCGTCGGCGGTTGCTGACCTTGTGTTGTCAAACCCTGGGCCGCAAATCACTGGGCCACACCCGCGCCGCCCATGCCCCCATGCCCCCATGCACGCAGACCTCCTTCCGTGTGGAAGTGGAGGTGGAGGTGGAGGGCGGCGCGGTGGAGCGGCGAGTGGTGGAGACGTTTGACGTGTCAGAGGACGTCATCACCGCCGGTCCCAAGATCACCCTGGCCCCGCAACCCTCCTCCTCCTCCCCGCCGCTGCCCTGCCAACCACCACCACCACCACCGCCGCCGCCGCCGCCTCCGCATGGGCAGACATCGCCGCCAAAGCTGCCCCTGCCGCCGCTGCCCCGGCACCATCCCCACGCACAGCACCCACCCCCACCCCCGCCGCCGCCGCATCAGCAACAACAGCAGGAGCAGCAGCAGCCACACCCCCCTGCCTCCACATCGGGTCTTCCCTCCGCTGCCCTGCAGGCCGCCCTGCTACAGCACGCGGCTGCCATCCAGGAAGCCAGCGGCGGCCGCAAGGTGGTGCGCAGCCTCACAGTGCTCGCCATGTCCGCCAGGGTAGGACAGCCCGCACCGCCGCTGCTGCAGCTGGTATCGGACGGAGTGGTGCTGCCTGCAGCGGCGGCAGCCGCGGCAGCAGCCGCCGCAGCTGCTGGCGGCGGTGGAAGGGGAATGGACGAGGATTCAGCTGGTTTTGTGCGCGTCAGGGCACTCCTTGAGGGTCGGGCGGTTGTCAGCGGTCCCGCCGCGCCAGTTCAAAGACATGGCGGGGGGTACGGCATGGCAGTAGCACCGATGACGACGGCACCGGAGATCGCGACAGCGGCGCGAAGCAGCAAGGGTCACCGGTTTGTTGGAGTCGTGCAGCAGGCAGTTAGCGCGGAGAGATTGCAGCCCTACCGCGGCGAAGACGATAGCGACGGTGAGGGCGACGGCGACAGCGACAGCCTAAGCGCAGAGGCGATTCGCCTGTCAGTGAACGATGCTGCCGCTGCGCCCTCTTCGTCATCCTCGTCAGCATCAGCGGGCTGCGGCTGCGGCTCGTCTGCTGTGAGGGGGACGGTGAAGGCGCGGGCCCGTCTGGCAGGCGGTGAGGATGATGATGAAGATGAGGACGAGGATGGTAACGATGGTTCTGAAGGAGATGCGGATGTGGACGCGGCGTTCATACGCCCTGTGATTACCGCTTCCGCCGGCAGGGGGTTTGGTGCCGCCGCCCCCGCTGGCGACGCCGGCAGGTCGCTTGGAGCGATGTCGCCACCGCCTCCGCCGCTGCCGCCACCGTCGTTGTCAACGCAGGTGATACCGTTGACCATACCGTCGCCTTCGCCGTCCCCTCCGACCAGTCCACCGCCCGTTGCAGCCGGCGGAGGCGGCGCCAGGTTGTCAACGGCGCTGCCTGCGGCGGCAAACTACGCTAAAGCAGCATACCAGATGGACGAGATCCTGGTAGAGGCGCCGTCGCCGGCGGCTGCAAAGCCGGCTGCGGCGGCAATCGCGTTGATCGCTGAAATGGAGGAAGAGGAGGTGGAGGAAGTGGAGGAGGCGGGGGCTGTGGTGGTAAAGGCAGCGCTGCAAGCAGGAGTGCGGGCTGGAGAGAGGGAAGGGGTGAAGGCGCCGAAGGAGGTGCCCCAAGCTGCTGTTCGGAAGCCGGCGCCTGGAGTGCAAGCCAAGGGGCGGACTGTGTGGTGACGAGTCGTTGAAGCGATAACGTGTGGCCTACGGTACCACCGAGAGTGCAGGTGCAACAGTGCGCTGCATGTGCGCTGAGATAGCGTGTTAGGTATTTGATAGTACGGTCTGTTAGGGACGTACGGAAGGTTCCAGTATCATGCCTGCAGCCGCCGGGACACAGCGACGGCTGGCCAGGGCAGTGGGAGGCAGGTCTGTTATGCAGCAGCTGTTAGCGGGCAGGCTGCTGCAGTACATCTGCGTGAGGTTACTGGTAGCAACGGTATTGCGCTAGTAGCGGTAATGGTCCTAGTATGGATGTAATGCTGCCGGTGTGTAGCAGGTGGCGCACCGATGTGCACGAGTGAGTGGGTGGCCCTTGACGGGAGGCGGGTCGTGTGGAGTGATGTACGTACCGGTGATATGAGGGGACGGGAGTTGTGGGGGGCGTCTGTGAGATGGCATTGCGTGTATGGGATATGCACTTACTGCTTAGATCAACAACTTACTTGAGTACTGGTTTATTTCTTAGCACGTGGGGTGTACCGGCAGTAGCTGCGTCAGGTCTTAGCCTTAGGGGCCTTAGCGCTGTGCCGCAATCCTTATTGTGCTGCGATACTGCATAGCGGTGGGTTAAAGCGTCCTAAAGGGCCAACCCCTCGAAGCAGCGTTGTGTTATTTGTACGTCAGGACGTAAAGGTCAGCCTGCTGCCCTGTGATGGCGGTGCTGGCGTACTGTGGGGTTTGTGCGGTTGCATATGCCTCTATCAGGTACGAACGATGTACCCTTCGGTATCACTTCTGTATTTTCACAAATTAGTTCCGGGGGTATGATGTCAGACTACCCGCGCGCAACATATACGCGCACACATTTTATGAGTGACATAGGAGCAAGCAAGGTAGGGAGGCGCCGTGCTGTGTCAAAGCTGTCTTTCTATTACGAAGCGTGTACACGAACGTTAGTTGTATGCAATAAGGCTAATATGAGTGGCGCTGTAACGGGGGTTACTGTGTTAGGCTTCGCATGCCATACTACTGTATGGTTTCATCGCCAGGCTAGGTGTTGGAAGTTCTATGACGAGCCGGCATGAAGTTCGCTTATGACAATTAACATTGTACCGTTAGCCTTATTCAGCGACCTGAAAGCCTCGAGCGTTGCGGTTCTCTGCATTACAACAGCATTACAAAGACAAGACCGCGACGTCAGTTTTATTTTTAAGCTGGCAATTACATCGTAAGGGGAATCATAGAACATGCATAGCCTTACATTTTAGGAATTGGCTTATAATCAAGCTTGATTGGTAATGTACTGCCTGGAGCCCCGTCTTCGTTTGCCCTTCGTACAGCACGCAACGAAGCTTGGACTTTTCGGAATACTGACTTAGTTTAACACCTAACAAATACACTTTTCTTCCGCTTACAATTACAAAAGTACATAGCAACATGATGGAAACGTTTTACCCAACGAGCATGCACGCATGAGTTATTCCTTGCTCTGTGACAATATTTGATGGATAAGGTTAAGCTTAAGGCCCTTGTTGACGGGCTGGTTACTTCGGAGAATGGGCGAGATGAGGGTGTTTTGGCTGAGCTCCGTGGAATGGTCGCCAGAGCAACTAGTAAACACAACTTTGATCCTTCAAGCGTTATAGAAACCAAGTTACTGCAGCTTTTGCTACAAAACGTCCTTCCGGACGGGGAGGCATGCCAAGGTGCTGTGAGCGCATATGTTCGGCACCAGCAGCTCGCGGCGCTGGAGATGCTAGCCGGTGACGACAAAGACGAGTACGGTCTTTTATACTGGGCTTCATCTAGAAGCGCACTTGCGCCAGTCGCGCTCAGCCCGGAGTGCGACGCGTTTGCCGTCATCGCTGGCTTGTTGCAGTCCATCTCCGAAAGCCCCTCAGAGCACAAACCAGAGTGCGGAGCTGTTCTCTCGGGCGCTGCACGGGCGTTAGTTCGCTTGGTGCTCCGTCCAGACGGTCTATACTCAGCATATGCTGTGAGCGAAGAATGCGTCAAACAGGTATGCAGCCGTGGGTCCGGTAGCAACCCACATGTTGACCAGCAACGCGTTAGGATTGCCCGCTCCGGGAAGGCCCATGAATGCCCCCTCTGCTACCCTACAGGCCGTCTCCGCCGGAGCTCTGCCGGCGTTGATCAATGCCCTGTCATCCTACCTGGTCACCGCCCTCCTAGACGGGGGTGATGGCGCTGACGGGCGCTCCACAGCAACTAGCGGCGGCAGCGGAGGCGGCAGCGGCCGTATTCCGCAGGGGCCTGGCAGCTACAAACAAGCCCATGCAAGGACGCAATCCCAGCGGAGGCTCGACAAGCAGCAGAAGCAACAGGTGGCCATTGTGTCTGTCGTACATGCCGTACTGCAGTCGGTTGGGTACATCTGCCAGTCGCTAAGCAGGGAGCAGCTCCGGGAAACGGGGTTGCAGGACCAGGTGCTCTCGCCGGCGTTGGCGGTGCTATCAGGGCTGGCAGAGCAGCTGCAGGAAGCGGAGAAAGCGGCCGCTGCGGCTGCTGCCGCCGCCGCGGCAGCGGCGGCGCAGGCGGCCGCAGCGGCGGCCGCAGCTGCCAAGGCGGCTGCATCCAAGCCGCGCGCAATCGAGCACGGGACGGTCGCAATCCATGTCTCATACATTGGCGGTGACACCAACGCAGCCGGCAATCAAGGAGCCAGTGCAGCAGCGAAGGAAAAGGTTCCTACGATGCCTCCCGCGGCCACGCTGTCAGCAGTACTTGTACGAGGCCTGGACGGGCTCCTGAACTGCATGGAGAGTCGAACGGAAGGCAGGGTGGAGCCGGTACGGCAGCAGCGCTTGCTAGCTGCCATGATGAGCATGCCAGATGGTACGGCGCCGCTACTGGATCTCATACGTGCGGTGAGTACGGCACTGGAGAATCAGGCGGAGGAGCAGAAGGAGCATGGTGTTGTACGACATGCTGGGCTGGCGCATGGGGGTGCTGTGGCGCCGACGCTTGGCGCGCATGGCCATGAGGACTCAGCCACGGCACGTGGGAAGCTGCACGGTGTACGACATTCGTTGGAACCGTTCAAGGTGTTGTTCCAGCTTCAGACGTTGTGTCAGCAGAACATTGCTAACGGTGGCGAAGGCGGCGGCGAGGCTGACGGCGGCGATGATGAAGGCGGCAGCGAGGACGGCGGAGCCCTGGCTGGTCTGGTTTCGGAGCTGTCTGACGTCAGCACCTCTGCCGTACGAGCGACGTTGATGCCGACGCTGCTGGCACGTGGGGAGTTGCACCAAGCGGTTGACACAGCGGGGGCGTTGGAGGACCTCTTTCGGCATCTGCCCTCTGCCGGTAAGTCGGCGCTGGCGGGGGTCCTGGCGGAGGCGGCGGCGCAGCCGGCGGCGCCACTGGGCCTCGTCGTTGCGGTGGCCGCCGCAGCCGGCGCCATGACGACGGGCCAGGGCGCATCGACGTCAGAGCACGCCGCCGGAAAGTCAGGAACCTCAGGGCCAAGGCAAAAGAAGCAACCGCAGCAGCAGGCGACGCCGTCAGCGGCAGCAGCCACGACCCCGGCGCCGACGGCTGCCAGCAGCAGCGGCGGCGGCGGCGCCGCCGCCGCCACCCCAGGGCGCTTCCCGGCTGCCGTACAAGCTGTACAGGCGGCAGCGTACTGCACTTCATTGGAACATGCGCATTCTGTTGGCGGCGCCGACGACGGCGGTGCCAGCAGCGGCGGCGGCGGCGGCAGCCTCATGGGTTCCCTGCCGGCGGCGGCCATGGTGGGCCGCATGCGTGAGCTAGCAGAGCACCACCGAAACCAAACCGGTAGCCAGTCGCAAAACGGCCATACTTCCGCTGCTGCGGGTGAGGCGGCGGCAGGACGGGATCACGCCGGCACGCATGGGCAGGCTGTAGGTCTTGTAGAGGCAGTACTCGTAGGCCTGGCCGAGAACCTGCAGAGTTTCCTATCGGCAGCGGCCGAGCTCCTGCCCTCCGCCGACGCCGCAGCGGCGGCGGCGGCGGGCGACGACGCCTCCTCCGCCACCAGTACCGGGCATGTGGACGAGCTGGTTGGCCTCGTGTGTCGCTGCACGCAGCGCTTTCAGGAGCGCTTGCCTGTCGTACTGCAACACCTGCAAGCGCACTTGCAAGAGGTTGACGGCGGCGGCGGCGCGGAGGGTGGTAGCGGGGGCGGCGGAGGCGGTGGTTGTGACATCAAGGCCGCTGCCGGCGCGCCGCAGTCCTCCTCCTCCTCCGCTGCGGCGCCGCAGGGTCAGGACTTGCTGGTCTCCACGGCCTGTGTTGCCGCGACGCGGGTGCTTGAGGCGTGTACGAGCACCCTGGCGGCACCTCTGGGCTCCATGGGGCATGGTCACGGCCCTCGTCCCCAAGTGGTGAACAACAACCCGCCGCCGCCGCCGCAGCAGCAGCCACCTACCGGTAATGCCGCCTGTAGCAGCAGCAGCAGCAGCCCCAGCTTGGATGCCGCTTTGGGCGACCAAGCCGCAGCTGCGTTACGCATCCTAGCAGCAATCATCAAGTCCCCGCGAGCACCCGTGCATGCGCGGATACAGGCCTGCACCGCGGCGGCGCAGGCGCTGCATCGGCTGCTGCTGACGGAATGGACCGCCGGCGGCGCCGCCGCCGCTACCGCCACGCCTCCGCAGCTGCCTACGCAGCCAAACGGTGCGGTCTCCGGTCACGGCAGCGCGCACAAGCAACCCAAAACTGACGTCGAGGGTTCCTGTCCCTCTCGCTCTGCCTCCTCCGCAACCGCCACAACACACCCCCTTCTCCTCCACGACGCAACCGAAGCCGCGCAAGCCTGCCTGGACGCCCTCTTTGGCGTCTTATCGGATCCTGTCGTACATGCTGCGGATCCAGATCTCTTCGAGGACCAGGTCTGCGCCGGCCTGGCGGTGCCGCTTTCGGATCTCAAGCCGCGGAATCCGCTGGTTGCGGCAGTGGACGTGACACACAGTTTGGTGGTGGCGGCGCGGGCGCTCAAGGCGTTAGTGAAGGCGGTTCCGGCGGGGCAGCTGACTGGGGAACAGGAGACGCTATTGAGGTGCTTTGTGAACGCGCACGATGACGGTCTGCAGCACAGGTGGGCGGGATTGGTTTAGGACTTGGGAATGGGTGTGTTGGGAATGGGGGGAAGTCTAGGAAGGGTTTTTGAAGGTGTTGAGGGAAGAAGGGATGAGCGCCTTCACCGGTGGCCCAAAGCCAGCCTTAACCTACCCCTTTCAACCCACCTCTCCCCTCCCACCGCCTCCCCCAGCGCCTTCAACCTGGACCTCCTGTTCGCTGAGGGCGCTGTGCCGGTGCTGCTGAGGCGCCTGCACGACACGCCGCCCGATCAGCCGCTGGAGGAGGAGGCGCTGCAGTTCTTCGCATCGCTGACCGACTGGGTGCCCTCCTGCCGCCACCGGCTGAGGGACCTGGGGCTGCTGAGGCGGGTCAGCAGGCGCATGGAGAGCCCCAGCTGCGGTGAGGGCGGGGGCGATGGGGGGGGCCCGGGAGGGAGGGAGGTGAGAAGATAAAGGGAGGCGAAAGGCGTTGTGGGTGAGGGGACCGACTTGCATTTCCACTTAGCCATCTGTTGGTAAAACGCTAACAAAACAGGTTGCACCGCATGCCGTATACCACATGCACACCTCCCTGCTTGCCTTATCCCTCAGTCAGTTAGTTGTTTCCTCTTTACCCCCCTACCTCCCCTCCTCCGCCGCGCCAGGTGGTTTCGAGCTGGTGCTGCTGGTGTCCATCTGCAAGGGCATGAGTGAGAGCGAATCGCTGCACACGTGAGGAGGGGCTGGGGGGGGGGGCGGGATCGGAGGTACCTACTCGTGCTGGGGAGCGGGAACCTGGTGTGTGGTCGTGAGGCACGGGAAAGAGGGGCGGCAGTTCTAATTTCCCTTCATCAATCCGTTGACCAGCTACCTTCTGTCAACCGCACTTGCCATTCTTGCCACCCCCCGACCTTCCTTCACTGACCGTCCCGTCACAATGCCCTCCCACCTCACCACCCCGCCCCCTCTCTCTCCTCGCCCGCCCGCCCGCTTGCAGCTTCATGAAGGAGCTGGGGGTGGCTCGAGCACTGGCCGCAAAGGTGGGGTGGTAAAGAAGATACAGCAAACTGACTGAGGGATAAGGCGTCAACATGAGTGGGGTGGTGGTGGGTGGTGGTGGTGAGGGTGAGGGTGCGTGAATCACAATGGCCGTCACAGCCACCTCAAGCTGCCTCGATCAACCCGTACATGCTACCGTATGAACCGTGCTCCCGTCTCGTCGCGCATGCCGGTACGTTTCTGCATGTGCCCCTGGCCAACGTACGTGTATGCTTGCATGCGTCCCTCACCAATGCATGCTTGGTCATGTGCTTGGTCATGTGTGTCCCTGCCCCCACAGCTGGTGGCTGATGACCAAGCGGTTGACACGCTCCTGCCCGTCAGCACCACCGGCGGCCTGGACGCCTTGCTCACCCTCGCCAACCTCAACGGCGGAACGGCAAGCCCCGACGACACGCTCTGTCAGGAGCTGATTGTACGACACGACATTTCGGCTCAGATCGCCCAATTCGCCGCGGAGGCCGTTCTCTCCGATAAGGGCCTCGCCACGTATACCTTTCCCGATGGAACTTGGTCGATATACGACTTGCCGTCGTTGCTGACTTCATGCCAGTCGTTGACTCGTACGGCAGTCAACTGTGAGCGGTTGGCGCAGCATGGGCTGCTGCCCACGCTGCTTGCGGTGCTGCGAAGCAGCTCGCCTGCTGCTGCTGCTGCCGCCTCCGGCGCCAACTCGGTAACCACAACCACAACTCCTGGGTCTTCTGCAACGGATACCGCTTCCGCAACCGCTGCTGGCGCTGCTGCTGCTACCGGTGCTGCTTCCGGAGGGGCCGCGGGAGCTGCCCTAACGGATCCGCAGCTGGCGGTGCTGGCAGCACGCACCATATTCAACATGGCGCAGGTCTCCGGCCTGCATGCCCAGCTGCGGGAAGCCGGGGTGCAAGACGTGTTGAAGGCATGCCTCACGCGGGACGACCTGCGTGTTGTGGATGCCGCACGAGGCACGCTGCTACAGCTGGGGGAACTAACCGACACCGCAGCCACTCGGGCTCTCAAGGCGTCGTGTGCGGAGGTTACGGACCCCGCGGCTGCAATGGCGGCGGCGGCGGCGCAGGCGGCGGCTGGCGCCGCCGGCGCGGCGGGCGCGACGGGCGGGCCGTCGGGCCCCCCGTTGTACGACGTGTTCCTGAGTCACAAGCGGACGGACGCTCGGGACTTTGCGCGGGCGTTATGGAACCTGTTGGTCAGTAACGGCTACACGGTATTCCTGGATTTTGAGTTCAAGTAAGTGTTGGATGGGGGGGATAGGCTCTTGGCAGGAGAGGGGCAACATGGGGGGGGCGCTTTGGGCGGGGGCTGTTGGGAAGGGGGCCCAGGTCGGCCTTACCGCCCCACTTGTGTGTCCCCAACTTACCATCCATCCGTTTATTTGCTGTGAGGTGCGACCCCTGCATGCGTAACCCAATTGCACGCCCTTCTTGCCCGCCTCCCTTCCCCCTCCTCCTGACTGGGATTGGGACTCGTTGCTGCACTTATCATTTACTCCCCCCCTCCTCCTGACGTCGCCCATTGCACACCTCCCCCGCCACCGCCTGCCAGGCAGGAGCTGGGCAGTTTGGAGGACATGGTGGGTCGCTGCTCCCACTTCCTGTTCATCATGACGGACAATGTGTTCAAGAGCGAGTGGTGCATCAAGGAACTCACGGTGAGACCGCGCGGCTGGGGTGCGACAGGGCAGGGGCCTGAAGAGGCAGGCCATGCACCTTTGCCACTACACCTCGCAAGCTTTGCGAAGTGAACGCGACTAGGGGAAGAAGGGGAAGGAGAAGCCACCCCAAAACGCCGCCCACCCCGCAAAAAGCCATACTATTCCTCCGTTCCCCGCCCCCTCCCCCGCCTCTCATTCAGCACAATGGGTATTCTTCCTTCCCCCGCCCCTCCCCCAGGCCGCCGTCAAGGCCAATGTGAACATCGTGTTACTCATCAAGGACGGAGCCCGCTGGCCCGACCTAGACGGTAACCCCGTGTGCGACTTCCCGCCGCCACACCTGCTGCGCTCGCTGCCGGCCGAGGTGCAGCCCGTCTTCACGCGCAAGCCGGTGGTGCACAACGACGAGTACTACCGCGCGTTTGTGGAGGCGCTGTTTGACAAGGTGGGTAGGGGGGAGGGGGGTCAAAGACCAGGTACCAAACCATAGGAAACCACAAGTTAGGGCAAAGCAATGGGGGTAGGAGTTGGCAGGGCGCAGGGGGAGGGGGGGGGTGCATGGGGTGGTGGTATATAGGGGGGATGACGCAAACCACCTCTTGGCACCAACCACTTGAAGCTAACAGCCACCCTATCCTCCTCCGCTCCCACGTGCCTCTCCCCCCTCGTCCCCCAGCTCTACCGTCCGCCGCCCATGACTCCCCCCCTGGAGCAGTCCACCTCCCTCAGCGGCCTGCCCTCCGCGCCCCTCGACCTCCTCGACCCCGCAGCCGCAGCAGCAGCCGCTGTAGCGGCCGCAGCAGGCTACGTCACCACCCCCGTCTCCGCGCACCACATGCACCACCAACTGGGTCACCCTGGATCCGCGCACTCCGCCCACATGCACCCCCATGGGCCCGGCTCCGCGCATTCCGCACACCTACACACCTCCCACGGACCGCACTCCGCGCACCACCCGCTTCCCCACCCCTCGGCACATGGCCACTCCTCCGCGCATTCCCCGCACCATTCCGCACACTACCTGCCCCACCCCCACCACCACCTGGCCTCCGCAACCCACCCCGTTCATTCCGGGCATGGAGCGGCGCACCATCCCCCCCTGGGTCACATCATGTCCGGCCACCACCACCACCACCAGCTGCAACAGCAGCACCACCACCAGCAGCCCGGATCCGCGCACTCCTTTGACGGCTCCGGGCACCTGTTGATGTCGCAGCATCTCAACCAGCATCATGACGCACATCAGGCGGCGGCAGCGGCCGCAGCAGCCGCAATGGCGGCAGCAGCCTTTGCTACAGCGGGTCACGGCGGGTTGAACAATCCCGCTGCGTATACCATGATTGGGAACCCTTGGCCCGCTGCTGCGACTGCGGCGGAGGCCGCGGCGTTGTTGAATGCAACGTTGCATGGGGGAGGAGGGAGTGCGGGGCCGGGCGGGATGCACCCCAACAGCGCGAGTGCGGTTGAGATGGCGGCGCACCACCCGCATTTGCTGCTGCAGCAGGAGTGGATGCAGCAGGCGCTGCAAGCGGCTCAGCTGGCGGCGCAAGCGCATCAGCAGCATCAGGGCTCGGATGGTAACGGTACCGCAGCACAAACGACGGGGGATGCTCAACAGCAGCAGCAGCCACAGCAAGACGCCAACCAGCACCAGGACTCCCAGCAGCAGCAAGAAGCAGCGCATGGGCAGCTGGGGCACGGGCAGCCCCTGGTTTCCCCGCATCGTCTGCCCCAGCTGCTGTTCCACAACGCCCTCAGCGACCCGGGGGCTTTCACGGGGGCTACAACGGCGGCTGGGGGGAGCGATACCGCGGCGTCAGGAGGCAAAGCGCTCACGGAGCTGCAGGTGCGTGTGTTAAGAAACCTTGCCGTGTGTGTGAATGCCCGATGCGTGTGCGGGTAGACTCTCACGACGACTAGGGGTACCCTGCATGCGTCCTTCTTCTTCTGCTTGTCTGCACAAGACACGCTGCACAAGGCACGCAACTCCTCCTCCGTGCCGTACACCCCCACACTCAGGCCGAGCTCGGCGCCGCTCGTCGCGACTTGATCAGCGAGGTCACGGGTCTGGGTCGCTCGCTGCTCAGCGGGCAACAGGAGCTGCGTCAGGCGCTTCAGGCGGAGGTAGCCGCCAGCGCGCGACTGGTTTCCGGCGAGGTTCGAACGCTGGTTCTGGAGGCGCAGTCTCAGGTGCATGGGCTCAAAGTGGAGTTGGCGGATGTACGGCAGGAGCTGCTGACGAGCCGTCAGCAGCATGCGGAGATGCGTGGCATGGTGGCTCAGCTGCTGGACGGCATGGGCTCGCTCATGCAGCGGAATGTACAGCTGGAGTCGTTGCTTGGGGCGGGTGGCGGGAGTGGGGGTGGTGCGGCAAGTGGGGGTGCTTCGCATGGGGGTGGTCAGCATGTGCAGCAGCAGCATGCGCATGTCGGGAATGCAGCAGCAGTGCACCACTCGCATGCCGGTCTTGCGCCCATCTCTCCGTTGCCTGCCGGTGCGGGTGCGGCGGGTTGCGGTTACGGAGCCGGTCGGAGGGTTAGCAGTGGTTGCGGCAACAGCTACGGCAACGGCAACGGCAAGAGGCCAGGTGGTGCGCTGCCGAGGGTCAGCAGCAGCTGCTCTGGCGGCGGCGGCGGTGGCGGCGGTGGTGGCGGTGGCGGTGGTTTGTCACCGGTGTATTTCAGCAGGGCGCGTGTCAGCAGCTGTCTGGGCTACCTTCAAGGAGGTCCTGAGCTGCTGATGGGGGCGGCGGAGGCGGCCTTCTCAAACCCGGACGCGATCCCAAGCCACGCTGGCGGTCCTGTTGACCGTCGCTCCAGGAGCAGCGTGAATGGCATGTTGCCGCCGTTTGACCCAGTAGTGGCGGCGGCGGGGCCAGCAGCAGCAACAGCAGCGGGGGGGCTGCCGTACTCGCCACGCCACAGCTCCATTCTGCTGAACATGGCTGCGGGTGGTGGTGGTGGTGGTGCTGGAGGAGGAGCGCTTGGATCGCCCCGGGAGGCTGCTGCTGCTGCTGCTGCTTCGGGGCAGGTCAGGACTCGGATAAGGAGGGGGGGCAGCATGCGCGTTGTCTGGCCGTGAGTCGAATGGGTCACACGCAGGGTTGATGGATAGAGATAAGCCTCCACTTTCCACTCTTTTCACTCGTTTTCTCCTCATGCCCCGCCTCCATCCAGGTTGCTAACGAGGCGCCCAACCACCAGGGTGTACGACACTATCTGAGTCAGCCCATGGCGGTTTCGGAGCTGCCCGCTGTGGAACCAACCGGCAGCGGCGGTTGCGGTAACGGTAACGGCCGCCGCAGCAGTGTCACAGGCAGCAGTGTGCATGGGGGCTGCATCAGCAGCGGCGGTGGCGGTGGCGGTGCGGGGCTTGCAGGAGCCGTCTCAAGCGGTTGTGTGGCGTTGCCGCCGATCGCGACCGCCTCTGTGCTGCACCAGCATCAGCTGCTGCACCCCATCGGGAAGCAGCAACAGCAAGGCATGCAGCAGCAGCAGGTGGCGGGTGGTGGTGGAGGTGGTGGTGGTGGGGCTGTGTTGGGAGGGGGCTATCAGTTGCGTGGTGGGACGGTACACAACACGCAGCCCGCCGTCGCGCAGGGACGAAAGGGAAGAATCTGAGCGCTGCTGGGACATGGCATGGGCCGTACATGCCTTACAGCGTTGCATGCATGCATGCATGGTGCTACATGGTGCAGCATGCGGGGGAGCGGAGCTGTGTCACCAGTGTTGGCTGTGCAGTGGGGGGGGCTGGGAAAGAGCGGCTAGGAGGCCCGTTGCAGCATGCATGGAGTTCTACTCACCTGGGGCTTGCTTGACAGTGTCCGCCACACCCAAATGTGAGCGGGTAGCAAGCTGTGGGTTCAAGGAAGAGCAATGCGCGTAATACTAACACCACAACCGGAACTGAAAGTGTTGGATCGTGATTCGCGGCCCTTACATGTGACGTCTGGGCTGGGTGGGCTTGGTTTACTGATGTACCCGCATGTGATGCGGCGGACTGTCGTTCCAGTTGGTTGTACGCTGGGGCCTCCTCCGATGTGTCTTGGATGGCCCTGCAAGACCGTGTGAGCATTCCTTATGTTCCTTAATTATCAATGCGACGCGGCGTGTGAAAGCCGGCGTGCATGTATAACGCGCGATCCTCTTTACTACCTACACAATAAAGATGGCTTGGAACCCTGCTGGTGCCTTTCGCATGCAAGTCGGCTGTGGTCCCGGCTACGTATGCCGTGCGAGACCTGATGGCGTGATGTGTAGATGTGTTTTGCCCGTCGTCGTTTAACATGGTATACATGCGCTCAACTTTGTAGTGACCCAGGGACACGGCTCGGCTGCTGCCCGCCAGCGGTGATGTGCTTACTGACAGCGGGCACAGCCTGACAAGAGCGATGACCGTGCCCCTGAACGTTGCACGTGTGCCTCAATAAAGAGTACCCCGCGCTACTGTGCGTCGTCCGGATGTTGTTTGTTACCTGAAGCGAGATGTCTTGTCGTGTACACGCCAAAGCCCTGTCCAGGAGTGCTTGTCCGGCACCCTTGGCGACCTGGGGGCATGACTGTCTGACTTTCCTAGCATATACCGGTAGCGGACCACACGCGCGCGTGCGCATGTCATGCGCCGCGTCCTTTTGTCGTCGTTTGTTGGTTGTGTAACGCTGGGCGTGCCACCGCTCGATGTGGGTTTGGGATTTTTTCGGTTTTGTGATAGCGTTTCTTTATAATAAGTAGTCCAAGGCGTGGAGTTTAAAAGTGAGGTGCAGAGACGGTTCCCAGGGAGCTGCGAGACGCCCCCTGGCGGAATCGCAAGCTGTCTTTGCGGGGCGGACGGCAGTGCGTGGGCGTGCTCACGTGTGTTAAACAAACTGGCCGCGAGCCATGTGTTAAGGAAACTGTGTGTGTATGTGTTTTACTTTGCTAATACCGATAGTAAGTACCCTTGCCTCGATTGCCTCGATGTATTGATATATCGTTTGACCATTCCTGGACCATTCGTATATTTTACGCCCAAGCTCGGTTGGTAGGCTCTTTGATAGGCCTTTTGGCGTTGTGCGATACAGGCCTGACCGGGTTTCCGTGCTGCGGGAAGGAGAAGGAAGGGAGAGGAAGGATGGCCGAAGGACGGGGACAGAGGAATGGCAGCAGGAGCAGCAGTGCCAGCAGCGGCAGTGCGTGCCCTTTGACGGAGCAGTGTGTACATGCGGGGAGCGTATCTAGAAGCATGGGAAAGTCCGGGATGGGAGGAGGAGGGGGAGGTGAGGTGAGGTGCGCGAACATTTGCATAAGGACATGCTGTTGGTGCAGTTTTCATATCGCGTGAGCATTTCAGTTGGCCACCGGAAAGCTGTACGACAACAACTTCTCGATGTCATTGCGCTGTAAGCATGGGTGACACTGGTTAGAAAGCGTCGAAAGATAAATGTCTGGAGCACGAGGCTGAAGGCTGAAGGGTGGGCGTAACCTGTAAGCTTGGGAGAAAGGAGCGTGACTGCAGACGGTGGCAAGTAGACCGAGGATACGGTTGCGGCATGTCCCCTGCAGCCACCATTGCTAGGGGGTCTGGGGGAACGTTTTACTACTCTTGGGAAGAGGAAGCGTGGTAAGCTGCCATCCATCCAACTGCCGATAGGTCCCCAGTTCGCGGTTTGCAAGGACGTATTAGAGAGTAAAGACAAGGCATGTTAGGCAAGTATCAGAAGACAAGGCAAGGCAAGTATCAGAATATCGTCAGGCAACGCTTGTGGCCTGCTCTAGCCTGTCACGTTTGCAGGAAAACTTGACACCCTACAACCACACCCTTTACCATACGAGCCGGAAGCACAGATACATGCGGCAGAACTTCAACGCTAAAAGGCGTAGCAGGGCAAGCATATTGTTCACCTGGTTTTTCAGTTGGGCTGTAAAAGGCTGTACTGCTTTAAATTTGGAGGGGCGGTTGGATTGCAGCTGTCGTCCGAACTCCTCTCCGCAATCCATCATTCCTCACATGTTTGCAGAAAACAGACTTGATTAGCTTGATGTTTACGATTATTGCTAGCCTTGTAAGGTTCACTCTGTGCAACTTTTAATGCATCTGCACCAACGGTGGATAGCATGATCGTCTTAGACGAACTCCCTACATGATTGTAGTTTAGCACATATTGAAGACAAGTTAAACTCCTCCCAGTTTGTGTCAGCATCCCCTGTTAGCATGGCGAAGGATGAGCCGGACGCTTCCCTTCGCGAGCTTCACCTGTACACACATCCTGCCCTGCTTTATGGAGTTATAAGTAATCGCCAGGTAGTTTATTATCTAAGATCGTACCTAGATTCCGGAACATACGCGCCCCTCGAAATTGCCCGGAGGGGCCTAACGTGTCTACACAACACAACTCCCTCGTGCCGGACCCGGTGGCCCCAACAGCCCAGGCTCTTGCGACGAGGTCTGAGCTATGCTGCACGGACAGGCAAAGTGCGGGGTGCTCAGACGTCTGGGTAGGTCGGCTCCGGATCCCTGGCTCCTTGTCTCTAGCACGCGCATTTGTTGCGCAAAATAATGTGCTCCCCGGTTATCATATGAAAGACGCCTCAAACCCCATACACATGTGCGCACGTTCCTCCTCCTACCCCTGCTGTTTCCTTTCGACCTGACTGTGATGGTGCTGTAAAGACGCTACTGTGTCCCTGACGGCGGCTGCCACCCTCCCCCTCCCCGCTCACAGGTCCGCGCTGCATGTCCGACTGGGCGCATTGGACCTCTCAGGACATGACACACCCGCGGAGGTAAGGGAGGCGGAGGCAGGGGCGGAACACAGCTGCCTGACTGCCAAGTATGGTACGGTTAGGAACATGATGGTCAGCAAGCTGCCGTACGTGGCACGTGGGATGTCACGCCCTCCCGCCGTGTAGGGACCCCCCTCGCTGTACATGCGAGGCGTAAGATCCACCCATTCGCCGCTTCCTTCTCCACAGCTCCACCTTCCCACTCATCTCCCCTTCCCTGTACCGCCCGCCTACCTCCCTACCACAACCACCACTTGTTCGTCAAACTGATCGCGCGCGCAGGTCACGGTGCTTGTGGCGCTTTGCGAGGCCGCCAGCACGGGTCAGGTAGCATGTTATGAGGGTGTCATGAGGGGAGTGCAGAGGGTGTTATGACAGGTTGTGTGACGGCGAGCGTATCGTAACAGGGGGTTGACGTCTGCTTGTTTAGGACACGAGACACACGCAGCGACACACCCGTTGTGCGTCTTTCCCAGTCACGCTGCTCACGCTGGGAGACCGAGCTGCAAGAGCCAAGCTCCCATTCGTTTCCGGTTCCTCAGGACTTCAAGCCGGTGCGCGCCGCTGCCATCTCCCTCGCCTCCCTGAGCAGCTCCTCCTCGGGGGCCCTCCTCAGCCCGGGCTGCCTGACAGGGCTTCAGCACCAGAACCAGCAGAACCAGTACACCCAACACGAGCAGCCGCAAGCCTGGCAGCAGCAGCAGCCGCATGCTACCGGTTCGCCTGCTGCCGAGGAGGGACTGTCATCTGGCGGGCTGACGGGGAGTGTGGTACTGCCGCTGCCCGCCCGGCGGCTCACTCGACCCACCCTGCTGCTGCTGGTGTCAGGTTTGTGGCGGTGGGCGGGTGTGATGGTGGTGGGGTCAAGTGTGTGTAGAGGTGGCGGCGGTGGGGGTGGTGAGGATGTCAGGTGGTGTGCTTGACGACGTGACCAGGGGTAGTCCTGGAACGGTGTTGCGGCCCCCTGGGTGGAGCGTCAGCTGGATTGCTCCCTATTGTGCTCGAGTGCCGTTTGGAGGGACCGCATCTTCCTTGACCCACAACCTGCATGCCCCTCCCTACCGCAGCACTTCCTCCACCCCACCCCTCTCAACCCCCACCCCTCCGGCCCCGCCCTGCAGACTGCCACCCCGACCTGACTGCCCTCGTACCGCCCTCGGGGGGCGCCCGGCTGCTGAGAACGGGTGGGTGCGGCTCCTGAGGAGGAATTGACTACCGCGCCCTGCCGCGTCTTGGGCCGCCCTGCATGAGCCTCCTCAATGCAAGCCCCCTACCCCAATGCAACTCCCCTACCTCACTGCAATACCCCTTCCTCACCAATCATGCAACCCCTTTGCGTCCCCCCCCCAGATCTACATCCCGGCAGTCCCCTACTGGGTCTGCTGCCCGACCCGGGGCCCGTGTGGGCGGCGGTGCACCCCCTGGGGGAGCTGCTTCCGGCGGGCACCAGCGGGGGTGGAGGTGGCGGCCAAGGAGCAACCTGCACTCCCACTCCTGCTCAGCAGCAGCAGCAGCACCAGAGGTTGCAGCTGCGGTTGGGACGGCTGGCACTGTCCAGGTGCAGTGTGAACGCGGCAGGCGGCCGGACGCTGGTGGCCATGTTGCTCAACCTGAGCCTGGGGCCCGGCAGCGGGAAGCCGGACGCGGGTTTGCGGTTGCAAACTGGGGGAGGAGCAGGTGTGGGGACAGATGCGGTGGCAGCGTCAGCAGCGGAGGATGGAGTCGAGTGTCCAGGAGTGGGGGGTCCCGCAGCAACAGAGGCGGCAGCAAGCAGACAGGGCTCAAAAGGAGGCGGGGCCAAGGCGGGCCGTGGTCACGGCAGTGGTGGTAACGCGGCGCATGGTGCGGATGCCAGTGACGGGGCTGTTGCGGCAGCGGAAGTCGCAAAGGCGGACCCCAACGCGCTGCTGATGTCGCGACCCGCGGTTCAGTTCATCCAACTGGAGTCGCTAGCGGTGGCCATGGCGTTGGAGGTCAAGGATTGCGCTGCTGCGGCGGCGGTTGCTGCTGTTTCCGTACAGAGGCGACTGTACGGCACGGTTGCCGGGGCAGACCTGCAGCAGCACCAGCACCACCAGCACCAAGAGGAGAGAGGTGTTGTGGAGTTCCGATACATGCTGGACAGCGGGTGCGCGAAGCAACGGGGTCACCAGGCTGCTGCGAGGCAAGGGGAGGTGAAGGAGCGGCGGCGGGGCGGACGGCAGCCCGGTGGCGGCAGCAGCTCCGCAATGGCAGCAGCAGCAGGCGGAGCTGGAGCTGCTAGGATGCCGGCGCCCCCTATCGCCGTCGCTGCAGCGGCAGCAGCCGGGCTGGGAGCGGCGCTTGCGGGGAGGAGAGGGTGCGGCGGACGTGCCGCTTGGATGCAGCAGCAGATAAGCAAGGTAAGGGGCGACTGGCAGCAGCAGCAGCAGTTGGCAGGGCTTAGTCAGGCCAGAGAGACCTAGGACAGGACGGATATACGCACGGCATCCGCACCACCCGCCGGCAACGTGTGGTCTCATGGAAGTGATGAGTGTGATTTGAAGGGCTGTTGACAACGGGATGCGGCAGGGAACGAAACAGGTGCTGGCCCAGTCGCTGTGCATGTCGCACTACATGTCTGCTTCCAAGGAGCTGGGCTCGTGTCCCTGTTCCCGCAGGCGCTGCAGGCGGCAGAGGCTGCTGCTGCTGACGCGGACAAGGAGTGCTGCTTTGTGGAGGAGACGCGGGCCCTGCCGGGCGGGCTGTTCAGCTGCCCCATGTGTCCGGCGGCCTGCAGGGGAGTCCAGGTGCGGGTATGTATGAATGGCCGTTACAATGGTTTCCTTAAAGGGAACACGGGGTGATGAGCCCAAACCTACACTGCACTACACGGATATATGTGTCTGTGCATCTGTGTTTGTGCTGTTCGGCTTGTGTGGCGGTGACACAAGGGCGCAAGTTGACCACCTGTTTGGGGATGCACCGCTAGCACAGCCGAGCCGAGTCCTGTGCGAGGGGAGCACCAGGTGGAGGGCACCCACCGGGGCCTGAACGCGCGATCGTATCGCACAAGCAAGCAGACCCATCATGTCGGCATCGTTTGCTGCCCAGCACCACTTCCTAGATGCCCTCTCCCTCCCTCCCTCTCCCCCCCACACCCCTATCCCCATTGTCTTGCCCCAACCTGTGGCTTCCTATGGTTCGGTATGGTCTTTGGCCCCCCCACACACACGGCATTCCACACATCATTCCGCACCTGGCTTTCCTTCTTTTCCCCCACATGGCTCCACGCACGGCTCCTTCCCTGTCCCCACCTGGCAACGCAGGGCCTCCGGCAGCACCTGACCGCCAGCCACGGCCTCTACAGCTACACCTTCCTGACGGACCCGCGGGTCGGCGGAACAGACGCAGCAGTCCCAGTGGGCCGCCACCTCCCTCACGCGGAGCCGGTAGCTGAGCAGGCGCTGCTGCCCCGGCATGTGTTGGAGGTGGGGTTGCGATGACAGGTTGCAACTTGGGGGGCGGCACGGAGAGAGGTGCGCCTGGGTAGGCCAGCCCCACCCCCTGCCCTTACTGACGCTGCTGCTCCATGTTGCTGCTCCCCATATCTGCCGCTCTCCACTGCTGCCTGCCGCCCCCCCCCACACACACACACGCTGCTGCTGCTGCAGGTGCGGCTGCCCGGCAGCTCGGTGGCCCCCTCGGGTTGCGACCTGCTGCTGCGCCCCAGCGAGGACGTGGTGCTGCTGCCGCCGGCGCGCAGGGGGGCGCCACCCACCCTCATGGCGCGGGTGAGAGAGCAGCCAGCGGGCAGCAGGAGGGCAGAGGGGGCAGCAGGAGGGCAGAGGGGGCAGCAGGAGGGCAGAGGGGGCAGCAGGAGGGCAGAGGGGGCAGCAGGAGGGCAGAGGGGGCAGCAGGAGGGCAGAGGGGGCAGCAGGAGGGCAGAGGGGGCAGCAGGAGGGCAGAGGGGGCAGCAGGAGGGCAGAGGGGGCAGCAGGAGGGCAGAGGGGGCAGCAGGAGGGCAGAGGGGGCAGCAGGAGGGCAGAGGGGGCAGCAGGAGGGCAGAGGGGGCAGCAGGAGGGCAGAGGGGGCAGCAGGAGGGCAGAGGGGGCAGCAGGAGGGCAGAGGGGGCAGCAGGAGGGCAGAGGGGGCAGCAGGAGGGCAGAGGGGGCAGCAGGAGGGCAGAGGGGGCAGCAGGAGGGCAGAGGGGGCAGCAGGAGGGCAGAGGGGGCAGCAGGAGGGCAGAGGGGGCAGCAGGAGGGCAGAGGGGGCAGCAGGAGGGCAGAGGGGGCAGCAGGAGGGCAGAGGGGGCAGCAGGAGGGCAGAGGGGGCAGCAGGAGGGCAGAGGGGGCAGCAGGAGGGCAGAGGGGGCAGCAGGAGGGCAGAGGGGGCAGCAGGAGGGCAGAGGGGGCAGCAGGAGGGCAGAGGGGGCAGCAGGAGGGCAGAGGGGGCAGCAGGAGGGCAGAGGGGGCAGCAGGAGGGCAGAGGGGGCAGCAGGAGGGCAGAGGGGGCAGCAGGAGGGCAGAGGGGGCAGCAGGAGGGCAGAGGGGGCAGCAGGAGGGCAGAGGGGGCAGCAGGAGGGCAGAGGGGGCAGCAGGAGGGCAGAGGGGGCAGCAGGAGGGCAGAGGGGGCAGCAGGAGGGCAGAGGGGGCAGCAGGAGGGCAGAGGGGGCAGCAGGAGGGCAGAGGGGGCAGCAGGAGGGCAGAGGGGGCAGCAGGAGGGCAGAGGGGGCAGCAGGAGGGCAGAGGGGGCAGCAGGAGGGCAGAGGGGGCAGCAGGAGGGCAGAGGGGGCAGCAGGAGGGCAGAGGGGGCAGCAGGAGGGCAGAGGGGGCATGCAGGAGGGCAGAGGGGGCAGCAGGAGGGCAGAGGGGGCAGCAGGAGGGCAGAGGGGGCAGCAGGAGGGCAGAGGGGGCAGCAGGAGGGCAGAGGGGGCAGCAGGAGGGCAGAGGGGGCAGCAGGAGGGCAGAGGGGGCAGCAGGAGGGCAGAGGGGGCTGCAGGAGGGCAGAGGGGGCAGCAGGAGGGCAGAGGGGGCTGCAGGAGGGCAGAGGGGGCAGCAGGAGGGCAGAGGGGGCTGCAGGAGGGCAGAGGGGGCTGCAGGAGGGCAGAGGGGGCAGCAGGAGGGCAGAGGGGGCAGCAGGAGGGCAGAGGGGGCTGCGGTGTGGACCGTGCGCTTGGAGAGGCACAGTAGCCCATGGGCTGAGCTGCAAAGCATGGATTGTATGGGTGGTGGTGATGGGGATTGCCCGACCTTGTCGCGTTGCGTGGTGATTGCATGTCGTCTCGCACCGTGCTAAGGCAACCATGAAGACAGCTGTTCATAGCCTTCATACCACACCGCATGTACTGGTACTGGTATCATCCATGATGTCCATGCATCATCCATGTTTAGCTCCTTTCCAGCGATTCCATGCGCGGCTCCTTAACCACGACCCTACTGCCCACCGCACCGCACCCATGCAACCCCTCCCTCCCCCCCCAACAACCACAGTCCTGGGTGTTCAGCCGCACCGCCGGCCTGACCCGCTGCGTCTTCACGGACGAACTGGCCTCTGGGGAGGCCTCTGACGGGGAGTCGGAGAACGAGGAGGAGGGTGATGGGGGGCAGGGGGCAGCTGCGCACAAGGCAACAGCAGGGAGGCAGGCAGCGACGCGGGGTCGGGGTCGCGGGGGCAGAGGCCGTGGCCGGGGCGGGGGTCGAGGTCGGGGTAGCGGCGCCAGCAGCAGGGGTGCGGGACGTAGCGCGGGTGCTGCCTCGAGGGGTGGTCGGGGACGTGGGGGGCTGGGTGGTGGGGAGGGTGAGGAGGGGACGCCGGGAGTGGGGCGGACAGCTCGTAAGCAGTGGCAGGGGCTGGGGCAGCTGGGGGAGGATGGGGAGGTTGGCGGGCGGCAGGAGGCAGCGGTGGAGGCCGCGGAGGAGGAGGGAGCCGGTGCGGAGCCGGCTCCGCAGGAACTTGCTTCAGCTGCTGGTGGTGCTGGTGATGTTGCTGTTGCTGTTGCTGGTGCGGATTGCGCGGCTGCTCCAGCCCCTGCTGTCGGTGCGGACGTGGGTGCTCCTTCCATCTTGGTAAGAGGGAGGATTTGGATATGGGTTGCAATTTTCTGACTTTTGGAGAGGCGTGCTTCGTAAGTACGACTTAGCGCAGGTCGAGGAGATCTTGGCTGCAGAGAGCACCTCACATCTCCTGGGTCACTTTGCCGACCCCCCTCCCCCCCCCCCCCACAGGAGCAGCATGGGAACCCCGCCGCATGGGCGGCCGGCCCCATGTCGCCCTGCTCGCCCCCTCCCTCGGCTGAGGAGCTGGCGGCGGCAGAGGCCTTTGCGTGGGCAGCAGCCGGGGTGACTCCCGCGACCCGGCGAGCGGGCGGCGCCGGGGCAGGCGAGGAAGCGGTGGCGGCAGCAGCCGTCCAGCATGCGGCAGCAGCAGCGGCAGGTGCCGATGCCGCAGCGGCGGGTGGTGATGGTGATGCCTCACGGTCCCCTCCTGCGGTGGTGGTAGCAGCGGCAGCAGCAGCCCCTGTGCCTCCGCAGCCTCAGCGAGCAGCAGCCGCTGCTGCCGCTGCTCCGGCTGCTGCTTCCGTGGTGGAGCTGGAGTCGAGTGCCGTGGCGTTGGAGGTTGCGGCCCGCTTCCCCGGGCGGCGCTACTTCCACAGTCGCACGGGGGTGCCGGGTTGCGTTGAGGACATGTTTGGAGGGCAGGACAGCGAGGATGAGTCGGATGATAAGGAGTGGGAGGTAAGGCGTGCTGGAACGTGTGTTTGCGAACTGCACAGCGGAATCGGGTCTTCGAGTCTTCGCCGCTTGGGGAGGGTGGCTTTCTGGGAGCGAAATATGCAACCCGTTTCCTTCAAACGGCCGTTTTGGCCAACCCGTGATAACTCCGCTTGTCCTCCCGCGTCCGGGCTCTTTCCCCCACTCCCGACGTGACCAGGCCGCTTTCGACCACCAAGTCCGCCTCATGGGCCGCACGCAGCGCCGCATGAGCCAGCGACCCATGGGTCCATCAGAGCGCTGCCTCATGAAGCTCTGGGCGGCGTTTGCACGGCGGCGGCCGCTGTACGCGGATTACGTAATGCCGCGTCGGTGCCTGGAGTTTGTGCGGGAGCACTGCAACCTCTTCCACAGTAGCAGCAGCAGTCCTTCCCCGGACGCCAAAGCCAATGCCAACCCCGACTCCGACTCGGCCGGTGCATGTGCTGGTGTGGACAGCCGTGACCTGCGAGCCGCCCTGGCTGCACACCTGCTGCTGCTCAGGCAGATGAACCTGATTGACCCACGGGTCATTCTTCGCTGCCTAGACATTGCAGATGGAAGGTGCGTGGCTAGGAGGGCTGCCTGGTTGCCACGTAGGACTGAAGAGGCTGAGGCATGCTAGAAGCAGGAAAAGACTGTGTATGGCTGCAAGGGAGACGCAGCTATCGCAGTTCTCCAGTGCTGAAACCATCCCTACCCATCGCCGTTCTCGCCTCTCGCCGTGATCCGCCCACTCAGGATCGCCTCCACCGCGGAAGACGATGCGCAATTCCTCAACCCCCATACCACTGCAAACACGACCAGCCGCCGTACGGCTGCAACCGCGGCTGCCGGTGCTGCTGCTGCTGCGTCGAACGCCGCCGCGCACACCTCTAAAGGTATTCCTTCCGCCGCCGGCGGCGGTCGTCGTGTCAAGATGGTCGGCGGCGGCAGTGGGAGCATGCCGCAAGAGGGGAAGACAGCCCATGGCGTCACCGTCACCGCCGCCGCCACCGGTTCCTTACATGACGGCCACGATTGCGGTGTAGCGCTTGGCGTCAGCGGCGGCGGGGAAGAGAGGGGAGGAGGTGCGGAGGAAATGGAGGTAGATGTCGTCAGCGGCGCACTGGAGCGACAGGGAGGAGGACGGTTTGGACGCTCGCCTGAGGGAGGCGGCGTTGACGATGGCGCTGACTGCAGCATGGATACAAGCGAGCCGTGCAAGAAGCCGGCTGCTGCTGCCGCAGGACAAAAAGAAGAACCACCCGTATCACGGTCACGCCGGGGCTTGCAGGGGCCCACTGCTGCTGTGAGGCTGAGTGCGGCAGTGGAGGCGGGTGCGGTGGAGGCCGAGGTGGAGACGGCCCCCGCAGCCACCCATGCCGCCGCAGGCGGAGGGGTGGAGGATACAATGGAGGTGGAGACGGAGGCTGCGGCTGCCTCGCAGGTGCAGGTGCAGGTGTCGAGGCCTGCGTCAAGCCACCAGCAGCGGCCCCGAAAGCATGAGCTGCAGCAGCAGCAGCAACTGCCGCTGACACAGGAGGAGCGACAGCAGCAGGACCCGCAGCACACACCGCAGCGGCCAACCGGGTCTCGCTCCACGCCTGCGCAGTGCTGGGCAAGAAACAAGAGGGCCCGATGGGCGGGGGCACCGCCGCCAGGGACCCGTGGGTCACTGCCGCAGCTCGTGCTGCCGCCGCAGCAGCAGCAGCACACCAGCAGCGGCAGCAGGACTGCTGCGGCAGCAGTTCCGGGGTCGCAGACAGCGGCTGGGACCAAGCCAGCGGCAGTTGGCTAGGCGGCGGCAGTGAAGGCGAAACACGCGCCGGCGGTTGCGTCTAGCGATACAACATCGGGTTGACAATAGGGACGCCCACACCCAGTGCTGGCCGGAGGGGTGTGGTACTTGTAGACTGGCAGGGGACGTGTTCGCTGTGTAGGGTTTCAAGGGCCGTACGGGTGTTTGGTGGCGGTAAGGTTTGCGTGTTAGCATGCCGATGACAAGTTATAGTATTTTAGCTGCAACCTTACGTGCGCGGTGAGCCTAGCGGTGTGCGTAGCCTACGTAGCCTATGTACTGTCCGGGCTGAGTAGACGGTCCTTTATATCGTTGGACCGAGGTTACTCCCAGGCGACGTTCCTTGGCATCACGGGCTGTTAGGTGTCATCACGATGCATGCTATATTTAAACGAAGCTGCTAATTACATAGTCAGTCCCCACCGGACACACTGGCGCGCGACACATGGTTGCCCCCTTCCCCCCACGCACACGCCCTCCCAACCCACAAACACACTCCCCACAGCAAGACCCGCGTGCCGCTTAAGCCTAACAAGCATGCAGCTTCTACATCCCGCATGACCGTCGCGGCCGTCATCAATGGAAATTCGGGAATGGCAGCACCGCCAGCGCCCACATCGTACGCCGTACTGCAAGCAAGGCGGCAGCAGGAGAGCTGCAGCAGCAACCAACATGCATATTGTGGACGGAAAAGCCATAACTGCAATCATAGAAGGCATTTACACCCATGAGTTTACTTTATTGACAACTTTGAAAGAAAAACAAGCCTATAAGAGCGTCCCTGGCAATTGTAATCAATACCCTGTTTGTATACCCCGCATCCCTAATCCGAAGCTGCGTCCCGTACTGACAGTCGATTTGCGACGTTCAAGGTTGAATTTCATCAATGAATACGACACCCGCAGCATACCCACAAAACTAGCAACGGTAAAAAAGATGACACCACAAGACTGAGCCTATTCAAAATGTATGGCAGACTTTACCACGTAGAGCACGACTGAATTACTTCAGGTTCAGGTTATTTCAGCCGTCAGGCACACGTTAGAATGCCGACATAACATTGTTGCATTGTTAAACCCCAACAAGGGAGGCGGTAAATGTGTACGGCTAGGCGTCATAGCCTGTACAACACAACAGTGGGCTGCACCTACACAGCCAAGGGAGCACGCAACAAGGAGGGAACATGTGCCAAAACTCCTCAATTCTCCGAACAGATTAGGTTCCTTGGAAACTGGGACCTCTCGTACTTCAGATGCTTCAGGATACATCGTAGAAACGGTAACAACTGCAGGATAATCCCAAACAACTACCGTCCCTCTCTAATTTTCACATGCGTCTGATTAACCACTATGACCACAGCCTCAGACCTCAGATTTCACATTTAGGATGTTTCTATTTCCAGCTGTTTGTCCCCTGCCTCATGCACCCGAGCAACTACAGGAATTGCTGCCACGAACGGGGCTTGCGGCGCAATGTGCGTGGCACCCATCAACCGTTCCAGACTAACACAGCCGTACTATCTCCTACAACAGCGTCGCCATGGGACACCGTCACCCACGTAGGGGCTTGTAAATTAATAAAAAAAGCAACATGTGACGCGGTTGCGCAGGTAATGACGCATACAATGGTGGCCATGTGCCCGTTACTTTTATCCCAGATAAGCGCTGCAGCCGTACGCTACGCATTGCATCCTAGCCCGGCCGTCTTTGCGCCGGACCTTCATCCTCCCGACTTGAGTTTTCCAAAGGCATTACACCGGTCGCAGACCCCAATACGGGGCCAAGTGCAATGTACACAAACGCCGCTCACACATTTGTTTACAACACCTCCTTGCAGCAGCAACCCCAAGACATGCATACCTGTAGCTGCAACAGACGGGGCCCAACACCCCCGCTCCCCAGCGCCGTCCCACACGCAGCTCACTTGCTGGGGTCGAGCCTTTCACCCGAGCTACTCAACCTCGATGCCCCCTCACCGCCTCCCTTGCCGCTTAGGCTCTTGATACCCCTCTTAAGCCGCCGTCGCAGTCCATGCATCATACCCAGCATGGGAGACAGTCGCGCAGTGTCGTCCACGAGGTGACGGGAGAGCTGCTGCGTGTGAGCCTCCTCGGAAACATGCATGTTGCTGCTGCCGACGCCGCCGCCAACACTACTTGTCGTACTGCCATTGATGCCGTACAATGGTGCAGGCGCAGGCGCATCGCAGCTAATCCGACGACTATCAGCAATGCCCATGCCAACGCCGATACTGTAATGGGTTCCGGCAGTTGATCCCCGACGCATAAGGCTACCAAACCAACTGCTGCGAGACGTTGCCGTTGACCGTTGTTGTCGCTGCCCAGTCGCCGACGTCGAGTGTGCGTCATGTTGCGCCGTCGCCGACCCATGGGTCACCGGCTGCAACTGCTGGAAGTGCAGCAGGCTAGCTTGCTTGGCCAGGCTGAAACTGTTGGCTTCCGGCAGCGGAGCCGAACCACCCCCGGCAGCGGCTGCAACCGCAGCCGTTGTGGCCAGAACCTCAGGCAGGGAGGGCCGTAGACCGCTCCTTGCAGAAAGCGCACCACTCCCACTTTGACCTCCGCCGCCGCCGGCGCCGCTGCCAGCGCTCATGAAACGCAGCCGGCTGCTGCTTCCGGCGCCGCACGCGATGTGGTGTCCATTTGCACTGGTGCTCGCACCACCCCCGCCAGAGCTGCACATGTCCCCATGCAAAGCCAACATACCGACTGCTGCTGTCGCCAACCCCCCACGCGACGCCGTACCAGAACCCGTCATCAACGCCAGCGTTTGAGCCCCCTCAATGCGCTGTCCGCTGCTAACCATTGACGTCGCCGCCGTGGTACCACCACCACCACCACCACCACCAGCAGTCGCAACAGAGCCGGATGTCGTGTCCCCGCCGCTGCCGCCCTTACGAGTATGGCTCGTCGTACCAGCCGTGCTACGGGCTTGCAGCACCGCCGCCGCGCCGCCGGGATTACTGCTATGGGAGCTTACCGTGGTTCCCCCGCGCGTGAGCAGTGCACCCGCGTTGCTCAAGTTGCCGTTGCCGCTGGCGACGGCAGCTGCCGAGGGAAGCGGCAACATGTGCCCCAGCGTGACGTCGGTGAGAGACATCAGCGAGGGATTGCTATTGGAGCTGCGGCCACTTCCGCCGCTAGCAATTTGCCGCGATGAGCCCTGGATACCGCCCATAAGTACGACACCCATGACGCCGCCGCCACCGGTGCCGCCGGCGGCGCTGGCGCTAGCGCTTGCCGCGGTTCCACCGCTGCCGCCTGTCGGCGGCAATGTGCCGCCGCTAGACGAGACGCCTGTGTGGGAGTTGAGCAGCCCTTGAAGGGTGAAGTCCGAAACGGGAAGGCTCTCCGGACCCACGGGTCCGCCGTTAGATCCGAAGAGGATGCGCCCCGCGCTGTTGCGTGGCGCATCTACGGAGCTGCTCCGCCTTCCGTTGCCGCCGCCAGCGACGAATCGTACGACGCTCGTCGCGGCGCCGCCGCCAGCGGACCCGGAGGAGCCGGATCCGCTACCGGGTGCGGTTTCCAGGTGCGGAGGCAGCGGCTGGGGCCCTAGAAACAAGTTCTGGACTTTCCGGTTCGGGCTGCGGTTGGGCTGGAGTGCACGGACTGCATGCGGCCGCTTCGCCTCGTCTTGGGCATCGCAGCCAGCGACGCCGTTTTCAGCGTATCCGCCGCTGCCGAAACGTGCCGTACCATCCAGGTTATGCTCGCCACCAACCGGTGCCAACCCTAATGCATGGCGCGTACCTCCCAGCACAGAAACGGTAGCAACGGCCGTCGACGGCGAAGGGCCTGTGTCGTACATGCCTGGCGGCCCCCGTTCAAGAGTCGTCGACGTCGCCGACGTCGGGTACGGCAGCGGCGGCCAGGCCCGACGCCCTCCGCTGGGAAGGACCGCTGGCGGCGGCAGGCCGCGTCGTTGCGTCAAACTGCCACTTCGTACGACACCGCCTCCACCGATGCTGCTGACGGCGCCGCCGCCACCGTCGCTGCCGCGAGCGGACGACTGCCGTACGACAAGACCCGCACCACTGGATGCTGAGCTGGGTCCCGTACCTGCTGTATCCGTACAAGAGCTGTGTGCATGGTGCGACCCGGATTCGCCGCAGACCCCGCCAAGTGTCTCATCTTCGCCGATCCGAATAAGGCCCGTGTCGTGCAGATGCCGCCCAAGATCCAGCGAGCCCCGCGGATTGTACGGAGCTAACACGTTGCCACCACCACGATTGGTCATGTTGCCACCACCGCCGCCGCCGGCACTGCCCGCAACGGCACCGACGCCCACGCCAGCTGCTGCAACGGAAAGGCCGCCGGTATCGGCGGTGGCATAGGTGGCGCTGCTGGTACCCGAAACGACGGTGAAGCCACCATTGCTGATGGCGCTGCTGTAAGCCCCACCTGAATAGGACGTACTCGAGTAGGGCCAGGTAGAGCCCCCAGGGGCGGTACCCCGCCCTCGAGATGCAGAAACGGGACTGGGCATTGAGCTTTGCGGGCTGCCAGCTCCGAAACCAACCGCATCGCTGTCACTGTACGGCATGGCTGCATGCAGGTTGCTCGGCGACCGCCAACTATCCCCGGTCCAACTGCCTGCATTGCCGCATGCAACGTCTGCGGCAGACGCCGCTCCTCTAGAGGGATAGCGGACTGACAGAGAGGGCGCATCTAGGGAAGCCCGCCGCTGCTGGTGTGGACCGCGTCTTGCAGTGCCACCGAAAGCACGAGACGCGTTGGGGGTGGTCCCAAAAGAAGCGGCAACGGCAGCTGCGGCGGCGGGTCCAGAGAAAGGGCTCGCATCCTGCCTTGATCGCCTTTCCAGCCCTGTCGCATTGGCTGTTTGAGGGCCTAGAGACACCTCCCCTGCGGCGTAAACACGCGCCGCGGACGTCGCTTCCAGCAATGACCCGCGGGTCAGTGGCTGCTGCTGCTGCTGGTGGGGTCTTAGATCGTACGGGCGGGGTGAGTGAGGAGGCTGTTGCAAGAGTCTGTGCCGCGGTCGCAATGGCGAAGCGGATGGAGAGGCCGGGAGTCGCGACACTGTGCTGACATGCTGTGGGAGGCTGCTGCTGTGCACGGGCAGTCGCTCTGATTGGGCTGTCACTGTTTCATGTGTGTCTCGTTGGGCGGAGGCGGCGATCAGATCGTTGGGTGGAGATGAGCTGGCGACGGCAGCGAGGGCCTCGGAACGGAAGACCTGAGGCGGACAGCAACGAGCGGCGAGGGAAATTCAGTTGCCGTTGCTGGTTGGGGTGAAGGGCTCGTTTTCCACCCTCCCACGCACCTGTCGTCCGTCAGCCAATACAATCACTTGCCGCAAGTTCTCAGATTGGCGTTCATTGGGGAGGCGCTCCAGTGACGCAACCGCCCCGTCGCGCATCTCAACGACGCGACGTCCGGCGGCGCCACTGCCGCCTGACGCCTGCAGCATGATCTCCTTTAATCCAGCGCTCAGGCTGAACCCCGCCGCCGCCTCCCCGCCCTGATCGTGGGGCGTGACTCGTACGACAGGCGCCGCCGCCGGCCCCGTCAATGCCGTAACGGGTTGAGAAGCCAACGGTACGGCAGTCACGCCGCCACTCAACAGTGACGGAGCCGCCGCTACCGCCGCTGCCGCGGCGTTAACCGCGGCGCCCAGTCGGCTTGCGCCAGCTCCGCCACCGCCATTGCACGACGGCGGCGCCATTCCCGCCGCCACCGTCGCCGCCGCCGTCGCAACGGTAGCGCCAACCGTTTCCGTGTTGTACGGCGAGTACGACGACTCTGACAGCCCCGAGGAATTCAGTTGGAGCCCGTGCACAGATCGCCGCGCAACCGTCATGGAGGCTGCCGTACTCAACGGCGGCGGCAGAGAGCCTGTGTTGGCGGCGGAGGCGCCCCCACGAGCTCCCGGGTTGGCCCCGATGACAAAGGGCGACGAAACGGAGGATAGCAATCTGTCGTACGTATCTGCGTCGAGGAGGGTTGACGACAGCACCGACGTGGCGTCGTTGACGTTGCCGGGCGCGTTGATACTGGTTGCCGTCGTCGTCGTGGTTCCGGCGGCGGGGGTGGCGGAGGCGGAGGTGACGACGGCAGTTGCGTCTGGAACCATGGACGACGACTGCGGCGGCTGCACCGCCGGCTCTGTCGGCGGGATGGGCTTCCGAGCCGTGAGCGCTGGGGGTGGTACGGACGCCGTGCGCTGCGCAGCATGATGGGGTGCCGCAGCCGCAGCCGCAACTGAGCCTCGGACGGAGATGCCTGCAACACTTCCGGCGACGGGTGTCGTTGCTGATATCGATCCGCCTGAAAGCAATACGCCGGCAGCCGTCAGACCACCAGCGGCTTCAGACGCCGCTCGACGCATTGACGGTTGTAACTCTCGCGGCGTTACGATGCCGCTTGTCCTGTCGTACGGTGCCGTACGCGTCGCGCCGCCAGCTAACGGCGGCAGACGTGACGCCGCCGTCGCCGTCGCCGTCAGTGGCGGCGGCGGCGGCGGCAGGAAGGGACTTCCAATGGTACTGGTGCCATCACCGCTTCCAGCAGCGCTGCTCCCTCCGCCAGCCAGCCGTGGAGATAAAGTCGGAGCCGAGACAAGCTCCGCGACGGCCGCGTCCGCCCGATGTACGGATCGAAAGCTTGGGCGTAGGCGAGACGGATCGAGTCGAACGTCCAGCGAAGCACGGCGTTCGTGAGGTACGGGTTGTCGAAAGGCTGTGTCGATTGAAGACCGCCGCAGCAGCGAACGCCCCGGCGCCAGCGACAGGACGGGTGCGCCGACCACGCCACATGACTCCGCAACCACATGCGGCGACACATCGCTGCTGTTGATGACGTTCGCAGCGCCAATGTGCGCATCACCGCGCGGGTCGCTTACGTCGGATGACAACATGCTAGCAATGCCAACAATACCCGCCGCCGTACTGCCTAGCCGCGACAAAGTGCGAGAACCCGCCGAGCCGGCAGCCGCCAGCTCACTTCCGCTGCAGAACAAGGCCGAGGATGCAGCTCCGAAGCCCTCCTCACGGCCTGACACCTCTCGCCGACGGAGAGAGCTCCTTGCAAGGGCCTGCGCCAGCACCAGCGGCGGCAAGCGATGCACGCAGCTGGCGGAGGCATCAGGGCCGAACACCGCCTGGGCTTCGGACTCGTCCATAGAGGACAGCGAGGCAGCCACAGCTGCTACCGCGGCGGCGGCAGCAGCAGCACCAGCAGCAGCAGCAGCTGAAGCAGCTGCCTCAGGTGCCGTTTGTGGCACGTGAGACCCATGGGTCACTGGTGGCGTCCGCGTCGCCCTTGAGCCCTCCTGACGGTTCACGGAGCGCGTCAGGAGACGCGACAGCGCAACAGCTACGAGCCACAAGCTTCCGTAGAACATAGTCACCGCCGCTACTGACGACGATGATGACTCTAACAGCAAGTGCATACAGAACGCAGCACCGGCGGCAATTGCTAGCTGGGAGCCAAGCCATCCAGGGGGTAGACTGCTAGCCATGAGGTTCAGGGTCAGAAGCGTGGCCGCTGCCACTACCGCCGAGCTCCTTACATAGCTCTCGTTGCCGCTGCCGCCGACGCCAACGACGACGGCACTGCTGCTGTTGCTGCATGGCGCAGGCGCTGCAGGTGCCCCACTGCCCGGCAGCAGGACGGTGAGAGAGATTCGCGTGAGGAAGCTGATCCAGCTTGCCATGCTGTTCACCAAGCATGCGTAGTCCGGCCTGCAGGCGACAATGGAAAGGATGGGTTAACGCATTGGGTGCCGCCGGCTGAGAACATAACAGTGATTGCTGCTGCAAGGAAGTTTGCACGAACACAAAGAACGCTTCACCCGCAGCAATGTATGGTAGGCCCAAGGTTGCTGCAGCAACGAAGGACATCTCCAGGCAGTAATCCCAACCGCAATGACCAAAGGCTTTTACATCCAACCAACCAACCAACCACCACCACCGCAAGAGAAGCACCTCCAGTGTCTTGTCCCTTACCGCGCGCTCCGAGGCCACAAGACCCAGATGGCGTTCAATACCATCGCCGTCGCGCCCCAGGACATGACCAGCAGGGCGCCCAGGCAACGCAGAGCCGACAGCACCACCCTGGCCTCAACCGCCTGAACCGGCAACCCCGGCGCTGCTGCTGCTGCTGCGCCCACCCCCATCATTCCTGTCCCGCTGGAACCACAGTCGGGTGCTGTGAAAAAGCACCCAACAAGCAGACCCGCATCTAGGAGACGGATTGCAACCACCTGCCAGCGCTCTGCCCATCCGCGTCCCGGCCAGCCCAAGCTCAGTTGCCACAACCGCTCCTGCTGCTGGTCCTTAGAATGTTGGCCCTGCTCCTCCTGCTGCTGGTGCTGCTGCTCGTGCTCATCGTGTTCGTGTTTCGCCAGCTCGATTCCCCCCTCCTGCGACTCCTCACCACGCAGTTTCCTGTTAGGCCATACCGGTAGCCGCCTCAAGGCGTCTGCTGCGGGTCCGGACACCGCCAGCAGCGCGTGCATGAGGGCCAGCAGCAGCGCCCGGTGAATGAGCTGCGCAACTAGGTTCCCCGGCAGGGCGCTTGAGCCCGGCACGACCGGAGCTTGCCCTGCCTGCTGTGCAAAGTCGATGGCGGTGGTTGCTAGGCTGAGGGTGTAGAGCACAGAGGCATGGATGGCGGTGATGTGGGTCGGATCCTGCAGGGCAGCCGGCGTGATGGGAAGCGGCGGGGTGTTGTTCCGTACATGTGGCAAGGCTTTACTGTGAGCGCATTCACCCTACGCCCCGAGATCCGTAGTTGCTGCCATGCTCGCAAACAGCCTCCTGTCAGCCTACCGCTGCTACCGTGCGTAATTTGCTGTTAGCATGGCATGTGCCAAGCGCACCCGTGTCCAGCACGGACCTGGTTCGTTACCGCCAGCAAGGCGGATGCGAAAGGAACCAGCCACCATTCAGGGCCCCGCGAGGTTCCAGGCTGCAGTACTGCAAGCAAGAGTTGCGCGAAGCATGGCGTGGCGACGGTCATGTGGTGGATGCTGATTCGCAGCGCTGAACCTAGCTCCACCTCCGCTAGCGCTGCCATGAAGCTCGTTGACGTCAAAATCGACGGCAAAAACAGCGCCATGTAACGCATGGTACCATACGCGTCGCGCCATGTTCCTGCGATGGATGGGAAAGGTAGGCGTGAGGGTATATACAGCACGTAGTTCCGAGACGCGGATCCATATCCGTGCCCAACGCAAGGACGTTTCTCCAGAGTCACGCATACCTGGAGAGCGCGGGTAGGCAGACTGGCGGAACAGTTGAATGAGCAAAACAAAAAACCTGCACAGCAATACCGCCGACGAGCACCGTAACAATCGAGGCCTACGGCAAAATATGCTCGTGAGGAAAAAGACTCGCCTCGCCAGCGCTGCTGCGGTGCCCATTCCGGTGAACTTCCGGCGCCCCCAGCCAAGCCCTTCCTTCATCAACTCATCGCAAGCCAAAAATGTTGCTTTATAGCCTTAATTCCCAGCTATTTCCGTTCTCAACCAGTGCCTTCTTGTGAGAGTGTGAAATCCCCTTCAGCATCAAGGAAAAGGCTGGTCTCTGCTCCTAGCGCGAAATCTACAATCGGTTGACCAGAAGTCCAGACGGGCAAGCTTGGATTGGACTACTTCTTACTTGTACGGCAGCATTGGTTACTGGTTGGGTTTCATTTGCTCCAATACCAGGTCAATGTTTCTGCTTGCTGAGACCTCTGCTTTATATAACACTCCCGTCAGTGGAACTCGCTCAACGCCTTGCGTTCCCGCTGAGCAGTTGAGCAATCTATGTGCTTGGCGTAGATGATCGCCTCTATCATCTGCCATAGAGCTTAAGATTACTATATAGGATAAAATAAGAAGCCCAGACTGTCTTTTCTGTCGGAAAAGCCCTTTTCCTGATAGATGTATACCCTGCGCGTTGTTGCAACAGAACGACGGCTTTCACAGCTTGCTTTGCCTGGGTCCGAGCGCAACGGCCCTACCAGCAGCACAACTCCCCTGCACGATGCATCTCTGGGAGGCGCGGACAGCGATAGCGACGACAGCAGCCAGGGCGAGCTGCTAGGCCTGGACGATGATAGCCAGGCCATCGAGTTCACTGCGGGCAACCCACGCGTCGAGCACATCACCGGCGTTGTGCATCTGTACCGCCCAACACCCGGCCGCCTGCCCCAAAGCACCCTCACACCCTCCTCTTCCGGCTCCACGGCACCCCTAGCCACAACCGCATCCTCCGCGTCCTCCGCACCCCGCGCTTCCTCCCTCTCCACTCTGCCAGCCCTGGCCGACGCCCCGCCCGTCAAGGGTGCCCCCACCTCCTGGGCCTCCCTCTTCACCCCAGCCCCACCTCCCGAGCCCCCTCCCCGGCACCACCCAGCGGGCGAGCCCTGCGCCGAGCTGTGCTGCCTGGCGCTGCCCTCCGATATGACCATCGCGGACTTCTGTACCTTCCTTGGCGGCCACCTGCTGCGCCTGCGGCGCATGCGGGTGCTGAGGCGCCAGGTGGGCCCTGTGGGCGGGGCCGGAGCCGGACACCCGCAGCTACTAGGGGGAGCAGCTGCAGCTGCACCAGCAGCGCCGGCGCCGGCGGCGGGGGCGATACTGACTTCCGGTGGGACGGACGTGGGGCGACCCAGATCAAACAGCAGCGGTGGAGGTGGAAGCAGCAACAGCAGCAGCGGTTGTTGCAGTGGCAGTGGTGGTGTTTGTGGGGCTGTTGGGGCTGAGCGTGCGCCGGGGCCCAAGCCAGCGGATGCAGCGCTGGCTGGTACGACGCAGGGTTCACAGCAGCAGGTGCTGGCAACAGCAGGAGCAGCAGCAGCTCCTGACAGCACAACGCGGCCATGCGGACACAGTGGCAGCAACCCGGCGGCGACCCACGGGTCATGCTGTGGGCCCCAGCCACAACCTGCCCAGCCCAGCCAGCCCGCTACCCCCACGCCACTACCAAGCTCCGTTCCTCCTGCCGCAGCCTCCGCAACCGCCTCCGCAGCCGCGCGCCTACCTGCCCACCACGCCCGGTCTCCTCCGGTATCCCAACGGGTAGTTTGCATGGTAGTGATGCATTTGGAGAGCCCGCAGGCGGCCGAGGAGCTGTACAACGACCTCAACGGTCGACCGTTTAGTTCCCTGGAGCCTGATGTGGTCTGCCGACTCGTATTTGTACGACAAGTGGAGGTTACCAGCGGCGGCGGCGGCGCCAGTGGCGCGCTGCTGTTAGGGGGTTCAGTTGATGGCAAGGGGGTAACAGGGGCTGCTGCCGACGCACCAACAACGGCTGCTGCCGCTGCCGCTGCGACGACGGCGACGGCGGCGGTGGCTCACTCGCCGTCCGCGCCGCCGCCGGGTCAAACGGAGCTTCCGACGTGTCCCGTCTGTTTAGAGCGGTTGGACGAGCACGTGAGCGGCATCGTGACGACGGTTTGCAATCACATGTTCCATTCAGAGTGTCTGCAGAAGTGGGCTGACACGAGCTGCCCTGTGTGCCGCTACTGCGTGCAAGGCGCCGCCAGCACCTCCCGCTGCGGGGTGTGCGGTACGGCAGTGGATCTCTGGATCTGCCTGATCTGCGGTCACGTGGGCTGTGGACGCTATCGTGCAGGTGGGTGTGAATGTGGGGTGCTGTCGTACCTTCCGCCGCCGCCGATGCTGCTGCTGCCGCTGATGCTCATTGAGCCGTTTGGACCTTGCCTCCCGTCGGCCACCTCGCTAACCCAATGCATACCGGTAATCATTTGCTGCCGGCTCGACCCCTTAAACATCCATTTGTTGGTGCGGACATCCATCATTAGTTCATGTCTCTCGCTTCACTACCCCCCTCACCCAGTGTTTCCGCGGCTCAGTCTACCTAATCCCCCTCACCCCAGGTCACGCTGCCGACCACTGGCGCACCAGCGGCCACTGCTACGCCCTAGAACTGGAGACGCAGCGCGTGTGGGACTACGTGGGGGATAACTATGTGCACCGACTCATTCAATCCAAGACCGATGGCAAGCTAGTCGAGCTAGCGGCGCCGGCAGCGGCCTTCCCGCCGCCGCACGGCGGCGGCGGCGCTGCCGCCGCCGCCGCCGGCCACCGTCACGGTGACGACGCGTCATGCGGCGCGGCGGGCGCCGCCGCCGGCGGCGCCGGGAGGGAGTACGGCATGGACGGCGGCGGCGTGGCTGGCGGCAGCGGCGTTGCGGGGGGTGGCGGCGGCGGCGGCAGGGGTCCTGGTTGGAGCTCTGCGGACGAGGAGTTGAAGGAGGCACTCATGGCCAGTAAGCTGGACGCCATTGCAGCGGAGTACAACCACTTGTTGGCCTCGCAGCTGGACTCGCAGCGGCAATACTACGAGGGACTCCTGGCGCAGGTGAGGGGTGGGTAAAGAGGAAACAACTAGCTGACTGTGTGATACGGCGTCGTCATGTGAGCCAGCCTGATCCGCCCAGCCCGAATCCGCCAAGCCTGGTGGGAGGGGGAAAGGGGTTGCACGGCGGAGGGTAAAGAGGAAACAACTAACTGACTGAGGGATAAGGCGTCAACATGGGTTGCAACATGCACGGCGGAGGGGGGAGGCGTTGACAGGGATGCAGGATACGCCGCGGGTTGGTTTGGAACCTTTAGATTGAATGCGCATTCCGCTCTGTTTAAGCAGCGGTCAAAAGGCGCTTTGCACACCTCTTTTGGCTTGTGATCTGCGCTCACCATGTTCTTCCCTTTGGCTTGTTCCGTGACCCACGGGTCAGGCGGCCCTAGAAGCGGACCACCGCTGCTCCCAAGCGGGTGCTGCAGCTGATAAGGCCCGCGGGGAAGCTGAGGAGGCGCAGGCGGCGGCACGGGAGGAGGCGAAGCGGCGCCACGCGGCCGAGCGCAAGGCGACGGAGACGGCTGAGCAGTTGCGAACTGTACGGCAGGTGGGAAAAATCTCCCGCCGTACATCTTTGGCTTTGGGACTTCTTTCCTAGTTAGGCCGTTTTTGACGAGGTAACAGCGGGGCCTTACGCCAACATGTCTCAAATACCTCTCCTGACCTCTTGTCCTACATTGCTGGCTGTCCGTTTTGCTGTGCTTGACGTCCGTCTGTGTGACCATAACCCAATACACGTCCTTCCCCCTCCTTCAAAGCATGGCTTCCCTCACTCATTTCCCTACCCTTCTTTCCCTCCCCTAATTCGTGGTTTCCTCTACTTCCCTGCCCCTCTTGTCCCCCGCTTCCCTCTCAGGAGGCCGAGTTCCTGCGCTCCCTCAACGAGACCCTGCTAGCCAACCAGAGGGACCTCAAGCAGCAGCTGGCGGACCAGCGGGCGCGAACCGAGGCGGCGGAGGCGACGGGACGCGAACTGCAGGAGCAGGTGTGTTAAGAAAACTGGCCGCGAGTAGGAACGTACTGTGATTGCCGAAAGATGGAGGTGTGTGCGCGCGGTTGGGGACACACACGCCTTGCTGGATGGGGTGGGGATTTGGGTGAAAGGAGGAGTGAAGCATTCGGCCGAAGCATGAGGCATGGGCCTGGGGTGAAAGAAGGAGGAGAAGGAGACCATGCTGTAAACGATAGTGGCAACACATGGTGAAAGCCCCTCCTGTCCTCCACTGACCCCAGTTTTTTCCACCGCTTATCGCCACGGCATGTCCCCCATCGTCCTCCGTCGCCCGCCCAACGCCTATTACAACGACGACCCATGGGTCCGCAACCCCGCGCAACATCATCTGGACGCACAAGTTCACGCCACGCCATGCCATGGCCGTAATGCATGCCTACTCAACCCACCACGCCACGCTCCATATTACCGGTACTTGCTAACCGCCACGACCCATGGGTCTCCCCAACCCCGTGCCTTCTGGGTGCCACCTCGACCGCTGTTGTTGTTGCCGCTCAGGTTCGCGACCTGGCTTTCTTCATCGAGGCTCAGCGCACCATCAGTGATGCAGCAGGCGGCGAGCTGCGGGAAGGAACGGTGCTGCCGCTGCCTCAGGTGCGTGCACTTCACTGCTTCTTTATGTTTATGGGGGTAAAGGAGCCTAGGGGGGAGCACAGCGTTACAGATGGGGGGGTGCACAGCATTACAGGGCGCCCTGATCTGCTTGAATGGGGGGCCTTGGGATGCATGATACCAGGAAGCCTTCCATGCATGCATTCGATTGATCTGGGTCATCTGGGTCATTACGGTAACAGCGCTAACAGCTTGCATGGGTACCTGGCACCGCTGTCCCTTCCCCTCCAGGGCAGCAGCGGCAGCGGGCAGCGTGGTGCGGGGCGTAGCGGAACCGGAGGCGGCAGCAGAGGCAGCGCCCGGGGTGGTGGTGGAGGCGCCGGGGGTCGGAATGCTGCCAAGTGAGGATGGAGGTGGTGGAGGGGTGGGGGTGACTGAGGAGGCGGCCGTTACGGACGGCAATCGTTGGAGCAGTGGTTGCAAGGCATGCGTTTCCCTGTGGAAAGCAGTCGTTGCGAGTTTGGCGGTGCGAGGTTGTGTTGTTGCGGCTTTGACCACAGGGTGGCTATCGAAGTTTTAAGCCTTGTTAAGCAGTAGGGACTAGGGACTAGGGAGATAGAGTGTTGCGCTCGCGACGAGTCCGTGCATTAAAAATGGCGTTTTGAAGGTATTATGCGTGTATGAATGTAGGCTTTGGGCTGTTAGGTGCTTTGCGCGCCGGCAACTGTGTCTTGGTGTTTCTCGTCCAGCTGTTAGGGTTCAATGTTCGGCCGACCGTAACTTTCGGGATGGATTACCCATATGCTTTGCACGTTTAGTTTGCAATGATTGTTACCTTTTGAGCAACCAAAACAAGGGGTGCCATTACCATTGGGGTTAAGCGCGCCAAGTCGGGGACTTCGTCCCGTTTCGGTCTCATATTGCGTAAAGCTGCTCGTCATTCAGGATATGCAGGCCTCATCTTCGACATTCTTAGACCGACCCCGGCAAGTGCGTGTGTGTTCCAGGCTTCCAGCCAGTCGGCTGTCCGACAGTATACAATACCGTGACCGTACCCCACACGTGGTTAGACTATTCAATGTATTAAGTAATGTCGCACCAAGATGGCTTTGCGGCAGCGCATACGAAGAAAGCTACACGTGACTAATAGCTAAAAAGCGACATCTCTACCTCCACCTCCTTCAAACAAGCCGCACCATCTTCATATTCTTAGATAAGTTGTGCAGCCAGCCCTACGTGTTGGTCAAGACGGTGGTAGCCGTACAGCTCAGCTCACGTGAAGGAAGTACGCTTGAGCGCTTCTCTCAGCACAGCCGTTACCTAACACCATTTTGATATTTGCTTAGTACCTCACACATTCTTGGATGCTAAATCCCCAGGTCGTGTAATTGCAAGTCGTGTCGAACGTGACCCTTAAGCGGGCCAGTGCTTTGGCTTACCTAGCGCGGAAGGGTTCATCGACTTACCGTCTTCTGACGACGGACTTTTAATTGCTGAAGAAGGTATAACTTTCGGCAGTCACACAATAGGGTTTGCAGCCTTCGGGCGGCTGAACGACACCTTGGAGCCGTGGCGCCCAACCTAGATTTTGTTGTGAGCTTAGCTTAAACAGCAGCGAAAGTGGGGCGCACGGCGGGTTCAGCACCTGGAGACCTGGCTATGAGGGCAGCGCAAGGATTGCTGCCTATCCAGGAGCACGTCGCTCTTAAGGCAGATGCTGTGGACCAACCTACATCGTTACCTGCTCCGCATTCATGTCATTCTACAGCGTCCAGGGTTGTAAAGGGAGAGGTACGTCATAGGGTCACGCATCCGGGCGGCGCCAATTAACCCTCGTCCACAGCGGTGCAGAGTCGTCTTGAACAACAATATGATAGATCAACGACGACTTCTGCTTGCAGGATGTACTGTATATACACCCGCTCGCTATTGCGACGCAACCACAGAGCATGCTCTACATGGTTTGCGACGGGCATTCCGGGGCAGAAGCTGCCAACTACGTAGCAGCTAACTTTGTACGAATTCTGAACACTTTCCTTCCACCAAAGGCGCCTAGCATGTCCAGCCCAAAAGGTACAGTTCTTGGCATGCCTGTGTTGCCATTTGTTCCGAGTCCTCGCTCACACCTCGCACTTCCACACAGAAATGGAGGCATTTGCGGAGGTTGTAAGACTAGCAATCGTGGAGACCTTTGTTCGGTTGGACAACGACTGGATTGCCGTAGGGCACATGTCGGGTACGTGGGGGCTGGTGGGGATAAACCCTTTCCTAACGTTCCACCATTCCGCTCCTGCTGAAACCCTCCCGCCCTCCTTAAAACCCAGAATTCCGCAGCCTGCTGCTGTCAATCTATCCTCACCGAAACCAAGCGTAACCACTTAACCCTAACCCCCGCCCCTGCCTTCTTCACCTCACCTCCTCACCTCACCAGGCACCACCCCGCACCTCACCGCCCTTCTTGCAGGAACCACGGTCACCGCCACCATCGTTATCGGCTACCTCCTAACCGTCGCAAACCTGGGCGACTCCTCAGCCGTCCTTGACACGGGGTGCTCCATTTTGGAGCTCACAGGAAGCCACCGAATCCAGAGCAACCCAGATGAGCAGGCACGCCTCCGTGCCGCGGGTTGCACGCTAGCGCCCCTGGGCTTCCATCTACAGGGCCCCGCACGACAGGGGGAGCTGGGCGTGGGGCCGCTGCGGCTGTGGCCGGGCGGGCTGTGCGTGTCACGGTCGGTTGGGGACCTGGATGCGGGGCCGGAGGTGGTGCCGCTGCCGCACATTCGGCAGGTGGGTGGTTACGGCGGCGGGATGTGGTTGTGTTGGGTTGCGGAGGGATTGACCGGACAGGGATCGGGGACTAGGCTGGGGCAGGCGGGAGAGACACGGGGGGCACAGCGAAGCTTTGTCGGGTGCGTTGGGGAGCCCGGTGGCTGCGCCACCTGGTGTCGCGGACTTCACTCCATGGATGACCCATATCAGCCGCAGCAGCCAAAAAGTTATGTGACCCAAAAGCCACATGGCCCAAACGAAGTGCAAAGTGGCGAGAATGCAGGTGTAGAGCTGTGTGATGGCTGTATGTTACGCAGACGGGTTACGCAGCAAACCTTGTTAGGCCAACCGTGCGCCCACAGTCAAATGGTTCCGCTTCAATACCATGTCCGGGGCGCTTCCCGCTGTGAGGAGCTCCTCCTCCCTATCGCAGCCAACCACCTTTACTGCCCCAACTTCACCCACCTGCCCCCTGCCGCTGGCCCCCTGCCGCTGCCGTTGCTACCTGCCTCACCCCCCTGCCCCCCCTGCCCCCGCCCCCACTCCTCAGCTCATCCTGCCCTCCGAGGGCGCGCGCATCATCATCTGCTCCGACGGCGTGTGGGATCTGATGAGCCTCAGCAAGGCGGTCAAGCTCTGTCGATTCAAGCCCGCTAGCGCCGCCACTGCTGCGCTCATGGGAGCTGTCTCTCGGGACCTGCGATTGCTGGTAAGGCCTTTGTGTTAAGAAAGCTGGCCGAGAGTTGGGACGTGCTGTGATTGCCTTTGTGTGAGGGGGAAAAAAGAAATTCCAAAGTGTGGTGTGATAATGATACAAGTTGTGTGAGGGGGAGGAGCGGCGTGGAAGCGGCGTGGAAGCAAGGCTGTGGGGGCATGTGAAACGATGACAAGCAGAGAGCGGGGCAGGGCAGGGCAGGCTACAGGAGGGGCAGAGACAGGAGACTTAGTAACGCTTGGCCTTTCTATTATTGCTTACTCCATAAAAAAACGACGGTTTGCTAAACTGTGATGGCCACGCGGTTTCATGACGCCCTGCGGGTGAATCCAACTGAACTGTGAGCAAAGGAGAAGCGAGAACTTTTCAACTCACTGTGCACCCGCCAAGAAGAGACGTTTGCATAGGACGGCCAGCCAAACCTCCACGCTTCCCCTCCTCCCGCCTTCCCTTTTCCCTCCTCTCCTCCTTCCTCTCCCCCCTTCCCTCCTCCCTCGCCCCCTCCCTCCCGCGGCCCCAGGACGATGCCAGCATTATCGTGGTCGACCTGCTCCCCTCCGACAGCACCAGCTGGCCCACCGTGGCCCTCAAGACCAACCCAAAACCCGAAAAGTCCGGCGGCTTGTTTGCTTGCTTCCGGCCGGAACTTGACGAACCCGACAGCCGTGATCTGCACACCGCGGCGCCCGGCCACCTTGCTTTCATGGCGGATCTGGACTCCTTGCGTGTCTACCCGCAAATGCGCGCAGCACTGCAACGTGGCCAGATCCAGCACATTGCAACCGCGCTGAACAACGCGGCGGGAGGTGCGGTGAAGCCGCCCGCGGATTTCACCATGCATGGTTCCAACAAAGTCGCGTTTTACCGCGGTTTGGGAGAAAACGGCCACGGCGGGTCCATGGGTCGGTCGAACTCCTCAACCGCCGTTGCTGACGTGGCATCGGACGGCGCCAACCACTCCAACCACTCGGTTACGTCGGGCGAGCCGACGAACCGCTCGCAGCCCTTTTCGGCCGGGAGTTCTGAGTACGACAGCCCTGTTGTTGCATTTGGGAGCATGCCGCAGGCAAGGCTTGGATTGGCGTAATAAGTGGTGGCCGTGGGTTGGAGGTGCTGGGGGCAGTCGCCGTCTTGGTGGTCGTGTGCTTCCGGCTAATGAAACAACCGCTGGTTTCGTTGGCTCGAGGAGGAAAGAAGCGGTGGCGACTGTGACAACTTGAAAAGAGCCGCTTTGGATTGCGGGAGAGCGGGCGGGTTGTGTGGATTGGTGGTAGCAGGACACTGGGGTGGGGAGGGGCGCATGGTGGTGATGTGACACGGGGTATTCACGTTATTGTTTGTTGCTTATATTAACTGACACGACAGGACGCGTAGGGATGCAGCAGGTTATAACTTGGTTACCGTGTTCCAGCCGGATTTGTGTTGCTTACTGCGGAGGGCTCCCAAGGCGTTTTGTGTCCTTCTTGTGGGGGCTCTGAGCCTGCAAAGGCTGCACACAAATGTATATCTTGCAGGGGGCGGAGGTGAGGGTCTGGCGGCTGTGCGGAGACGAAGGGCGGTGTGCTCAATGCTTGCGCGGTTATGTGCGCACAGGCTGATGAGTCCTCTGCGGCACCTAGCCGGCCGGCCGCCGGCTTCCAAAGGGGAACCTGCTACTGCCTGGCTGCACGGTCTCTTTGTGGCGATAGCGCCTACGAGTTGCTGCTGCTACGGTTGTGTGCATGGTAGTTGACCCATGGGTCATTGCGACGGCAGGCATAGTGTGCTCGGTGAAATCGACGGACACCGCGTGGGGTGCGGTGATAGCTTGATGCTGCTGCCTGCTCATGCCTCCTTTTGTGATTGGGAAAACATTGGAATTGTGCGCAAGATCTTGAAACAGTTAAGGGATTTCGATATGGGAGTATTAGGAGCTCATGCTTGTGTAACTGGTTGTTCTCCGGTGCGCGTGTGTGTTAAGAAAACTGGCGTGTGTGTGTATGGTCGCTTCTGCTGTTGCATAATATGATGCTATTTCCCATCTGGGCGGTGCGAAGATTGCACGCGTGGCGAAGGGTTTGGGCTAGTGACCCATGGGTCTGCGGGTCCCGCACATTTACTAAGGTATCAGCGCCAGCAGGACACTTGCACGTTGTACGTTTAACTTAGGCTTCCCACAATAACCTGCTCTTGACTTCGCAACTTTGCGTTTGTGCCAATCTGAGCTGCTTTTGCTGTTACTGCTGCCGTTGCATTGGTTGCTGGCACGGGTGCGCTCCTTGGCTTGTGCCCCGATTGTTGCTCTGGGGTTTTGCACTCCGGAACAAATAACAAAAGTTATACGACGCTTTACATCTTATCGATGTTGCAGAGTTTGCGGTGGCTTCGCGGGAAGTTATTGCTTGCAATGGTGCGCGTATATGTTAGGAACTGCGGCTCATGAGACACGGCTATACAGGAGCTTTTTAGGGGCAACGAAGTCTGTGGCTTGTTGCCGCTTTTGCGGTGCTTCAGTCCACAGTACTTGGCCGCTACATCTTTGGAGACGTGCTGCTACAGGAGTGCAGGGATGTGTTGCTGCTTGACAGAAGTAGCGTCGGGGAAACTGAAAGGATGCTCGGGAAAATGCGAGCATGCATCGGGCGGGGTGTTGACGTGTTCATAGGGTGCTGAAACTTGTGTTGGGGATTCACAGTTGAGGACTATGTGTGTGTCCCTGGTAGGGTACTTCCATGCATCGCAGGACACAGTAAGGGGCACGTGCCAAAGGCGTGTTGTTATCCTGGGACAGCATTGCCCCATTCGGTGCTTGCTTCTGATATCCACTTCCGCTAGGGGTGCATTTTTGTACGGTTTGTGTGTGTTTCTCAAAACACGGGGTGGCTGGGTTGCATGTTGCTTCGGGCTTGACAGCGATGCTGCTGCTGCTGCTGCTGGTGGTGTTGCGATAACTCGTGTGGGCTGCTGCTGCAGCAAATACCTGCAATGACTCCCTGACTGGTTGCGAGCGAGCTAACGCACAGCGCCTGTGGTGTATCAGGGGCCTAGGTGGACATGTGTGAGTCCGGATGTGCTTGTGTATGGCGGTCTAGGAATGATGAGATAATGGTAATACGATGTTTGACGGGAGCCGAGGCATAGGCGCTGTTCGGAGGCAGCTAACGAGCTGCGGTGTTCCCTTTTGTGTTGTGTGTTGCTAAGAAATGCGCATGCATTCGTGGAGGCAAAAGGGCTGCGTCCGGTGTCATGCGACACTGACGCGGACTCCCGGTCTTTTGACCTCCGGCGGAAGAAGTTTTGTTGCTAGGCAAGCGGGGCAGCACAATCGTCCCCTTACTCCCGTGAACCGTGACTGAAGGAACCTATTGGTGATCGAAGATGAAGCCTTATTATGGACGGTAAGCGCCGGAAGCTAGGTCGCTGCATTAGGACGGCTGGTTGAGGCGCGCGGGGTTTTGGAGGTAATGGTTTCGGAGGTAGAAATAACAAATGAGACTGTGTTGTTGATAATGTTCTTTACGTGGCGCGATGTCGTGATCATACTGAAATGCGGACTTGCGGAGTCCTGAAGGCCAGCCTTCAATGTAACAATAGTCACTGTGTTGCTGCCGGGAGAGGGTAAAGAGGAAACAACAAACTGACGGAGGGATAAGGCGTCAACATGGGTTGCAACATGTGAGCCAGCCGGGAGAGGGAGCTGCTGCTGCGCTGAAGCACACATAACATGGACTCTCAGGGTTCGGGCTTCGGGGTGGCGTACATGGAGTCCATGCAGGATTGCGGGCGTAAAAGCCTAAACAGCCGCAGAAATCCGGCTATTACAGGTAATACCGCGGGTCAGATGGTCATTCCAAAAGGGGATACGGACCACAAGACAAGGCAGTCACCCCGGTCCCCCTCTCCATAGTGCATAGCGCATGTAACCCTGTTCGGGTGAAGGATTAGATAAACTGAGCCGCGGAAACACTGACCGGCGCGGCGTTAAAAATTCTCATACATGTCGGCACAGTTAAGAAGCAAGGTTGTAGCAAGCAAAAGCCCCCAACTCTTCCGCATCCTCTTCATTGCAGGGGCTCAATTGCCCGTCTATCCGCACCGCTCTCCTTCCAACATGCCATGCAGTACGCTACCCCAGGCGCCACCCCCACCATCATTCCAAACGAACCGCACGCCCTACCCACCCCCACCCGTTCTATCATCATCCTGGCGACTGAGCCGCCCGCGTAACAAACGGCCCTTCAAGCCATGCACACAGCCCAAAGCTTGTAGTGCGCGCTCTCTTCCCCCCACCACCACACTGGATATTCTCCTGATTCCCCCGCCCACACTGCCGCAATCACACCCACGTTGATATGGATCGGGTGACTGGGGTGACGAAGTCCGATGGACACCCACCATCCGCCGTCTCATGCACGCTATACCCCCACTATGCCGTACCCAGGAAGGCGTTCGCAGGCCATTCCATGTTCCGCTATCCGAGGGTGAGGGCGAGACAGGGGATAACCATAAACACAAGGGGTCCGGAACTAAATCTGTTCGTCCTCGTTGCTTCCTCGGTCTTACACCCAGGAACGCGGATAAGAGCCCTAACAGCCCTAACAGCTACCATGCATCGGCGCATCAGCCCATGCAGATCTGTCGTACGCAGATCTGCCGTACTTGCTGATGTTGGGATCCCATCATCACCGAGACGTCGTCTGCTGGGCCCCCTCCTGCGCATCAGCTGGCAGCTCCACGGGTTTCATGCCCAGTTCGTCCAGGTCTTGCTTGGCCATTAGGTTCCTGCAGGGAGGGGCGGGGACAGCGCTGGGTAAAGAATTTTTTTTACCCATTTTTTTTCATCGACCCCATTCTCGATGAATGGAGTCAGGGTTGCGGGTTTGGAGGAGGGATACCGTTCCTTGTTCCCAGGTAGTAGGTCTTATAACACTTAACACCCAAGGACATGCCTCGTGCGGCCCGAAATGCTCAGGTAGGTCCTATATACGTTTTTGCGGTCCCCACCTATCCATGCGACAGTTCAGATACGTCTTGGATTCCTCAACGCATTGGGATGCCTCCTGCTCGTGCCTCTCAAGGCATTCAAGGTATCGCCGAGCGGCCTGCGGAGAAGGATGTTGAACGGGAGAGAGTGTGGGGGCGCAATGGGGAGGGGCAAAAGATGGGGACCGCAAAGCCTTGGCGAAGGACGGTGAGCAGCAGGCGCAGACAAGGGATACGGCGAATACGAGGGCGAACCTACGAGGAAACAGTCTGCTGCGTATTACTAACTGTTAGACAATACATAACTTGCGATGTTGTGCATTTTAGCAGAGGAGGATACGTTTCTGGCCAGCCGCAAGTGATGGAAGACAGGGCATAAACGCAGCTCACGTTTCGGCACTCGGCAAAGTGGTCGAGAGGGAAAATGCCCTTCTCGGGGCCCCTAGAAGAACTCCGTGGTCCTCCGAAAGCCGTGCTCATCGCGCTGAGAAGTAAACCCCAATGCGGCTGATGAAGTGCTTTGAAAGGGTAACACCTACTGTCGCCGATTTATAGTTACAATCTTCAGATCTTTCTAGGACAACTTAAAAGATGTGGGAGGATGGAACGCTGAAGCAAGCAGACCAAGACGCTTGAGCAAGAGTGTGCAAACACAGTGCACTACGTAGGTTTAACAGGATTTTCTATATCAGCAGTATAACACCAAACGTTCACGTCGTCACGTACGCCCGGGGCCCCTCGCACATCTGTTCGTCATTCATTACATGCTACCAACCGCCAATCCCTTGTTTGATTCAACAGCAACTGCAACAATAGTGTATCTTAACTGGTTTACAAGTTTATATCAAAGAGACACATATTTATCTTATACAAGGAGTGCAATGGGTCTTGCAAAAGTGCTGTTGGGCCACCTAACTAAGGAAGCTGGACTTCCCAAATGTGCCAGAGTCGACTCCGTAGGCTTGGCAAAGCGCCGGTTGGCAGCCAAGGCAGCTCAAGAAGACCGCGAGGAGCTGATTATTGTGGAGCCGGACGAGGAAGTTGCAGCGCAAGATGCAGCAAGCGGGGTCCGCCTTGCTGCAGGAACGTTACCCTCCGGACAAGATCGAGTGGGCCCGGAAGATCTGGATATGGTGGCTGTCTTCACCAGCTTGGAAAATCGGCAGCTCAGGGACAGCCTTCGCATTCACCGAAGACGGTTCCGTCAGAGGAGAGCTTCGGTGGACGACAGTTCGCACCCTCAAGTAGATGATGCGGCAAAGCGCTCGAGCTCTAGCAGCGTCGAGTTGGAGCGGCCCCCCAACGCCCATGTCCGGCACAGCAGAGCTTCAGCTTCTGGCTATGAATTATCTCAGCACATCCGCGTTCGCCGGGCATCTGATGGAGAATTCCTTTCACGAACATTCAGCAAAAGTGCTGAAAACGGTCGCCCGAACGCGCTAAAGGCGGTTCAGCTGAAGGCTGAACGCCTTTTCAGGCGCCTGACAGGAAACCTCGTAGAGGTAGGCGATTTGGGAATGGAACCATAACCACTCCTTTCGGTAAATTTTTAAGGTTTTGCCGGATTCTTCGCGGGGTACTCTGGAAGAGCCTGCTGGTATCCGGTGCTCCAGTAACCCCAACCCCTTCAACGTTTGCATTTCCACGCATCTCGCGTCCGTTTCCGAGCCCACCCAACTTCCATTTGACACTTCCCTTGTCAACTCGTGCCAGCTGTGACTCTCAACAACCTTGGTCTACTCTGGCGCTGCTTAGGTCCATGCGCAATGCCTAACACGTACTTAGTGAAGCCGAAAACCCGCATCAAGTCAGGCATTTTCCCCCATTCCATCATCTTCTTAAGCCTCCCTTCTCTGCGACACCCACTGATCAAACACCACCCGCTTCTCCCCGGCAGCATCCCCGGTCCCGCTCCGTCACTCCCTCGCACGCCGCCTCGCCTCCCCTCACCACCACGAGCCAACGCCACGGCGGCGGCGGTGGCGCCTCTCGCGGCTCCTTCATGTGGGCCGCCTTCGCGCGCCGTCACACAGGCGAAATAGACGGCGACGATCGCGACGATCCGTCTTCTCCCACTGGCAACGCTACAGGCGCGACGTCCGGATCATCCGTCACTCGCCGACGCAAGCGGCAGTCTGCGCCGGGAGAATTCTTCCTGACTGCTGCCGCCGCCGCTGCAGCTGCAGCCGCCGCCGGCGGCGGCGGCGGTGGCGGAGGCAGCTGCACCTCCCCTCCGTTGCGCTCCCCTGCTTCTCCTTCTTCGAGGGAGGGATCGAGGACCACATCAGGCAAGGGACGTAACTGGCTGGCGAGACTCTCTCGGGGCTTCAGCGCAACGGCTGCGGGCAGTGGCGGCGGCGGCGGCGGCAGTCAGTACGGCAGGTCGTCGCTACCGCCGGGAGCCTTCTCGGGTTGCGCATCGCCTCCCATTGCAGCGACAGCGGGGGCAACACTGGCGGCGGCGGTGACGGCGGATGTGGCGGATGTCCCGACGTCGCCACGTGGGACGGTGTCGTTGCACGGGAAGCTGCTGGCGGCGGCAGCTACGGATTCGTCGTCGTCGCCGGCGGCGGCGGCTGTGGGGGCGGCACCGGCGGCGGCGGATGCGCATGTTGGTGGTGATGAGGCGCCTTTCGATGAGGGTGGCGCCGGTAGCCGCGGATGCAACGGGGGAGCTGTCGAGAAGCCGGTTGGGGGGCATCAGTCGCCAGGGGGTGAGCCAGCAGCAGCAGCAGTAGCGGCGGCGGTGGCAGCGAAGGCAGAGGCGGTAGCTAGGGGCGGCTGCGATGGTGGTCAAGGTGATGGCGAGGATGAGGAAGCGGGACTGAGACGGCGGGAGGAGGGCGGTGGTACGGCAGCGGACGCTCTAGCAGCTGCCACTGAGACCAGCATTGCGGCGGAGCTGGGGGCTGCTGCTGCTGCTGCTGCTGGCAGGGAGGAGGTCAGGACTGCTGCTGCTACGGGGACAGCGGTGGTGGACCCGCAACAGGTTGTGGTTTCCTTTCAGGCCTGACGGGGGCTAACCTTTGGAAAACGTCCAATGGGATGGCGCCAGCCGAGATCAGCCTGTGTTTTTCTCTCTTGTTTGCTGATTAACTGTTCGGGTAACTGAAAGAAATAACTTTTTTGGATAAGCTAATTTGTGATATAGATAAAGGGTGCAGCTGGTTCAGCAGGTGCAATTCGCCTTGGTTATGGAAAAACTAATGGGAAACAGGGGGGTTGGTTGTTGCTGCCGCCGCTGCGACTGCTGCCTGCCACGGTTACTGTGAACGTGTGTGATATGGTGGGATTGCTGTCGGTGCTTCCGATGATGAGACGAGGTTGTGATGCTTTTAACTGACCTCCTCTCCTTCCGATCTGACTGGAAAAATGTGTGGTGGCTGAACGAATGCTTCCTGCGGCACCCTGCACCCTGATTGCATGCTGTAAATATGTGGCATGTGGGATGCATCGCTGTGATTCCCGAAGGTTGCGTCGTCCTAGGGCGCTAGGGGGCTCTTCCAAGGTACTGGTATCGAGTACTACATGCGGTATTTGCTGTGTGAGGTAATAGCGAAGGCATACGGAGGTATTCACTGGCTAGGTGTGATCGAGTGTGTTGCAGTATGTGCAAATTGGTGCAGTATGCACAAGCTTTAGACATTGCAAGACATTGGAGAGAGAGGCCGCTGAATGCGCGGTTTGCCGTACTTTCTCCTGCATGGCAAAGGTGCCGTACGAGGTGATGTGCTACATGGTAAAATGCGGGTTGCTATATTCGTTTCGTGTTATTTACATTAACCCTAAATGCGTTTCGTCCCGAGGCGCGGGAATGAGAGGGCGGCAGTGATGGTGCATTGTGTACCTAAGGACAGTTAAGGATGTGTACATACGGCAATGGGACAGGCAGGGCAATTGGGGCTCTCATCTAATTTGGTGTCGCCCCATCATACGTGGCTTTCAAGGACTGTGGGCTTCTGTAGGCTTTTTCAGGGCGGGATATCCCGCCGAGGTAGAGCTTGCGTGAGTCCGTAGTGTGAGGGGCACGGCACACGCCGCGGCCTGCCGTGCTGTTGGAGGAGGAGAGGTTGTTGGAGGACTTTCGTTGTGAGTCCTTGCGCGTGTTTGCGCGTGGTAGAGATGCTGTTTGTTCTCAAGGTCTTAAGCAGGAAGTGGCCGCCTCCCTAAAATCTTTTGTGATTTGTTACTGCGTTCGCTGCGTGATCATCGATAACACTGATTAAAAGGCATGAGAGTGAGGGTTTTTGCACTCGGGCATGTGACGTTTTAACCGTGTAGCTTAAAATGTGCAGGCGCCACCAGTAGACGAAGCAATGGGTGCAATGTAGCACGCCCGTCTGTTCATAAGATTGCGAGAGAAAGGTGCAGGTATGCAAAAGGGCAGTCGAGACGCCGTCCCTGCGCATTATGTACAAGGTAGATATCGTAGAATGTTGTTTTCGATACCGATATCCGGAAAGCCAGTTATTTAATGCGTCACACCACCTCCCCTGTCAATTCCCGGGGGTAGTCTCTGGGTGTGTACAAGTCGTCGGGTGTAACCACCACCCGACATGTAACCTCCTTACAAAACAGTGCGCACCAGCTAGCGTCAAGGGTCCTACCGCCACGCGTGGTGGAGCCACACCAGCAGAGCAGCATTGGATGCATGTGGGATGCATGACGCACAACGAACGCCACATCCCCTGGCAGCCCACCCCCACACTGCTGCTGGCAAGCAGCGCTGCTACTGCTGCTGCAGTACTGCAGCACCCTCGCCAGCTGGCTTTGTCATCATGTTGGCCCTCCTGACGCCGCCCCTACCCGAGTCTACCCCGCCTCACATCACGCTGGCTGCAACCTGCTCCCCACGCCTGTAGCAAGGCTACAGTAGAGGAGTCCTAAAGCGAAACCTCCTCACGACACCTTGAGAGGCCTTTGGAACCTATGTTAACACGCCTACCCCTCCTCCTCCCCTCACCCCGCCCCCTCATCCCGCCTCCTCCACGCTGTCCAGGCACGTGATGCTGAGGATCTTGATGTCCTCCAGCGGCTTGTCGTCCTTGTTGCAGCGCACCCGCTCGATGCCCGTCACCACGTCCATGCCGCGAACCACCCGCCCGAACACGGTGTGCTTGTTGTCCAGCCAGGGGGTGGGCACGGTGGTGATGAAGAACCTGTGGTTGGGGGGGGGGTAGGAGGGCGTGGGGAGGGAGGAGGGTGAGGAGGGCGTGAGGAAGGAAGAGGCTACTCTGCTTTTCCCTGTGTGTTCCCTCCCTGCGTGCCTCGCCGGCCTCGCCGCCATTCCTATCCCCAATCCCTCCCCTAGCCCAACTATGTATCCCTATTGATCCCCTTCCCGCTCCTCCCCTCCCCTCCCCGATATGGGATTGGGACTCGTTTCACTTATATAATATTTCCCCTCCCCTGCCCCCACTCACTGGCTGCCGTTGGTTCCGGGTCCGGCATTTGCCATGGACAGGATGCCGGGCCGGTCGTGTCGCAGCGCCTTGTGGAACTCGTCCTCGAACTCGCCGCCCCAGATGGACTCGCCACCCGTGCCGTCGCCTGGGGGGCAGGAGAGGAGGAGGAGGGGAGAGGAAGGAGGAGAGAAAATTAGATGATAAGTGAGCCACGAGTCCCAATCCCATACCCCGACTCATGAAGGAAGAGGGGAGGGACAGGGTAAGGAAGGAGCAACCTGAGTTTTCCCAATGCCGCACGCACACATGCTCTCGGGGTTTCCTGCCACCTGCTGTCATCTCCCATTCGCACCTCCCACCCCACCCCAGTGTCTGCTTCTTCTTCTTCTACATCCGGGACACCCTCAAGCAGTTTCCGGTAAACTACGGTCAAGGGTCAGTGTTTCCACGGCTCAGCTTACGGTATCTAATCCCCAACACAACCCCACCTTCCACCCCAACACCACCCACCACCCACCCAGCGGGTCTCCCGTTTGGATCATGAAGCCCTTGATGATGCGGTGGAACAACACCCCGTCGTAGTAGCCGTTGCGCGCGTGTGTGGTGAAGTTCTCCACGGTGCGCGGGCACTCGTCTGGGAAGAGGCGCAGCGTGATGTCGCCGCGGGTGGTGTGCAGGCGCGCGCCGTGGGGCAGGCAGTGGGTGGGGACGGGGGCGCCGCCTGGGGTCGAGAAGGGGTTGTGAAGGGGGAGTGAGGGGGGAGGGGTGGTGAAGGGGGTGTGACGGAGAGCAGCAGGGGTTTCGGGAGCAATATTGTCGTCTTGTTTGCCATTTCTCATTCAACACATTGGGGTATTTCTTCTTTTTTAGCCCTCCCCCTGCGCTCACTGCATGAGTCAGGATATGGGATTGGGTTTCCAGTTGCTGCGCTTATACCACTTATGCTTTCCCCCCTGCCCCTGCCCTCCCTGCCCCTCCATCCCCTGCCCCTCCATCCCCTGCCCCTCCATCCCCTGCCCCTACCCTCCCTCCCCCCCCCCCTCACCCTCCGCCACGATCAGGTCCTCCAGCGCGGGCTTCTCATTGAACACATCGCGACCGGGTTGGGCGGGGTCGTCCGGCTCGGTGGGCTCGTGCTGGCTGCAGAAGGGGGGAGGTGGGGGGAGGGGGGTCAAAGACCATACCAAACCATAGGAAGCCACAGAAGTAGACGAGGGGGCGAGGGGTAAAGGTAAGGGAAGGAGAAAGGGTCCGAATACCCCTCCACCCGCCTATCTGAAGATGCCTCTAGTAAGGAACCCCCGCAACCCTCGCCACCCACCCCCACCAAAACCACCCCTCCTAGCCCCCCACCCCCCGCCCCCCGCCGGCCCCCCTCACGTAAACATGTAGAAGCGCTGCTTCCTGAAGGCGCACGCCAGCAGGGTGGGGTCGCCGCCCCCCAGCAGCTTCTCCACCTGCTCGGCGGTGGGCAGGCCGCGCAGCCGGGAACCCGCACCGCCCTTGCCGCGGGGGGCGCCCTGGTAGGGGGGGATTAACAGGAATACATAATCCGCATTAGGCTGGATAATAGGATTGCGGGGAGAGCTCGGAGGAGGGAAGTACAGCTAGGTGCAGCGCTCAAAACAACCAACCAAAACCCGTTGTTGTTGCACTCAGGGAGCTTCAATAACGTGGTGATGATGCTAGGATGCAAACCCCAACATCATCCCCCAACATTCAGTCGCCACGCCGACCCGCACCCCCCTACACACACATGCCCCCCCCCCCACACGCACCTGGTAGATGGCCAGGGTGAGGAATCGCTCCGTGTTCTCCACCTTGCCTGGAGAGGAGGGGATTGGAGGGCGAGGGGAGGAGGGTGGGTGGGTTGGGAGGCGGGGGTTAGCAGGAGGGGGTTGGGGGGGAGACAGGTATGCAGGAAAGATAAGAGATAGAGGGTGGCACTATAACCACCCACCCAGTATGCGCGGTAAGTATGCCCTCGCGTCCGGACCGGGCTTGTTGGCACTGCTCCCCCTCATTGCCCCACACATGTCCTCCATCCTTATAATTCCCCATTCTTATTTTTACACACGCACGCACACCCCACCTCCACTCACCCAGAATGCGCACCACCTTGTTGGTGACCAGGTTGATCACCTTGATCCCCAGCAGGCTGGAGTAGAGCAGGAAGTTGCCCGACTCGTCAAACACCGCGTTGACCGACCCGCGGGTCTCCTCCGCGGCGGCCCCCAGCTCCCGCTCCACCGCCATGCGCCGACCGAAGTCAATGTCCTCCAACTGGGAGGTGATGGGCGGGCAAGAGGGGCGGGGAGGGGGGGTTGAAGCTTTGTTATACAGCTCGTCAGTTTACTCGTCCGTTTCCTCATCTTTGCCTCCCCTCCCCCAACCTATGGGATTTGGACTCCATTGCTTCACTCCTCATTTACTTCCCCCCCCCACCCCTCCTACCTGGAACATCTCCCCGCCACTCCGCTGCACCTCATTCGCCGCCTCCAGCGACTCGTCGTACACCCGACGCAGCTTGCCGGACCCGAACTTGAACACGCGCACTCGCCGGTCGCCGCACACCGCCGCGAACTGCTGGCCGTCGCGACTCACCTTGGGTGAGGGTGAAGGAGGGTGGCGGTGAGGGTGGGTTGGGCAGGTGTAAAGAAAGGAAGAAAGTGAAGGTTCGGAAACATACAACTGTGGAATTTCTGTGGGGACTCCAACTTCCGGCAATCACAGTGCGTTCCAACTCCCGGCCAGTTTTCTTGTTTTCGGTGGGAGGACTTCACCTTTCGGCAATCACAGTACGTTTCGCCTCGCGGCCAATTATTTTAACACACACGCGCATCCGTCCGTCCGTCCGCACCTCCAGCGACTTGGCTGTGGTCCGCGCCTTGGCCAGTTCGAACAGGTCGGTGTCCAGCTTGCTGCTCCAGCCCACCCGCCCGCCGTCCGGGTGGCCGTAGGAGGAGCCGCACCAGCACTCGATCAGGCCTGGGGGGGAGGGGGGAAAGAGGGGGGGGAGCAGGAGGAGGTAAGAGGGAGGAGAGGGGGGGGAGGTGAGGGGGATAATGAGGAAGGGACGGACGAGCTGTGGGACATGTAGGCTTTGCAGCATGGGAGGTGCAGGCGTGGTAGCTGGGCCATCCCGGTCAACCCGAAGAGGGGGGAGATGAGGAGTGATGGGGTGGTGAGGAGGAGGTGAATGGATGTCGAGAGTACCAGTCAGTACGAGTGTGCAATTTGCCCGATCTAGCCAGCCAGGGGAAGGGGCAGGGTAGCACGTACCTTTGGAGTCGGCGGATATGACGGTGTCGAAGGGCGCGTTGTAGCGCATGCAGGTGACCGGGGCGCGGTGAACCTGGTTGAGAGGGGGGGGGGCGGGTGCAGGCATGAAGAGGTAAAGAAGGGGGAGGGTGAGAGATGAGGGGCAACCAGACTGCGTCCCTCCCCCCACCCCTGTCCTGTCAGTTAGTTGTTTCCTCTTTATCCCCCCACTCCTGTGCACCACACACACACTCTACACACCCTGCTCCCTTCCACCCCCTTCCCCCACCCCACGCAACCATGAAGACGCCTTATCACACGACCAGTTAGTTGTTTCCTCCTTTCCCGCCCCCTTCCCCCTCACGCACCTCCACCACCGCCTCCGCCTCCTCACTGCCGCTGCGCGCATCGTACACGTGGATGGCGCCCGAGTTGAGGTCCGAGATGGCGAGGCGCGCCTTGGCCTCGCCCTTCTGCGCTTCCGGGAGCAGCAGGAGCAGGAGAAGGAGGAGCAGGAGGAGGGCAAAATGAGGAACAGCGGATCAGCAGCAGGAGCAGGCGGGCACGACAACAGGTCAAGCGGGGTAAAGGAAAGGCGGTACCGCGTCGCCTCGCCCTGCTGTAGGTCTTACTCACCACACCGAGCCCCAGAGACCCGACCTTAACCCACCACCACCAAGGACACACGCACACGCACTGCATCACAGTACGTTCCAAATCGCGGCCAGTTTCCTTAAGAAACACTCACCCCAGTCTCCACCCCACCCCAGTCGATACCCCAGCCCACCTTATATATCCAGGCCGCGCAGCCCGGGGTGAATGGCAGCCGCAGCATCACGATGAGGTCGAAGTTGAGGACGTCAAAGATCTGGAGGAGGGGGACGGGGAGGGGGAGCAGGAGGGGGAGGGGGAGGGGGAGGGGGAGGGGGGGGGAAGAGGGGTTGGGAGCATCACACGACAAACATGCGGCGAGTCGGGACGCCTGTGCGACGCGACAAGGGTGCGGGAGGGGCTCTATACCCCAGCATGGTCCTTGTTCACATCGAAACGCACAGGCCCATGCCCGCCACCACAGCCGCCTACAGGCCCTACTTTCCTCTTTGCGCTCCGCTAGGGCCGTGTGGGTCATGTCGCTCACCCTTCCACAGTGCCCACGGTGCTTGCCGTCTGGTTGCATTCCTATTCAACACACATTGCGTATTCTCTTTTGCCTTGCTGCAGTGCTGCTCGCCTCCTCCCACCCCACCCCTTTCCACTTTCCCTGCCCCACAGGCCCCTGCTGCAGTGCCGCTCGCCGCGTCCCTACCTTGACAGTCCGGTCGTGCGACAGCGTCATGCAGAGGGTGCCGTCCCAGCTGACCGCCAAACCTGGGAGGAGGTGAGGAGGGGATGAGGAAGAGGTGAGGAGGAGGTTGGGGGCCGCATGAACGTATCACCCTCGAGGGCCTCGGTGTGTGCTCTACAGCAGACTATGACATGCCGCCATCCCCCATTACCCAGCTCGACGTACATTTGAATACATACGACAACGTCGCACCCCTGCAACAAGCGCTCGACCCCCATCCGTACCCTCAAACCCCCATCCCTACCCTCACAACCCCCACCCGGCTCCCTCCTACCGTCCACGGCTCCCACATGTGCGCGGTATTGCTTCACGAACTCGATACCCCGCGGCATCTTCTTCCAGAACTTGAGGAAGCCGTCGATGCTGGTGGTGATGATGAAGTCCGTGGAGGTCACCTGAGTCAGGTACGGCATGAGGGATAGGGGTGCCAGGTGTGGCGTGAGGTGGGTTTGCGTTATGTTTGTGGGGGCGTCATGAGGCATATGGATGCCTGGTAGGATGGTGGATGAAAGTAAGGGTGGACGTAAGCTGCGCGGCGAGGTGGCAGGAACGGGTGCCCCAGGGCGTCATGGCGGGTTGCATGGGGCTTGACAGGCATGGGTAAGCTAGAAGCGGGCGGTGCAGTGTGGATGTGAGGTGCTAGGATGGGGGGGTAAACAAGGGGCATGTTTTCCACGCTTCCATGAGGATAGGCCTGAAACACTTACCGCAATGTTGTTCACAGTGTCCCTATGCATGTAACTCCGCTCATACATGGCTGCAGAAGGCAGCGCATCCAAGTATTGCTGCTCAAATTCGAGGATCTGCGCGTTAAGCGAGGAGGAATACAAGCGATGTTCATGAAGAAATACCATGAGCCAATTACAGCCTGTTTATACTACGCCAACCAAAGTCACGAAGGTTGGAACAAGCTTAGAAAGCCGAAGAAATGCAAAAGCTTGCCTTGCGCTTCTTTGGCTTAGGGGGCGCCGGTCCTACGTCCTGATCTTGCTCCTCAGCATTCTCCTCCTCTGCCCCTTCCGGTGGACGAGGAGGTCCAACAGTATCATCGGCGTCCGCCATACTATAAAGCCGCGCTACGCGCTAGGATTGGTACAGGAAGGACAGCAATGTATTGCACTTCGAATTTTAATATCTGCGGTTGGAGTTACCTCAAAGCTGCAAGCAGGGTCATGTATGTTAAGGTGCAAGCTAGACGCTAGAGCGAGGCGTATTTTTATTTTTAGGCCTGCGACAAGACCTATAACCTGATAACCCTATACTCCACACCAACTTACTGTGATCGGCCCAACCGCTATAAGCTAGCGCCGTACGGCAGCCACAATAGAGCTCGTCGTCCTGACGGCGGCACTAGGCGTGCTCTACCCTGATCCACAAGTAGGGCCCTCTTCTGCCGAGGCCTTACCGTATCTTGGCAAATGGCAATTTGGATTGGGTGTGATGCGTGGCATAGGTGGATGGGACATTCTTGTCGTTGAGCACAGGCTTGCAAAGAAGGATGCAAGAGCTGGCAGACCGTGTACGGCCAGCATGCGGCTGAACCGGGCGTGGGGATGGACACGGTACACTCCTTGACGTGGTAGACATGTACAGCTGACCGTGCAGTCTGCAAACGAGGAGCGTGTGCCCCAGGCGGTGGTTGCCGAGGGTAGGGCCAACATGGACACAGGCCATTGTGTATGGACCCTAAGCCCAGCCCTGACGAAGGTTTGGGCAGTTGCTAGCAAGGTGCCACGCGCTCACTAGACCTACCATCCGCCTTCCACAACCCATCCGGCCGTTCCCCCCTGCTTCCTAGACCTCCAGGCAGCCCCAGTTCCCAGGCTCCCGCTAGCCCTGACCGCCAACCCAATTCACGCAACGTTTACAGTTGTACGCGCCAGCAGGATGCCTGGGCATGCCAACAAACCATGCTGTTCCGTGCAAGAACGTAAACGCTCATCATGAGCAGAGGCCCAACATGCGCACCTGTGCAATCGCCCTATCCCACCCCAGCACGGTAAGTAATTTGAGATGCGTGTTATTAGTGCCTCCGAATGCGCTCGCTGCATGAGTCGGGCTATGGGATTGGGATTCGTTGTTTCACTTTTATATAATTTTTTCACCCCAGCACGCACGTGTGTTCTCGCCCTGCCCCACATCCTGAGCCAGCACATAGCGCAAGCCCGGAAGCATACATCAGCTACATCAGCGTTGGAAGGTTTGAGGGCAGGTACAAAAGCTGATTTATGGTCTCAAGGCAAAGTTTGCGACGTGGGACCGATGGTCGGGACATACAACGTCGCTTTGGCCGACCGTTAGGCTAGCTGACGACTGGACCGGCGCAAAGGAATAAAGCATGTGCATCGTCAGCAAGCACAATAGTAGTTTCATTATGCGGTAAGCGTGCGAACAAGCGACCGGAGAGCTTGCAAGTGCTGCAACATGTGAGGCGTTAGTGAACTGCCAATTAGGAAAAAGGCGCAAGTACTGAACCAATAGATGCAGTATAAGTATGTGCTTTGTGTCCTTGTACTAGGGAAAACAGGTTGCATGACATTGGGCTTTTTAAGCAAAGTTGATCTGCGTCCAATTGCCCTACATTCTGCACCACAGATCCAGCCCAAGTAAATGCTCCAACGCTTCAGCGGGCTGTCCAAACAACATACATATCTATTACCTATTGAAATCTATGTAACCGGTTTGCATTTGGCAGCAAAAAAGCATACCCTGTTACGGTGAGACGCTATCGTGAAGGAAGCTCGAGCTCCCTATACTATACCACCTACATCTTGCATATCAAGAACTATAGTGGCTTGCACAAAAAAATCCGGACTTTAGGCTTTCCCAACGCCGACAGACATGCACTGAGTGAAGCTTGCGGCCTTGGCCGCAAATGGGACCGTTTGTAGCCCCACAAAACAGCTGTGGCGAGCGTTGCTGGCCTTCAGGATATGCTTGGTCGAGGCCGCAGTGTGGGGCAGCGGCGCAAGCTCACGGCCGTGGTAGCCGGCGTAGGCCTCATCGTTTCGCGGATGTCAATTCAACGTCTTCGTTTCCTGGCTTAAGCCTAAAGGCATCGCTGGGCACTAGTGCGGGGTCTTATTCAGTTTCAAGGGTAAGCAATCCTCCTGCGTTCAACGTATAATTTCAATACATCCGGCAGATCACTGCGTGCAAACCATGTTATTCTTATATTGAATGGTCAGCTAAACGTTTCGCGCAGGACGATGGCACAAGATATGGCTTGCGGAGGACAGCTTGCTCGGCGCCATCGCAATTGGGCGACACAGCACGACCCTTTTCCTTGCTCATGTCTCTCACGGAGGAGCAACAACGTTTATCCCAGGCAGCGACAGAAAAGCTGTTGCGGGTGATCGCTTACTGTGGCGCAGATTCGCCAGTTGGTTGCCTGTTGAATGACCACGACCCATTTGCGCATGGTGGCAGCAGCAACGTCGCAGGCGGCACCCCGCCACAACCGTGTGAAAGCACAGACCTGGCAGCTGCAGCCGCGCTGCTTCCAGCTGTCGCCTGGCGATGGTTGCCCGTCGCGGCCCTAGATGGATGGGTAGACACGAGCGTGGTGCACCTCTTGCGAGAGGCGCTGCTTGTGCAGAAAGCGGCAAGCGACCCAACCGCCTCTGCTGGGTGAGTTTATGTCTGGTTAGCTTCCTGCGTTGTGCTCACTAAGGCTTTTTGCGGCCACAGTCCATGCTGATTGTCCAAACCACCTCTCGAGTTACCATCCTTGCCAAGTAACCCCCACGCGCCCGTCTTCTCAAGCTGCTGTTGCTCCATTCACCCAATGTCCGACCACCATTCCCTCATCCACGCAACCCCTATTATCCCATTCCCTTCCCCTGCTCTCTCCCCACCACACCCCAACTCCTCAACACTTCAGCGAACTGGTCGGCTGGTGCTTGGACAGCTGCAGCACCCGGGCGGCAGCGCTGGCAGCCCTCTGGGCGCAATGTGACCCCCACCCCGACCCCCACCCCAACCAGCAGCCCGTTCCGCATCCCCAGCAGCAGCCGCTTCCCCAACAGCAGCCGCGATCTCAGCAGCAGCCCCAACAGCAGCAGCAGCAACCCCAGCAGCCGCAACAGACCCAACAGACCCACCCACCCAGCACGCTGACCCCTCGACTCCGCAGCTTCTACGGCCTGCTAGGCCAACGGCTGGGCTTGCGGCTGGGGCTGGGGCTAGGGCAGCCACCACCCTCAGATGAACCGCAAACCGCTGCTGCTACCGGGGAAAGCAGTGGCAGCAGGTACCGGGGAAGCGGAAGCAGCGGCGGTGAGGCAGCGGAGGCAAGTCTTGCGTCTCCCGGCGCCCGGTGCGGCGGCACTGCTGCCAGTGTTATCCGCACCAGCAGCAGCCGCGACGCTGCTGCTCTGCGAGCTGCTGCTTCTAGCGGCGGCGGCGCTGGGGCTAGCTGGTCGGCGGGTAGTTGGGCAGGCGGCGGCCGCATGCCGGCGCGAGCTGTGGTGCTGTGTGGGTCGGTGACACGTACGGCACCTGTTGCATCGGTAACGGCTGCTACGTGTACGGCAACGTCGGTGCGAGGAAAAGGGAGAGCCATGTCAGGCAGGGGCATGCCAGCGGGGGCTCGGGAGGAGGAGGAGGATGGCGAGGAGGTGGGGAAGGAGTTTGGCGAAGATGCTGATGCCGGCAGCGGCGATAGCAGCAGCGGCAGCAGACGAAGCGGCAGCAGACGAAGCGGCAGCAGCAGCGACGTCAGCAGCGGTATCAGCAGCGGTATCAGCGGCAGCAGCAGTGGCTGCAGTGGTGGGGTTGTCGGGGACGGCATGGGGGTGGTTGGATGTGAGGACGGCGCCTCGGCTCCTGCTGGCGACCGCTTCATGGGGCAGCTGGAAGAGAAGGAGGTGCTGCGGGATGGCGGTGGTGATGTCGTTGTCGCCGTCAGCAGCAGCAGCAGCGGCAACAGCGGCAACAGAGGCAGCCGTGGACATGGAAGTGCCCAGCAGCACGGTGTTCCCGGTAGCAGCAGCAGCCGCAGCAGCCGCAGCAGCAGCAGCAGCGGCATGGAAGGGGGTGCTGGTCGAGATGCTGATGCAGTTGGGGATCACAGTGGAGCGGAGCGGACCTCTGACGGGGCCGGCGACACAGGGCGGCAGCTGCAAGCTCCTGAAGCCCACGGCGGCAGCAGCAGCGGCGGAAGCAGCGGCAGCACCGCAGCACGGAAACTCTTCGCTCCCGGTGGTGACGACAACGCAACGGGGTCGTACGACAACGCTGAGGTATTGTACGGCGACGGAGTCATACCTCCTCCCGCTGCAACAGCCGCCGCCACTGGCCCTCCCACTCGGCCCATTGCTTCGCTGCTTCAAAGGCCATCTCGTGCCGTCGTACCGCCGCCGCCTGGTTTGGAGCCGGGCGACCCGTGGGACGGGGAACAGCAAGGGGGGGCGCGGCCGGTAGCAACTGATTCGTACGGCCGCATTGCGCCGTCGTACAATGACGGAAGCGCGCAATCGTCACTCCTCTCACCGGGCTCCTCGGCCACCGGCTTCGCCAATGCCGATGCTCGAGAACAGAAAACTTCGTTCGTACCTGTGCGGTTAGTTGCCACGGGACGTTTTCCGTTGCGGGATCTGTCAGGGCAGTTGCTAAAGGACGGGCTGGCGGTTCCGGACACTGGGCCCATCGTCATCAGCAATGACCCACGGGTCTTTCCCAGCTCGGAAGCCGTATTGTACGATTACGTAACGCGCGCGGAGGATAAACTCGCGATGCGGCTCGAGTACATTGTGGATCGTTCGTCGTCGTACGGGGACGTGACGTTACAATTGTTCAACATCAGTCGTGTACGGCGCAAACGTACAGACAACTGCAGGATGTTTGTCAACGGGCAGCCCGTACAAATCGGTGACCCGGGGGTCGCACTGGTTCCGGGCGACGAGGTGTGGTTCGGGAACCGCGCCTTTGCTTTCAAGGTGGAGGTGCTCTCGGGCCCGCCGCCTGCCGTACAGGTGGCGTTACAGCGACTGTGTTCGTATGACAATAGCAATACGTTAACAGCTCAGCAACGGGAGCGCAATCTCAGTGGCAGCAACAGCGATGGCGGCCGCACTGAGGTCAATGGTAATGCCACAGCGGCGACGCAGCCGACTGATCGGGACTCCGACGTGAATGCGGCCGCTGCAGACGGCGCCTCCAATGGCGCTAGTGTCGAGCACGACAAGTTGGCTGGCAGCAGCAGCAGCAGTAGCAGTAGCAATGGTGGCAGGGATGAGCTCGATATGGGGGACCTCTCAAACCTTGCGCGGCGGGACCCTCGTCGCGCAGAGCAGTTGCTACGGCGGTTAGCGACCGTTAGGCCGTTCGATGCCGCCATCTGGCTGATCTGGGCGCAAGCGTCAGCACGCCAGGGAGGGCCAGGAAGTCAGGCGAAGGCGCGAATGCTCTTTCGTGCAGCGGTGGCGGCGGCGCGACAAATGGAAGTTATACCGCCGCCGCCACCGGCGCTACAAGACTCAGTGCGACGAACCGTCGGGCGAAGCAACTTCCGACGGCGAAGCCGTCGACAAAGCGGCGACGGCGCCGACGACGACTCGGATCTCGATGACGACGTTCGCGACATGTACGAAGTCAATGACGGCGGCGCTGCGTCGTACACTGGCAGCGGCGGCAGCCGTCGTCCGTCGTCAATGACGTCATCGCTGTCGCGTCGTCGCCACAATTGGCTGCTCGTACAGGCGTTGGGCAACTGGGCCAAGCACGAGTGGCGGTTGAAAATGTACGGCAGCGCGCGTCACTTGTTCCGAGCCGCCGTCGACGAGGCGGCGCTTCATCCGTACGGCATTGCCGGCGGCGGCGGCGCCGCCATCATGCACTACTGGGCCTCTCGCGAGTTGGATTCCCAGAACATTCGCAACGCTCGCATCGTGGTTTCGGAGGCGCTTCGGAAGTGCCCTGCTGACGTGGCTCTCTACGTGCTTGCTGCCAGTGTGGAGCTCGAGGGAGGGAACCTGGGTGAGCCTTGAAGTCGCATGAGCCATGTAACTGTAGCACTGTAGCACCTCGTAGTAGCATGTTGGGAACAAGGGCTATCGGTATTGTTGCTTCTCTCTCAATCCCCCTCACCTCACCTCACCTCCACCTTGGGATTCTTCGTTTCCTCCACCCCCCTCCCAGACCTGGCTCGCACCTACTGCTCCCGCGCCTACTCGCTGGACCGAACCGACAAGCAGCTCTTCCTGGTGTGGCCGCGCGTGGAGGCGGGGCTGGGGGACCGCCTGCGGGCGCGGCTGCTGTACGAGCGGGCACTGGACATGCACCCGCTCAACACCAAGATCATGAACGTGAGGCGTGAGGGGGGGGAGGAGGAGGCTGGGGGCGGGAAGGGACTAACGAGGAAGGGGCGGTGCCTTAGGGGGGGATCACGTGATCACTCGGTCAACTGGCGGACCGCGGACTGTCATGGTAACGGGCAGCAGGGGGCAGGGAAGGGGGCGTTCCTTCCCAACTCATGGTCTCCAACTTCTCTTCCCCCCCTCCCCCGCTTACCCCCAACCCGCACAGCTCTACGCCCGCTTCGAGGCGGAGGAGGGCGCCTACCGCGAGGCCGCTGAGCTGTACGACAGAGCACTCTCCGTGGACCCTCTGTCGCCCGTGATGGGGGTGCACAACCGCGCGGATTGGGCGTCCATGGAGGCGGACCTGGGGCACACGGGGCTGGCTCGGCAGCTGCTGGAGGGCGGGCTGGCGGCACACCCGCGCTCGCCGCAGCTGCTGGTGACGCTGGCAAAGGTGTGTTCGAAAGGATAACAGGCCGCAAGGCGGAACGTACTGGTGTGTGGGAGGGAGGGAGTTTGTGAGGGTCAGGGGCGGGGAGGGAGGTGTGTGGGAGGGGGATGGGCTTCCAAGCCTCCTAGCAGCACGGGCCAAACTCCATCCTCCATGCTAATCCCCCCACCCTCACCTTCGTCCTCGCCCTCTCACAGGTGGAGCGCCTGGAAGGCCGCTACACCGCCGCCCTCGACCTCGTCCGTGCCGCTCAATCCCTGGCAGGTCCCTTCAACGTACCCGTCATCATGGAGCGCTCCCTGGTGCTGCGCGCGCTGGGGGAACGCGAGCTCGCCGCCAACCTCAGCCGTCACGTGGGTGCCGTACGCGATCTGGGTCGCATGAAGCAACAAGGCTATTGGGGCAGTGAGGCCTGGCGGGCGTTCATTGAGGCGACCCGAAGTTCGGAGCAGCGTGAGGTGGTGGCGGCGGCCAAGGCCAGGAAGCGGGAGTTGGGTTGGGAGCCGGAGCAGAGGGGCGGGAAGCCGCAGCCGAAGGGTGAGGTGGGTGAGGGACGCCGGCCCACAGCGCCTGAAGTGCAGCGGTGGATGCAGCTGCAGCAGCTGCAGCGGCGGCGGGAGGAGGCGCGGCGGGTGGCGGCGATGAGGGCGGCGAGGCTGGCGGCGGAGGAGGCGAGGGGGTTGGGAGGGGTGTCGGAGGCAAGGGGGGGAGGAGGGGCTTCGTCTTCGTCATCTGGGAGTGATGGGGATGGGGAGTACGATGGAGCGGGCGGGTATGAGGAGCCGCCGGTGGGGGTGCCGTTGGTGGACGCGGTGAGGCGCCCCATGCCCTCCTCGGGAGGGGAGGTGTGAGGGGAGGGAGTGGGGCAGACTTCCGTTTATCTTGGGTGTTGTTGGTGGTGGTAGGGTATGAGGTGGAGAGTAGCGACGAGATGGTTTTCAATTAGAACCGGCCGTGATGGCGGATGTGGGTGCACCCGTGGACCCATGCGCAGCGTGTGCGGCGATGGGGGGGCAGACCTGAAGACGTAAGCACCACATGGAGGAGGGTGGACCTCGGAGGTAGGGAGACCTAGATAGGGATGGAAGACTGGAGCTATAGGAGGAAGGAGAAGCGCGGGTGGCGCGGGTGTCAGGGTGACGAGAGCTGCTGCAGCGCAGGGTTTGCCGTAGCGTGACGCTTGTGGTGCTTGTGGTGGTCGTGTGGGTTTATGAAAGCTGTGTGATGCAATGTAAGAGAGGACATCAGGTAAAAGCGTCGAGGATGGTAGAATGCAGGGAAGAGCACGAGGGACGGTTCACCGCCGTAGGTGCCTTCCTATCCAGAGCTCTTTCTTCTTGGTCTTGATGCGGGAATACCGGTACCCGGGGCGGGCAGCACGCAGGAGGTGAGGCTTGCATGGAGGTGGATGGGCAGACGGAGGGCTGACATGGATTAGGCACAGATAGCCCCTCCCTCTTCCTCTCAAGGCACCTGTTTGGCGCTGCCGAATTGACATAGAAAGATGTGTACGGTAGCCTGGGTTATAGATAGAGGAGCGTTTGCCAGGGGTTGCACGCGGTAAACGTTTTCCTGGCATGCTGACCTGCTGGCAAGTGTGGCTGTGGGGCCGGCTGTGGTTGGCAGGGTTAGGCCTCCCTGCCCCCATTGCATCAGCTGCGTCAATAGCGGCAGGTAGGTTGGTTGCGAGCGGAAGCACAGCCGAGGAGCGTTGTTGAGGGGCAGGCCTCGGGTTGCTCAGTAACAGGCTTATAGGCTTACACCTAGTGAGGTAGCAGCACCCCTGCTGAGGCTGGATGAAGGGTGATGCGGCGTAAGGGCTATTGGGTACTTAGCAGCTTTGAAGTGGGTGGGCTTTCCACAGGCGAGGGCAATTGCGAGGGAGGGTGCAGCGTCATGGTACAGCAGTGGTGTAGGGGGGAAACGTAGGAAGGAGCAAGGTGTAGTGAGATGAGAGGGGGTGCGGCCCCCTATAGATGCGTGAAGGCCGGGAGATTACAATAGCTGAGAACTAACCCAGTTCGAGTTGGAGGAGAGGATGGAGCGTAACAGCGTAGAACTGCAGCAGGACCTTGCTGGAGTGTGTGATCTCAATAATGTGGTTAAAAGCATACACGACATAAGCGTCTTACACGAGGGGCAGGGACACGTACACGCAGCATGCAGCTCTGTTCGCTGGAGGTGATTTACCGGCAGGTTTTGACGAGTTCAAGCTGAATGCGGTTTTGGCACCCAAGGTCACGTGGGTTGCCGCCCAAGCAACGAGGGCATCCCTTACCGACCCATGGGTCCCTGGTTACATGCTAGCCATCCCTCAGCCATCACATAGTGCTTTCGCAGAGGAGGAAATGGCATGCTGTGATGCTAACAGTAATATGTTACAGACATTCTGGTGTTGGCGGGTACCGCTAACGGTAGTTGGGTACAAATTGCCAACAATAAGCAAGCAAACCTGCCTGCGCCAAGGGGCCAGGACGGGACAGGTCTAATGCACAAGTCGAAGTACCCGCAGCAGCAGCCATAATCTCCGCTGCCTCCAGCAATATATAAGCGGGACGAAAGAACACAGCTCCCATGATCGTACATTATGTTACTATAGCAGTACACATCCCATTCCCTGCGGCCCCCTAGCAATACCGCCTCAGAGCATGCGCCCCAAGAACCGGCAGCATAGTATGGAGACCGTGTTTCTAGGTAATCGGCCAACCAATCGCAACACAGGCGGTAAACCCTTTGAACCTAAGACCCTACACACAAAACACGCCTTTTGCAACAGCCCTGCGAACACGCGTGCACTCGGAGCCCCATGCCAAATGCGCCTCGTCCCCGACATGTCTCTTTGCACCGCACGGTGCCTCCCGCTCCAAACCTCCCGCTGCCTGCCCCATTCCCGTGCGGCACACCTCTCCGCAAGTCTCAAGCGCGCGAACCACTCAGGCGCTTCCGTCATCCTCGTCCCCATCAACACCGCTACAAAAAGACAACCAGCAGGAACATGCTTCGCTTCTTCTCCGACCATCCATCCATGATATATGAATATATGTAGGCTTGAGCTTCAAGCAGTATAACGAAAGAATTGTTTTTGCATAATCGGCGTGCCTTTTGGACGATCCTAATCACCATGTATGATGTTCGCAGCGCATACACTGCACTCCCTGTACGTCCCAATGCGCATTCAATCCGTGTAAGGCGACATAACAGGGGCAATCCTGCTGCATATGAATGGTAGAAGGGCCCTGAACCAACCGCCCCATGCCTCCGTCTGTGCAAACGACCTCCATGCCTCCCAACCACAGCTCTTCTGTCTCCAGCAGCATGCAACCTGTTCTTCTCTCATCTCTTTTTGCCATCTCTGCACTTCTTCGTCACACCCCCTCACATTCCTCGCAACAGCAACAACGGACCCACTGCGAATCTTCGGCAGGCCGGCGTCCTGCATTGCTAACACACTTTGTGGCCCTTTCCTTTAACCCACGCTGCCCCCATTAGTAGCTCCCCATGCACCTTTCCCCATGCATCCTTCCACATCACCACCATCCTCGCCTCGCCACCCTCCAATCACCGGTTCCTGACCAGCCCATTGGGGTCCAGCACGAAGTCCCGAGGCCCCTCTGCCCGCGCGATGAAGTCCAGGTTCTTCCGCAGCACTTCCATCTTCTTGAAGCTGGCTCCCATGCCGATCAAGTCGCTGCCATCGGAGTCAAACACCAGCACATGCGGGATGCCACGCACGCCCTTGGCCTTGATGAAGGAAGCCATGTCAGCGTCCTGAAGTTGAATGAAGAGGAAGGACAGGTAGGAAACAGGGCGGCATGCAGGGAATTGGGACTGAGCCGCGATAAAGTACAGACCGTGACTACCGGTGCCACGGGGTAGGGGACCGTGCATGCGGTGTACATGCACCGTTTCAGGGAGAGGGAGGCTGGGGATGGTGGTGGCTTCCTAGCATAATGTCTTGGAGGTGCCGTGGTGAGGTACAGGTCCTAAGGCACGAGCCGTGCGGTTGTGTACATGTGGCAAGGCGGGATCCTCACCTCGATGTTGACCTTGTAAAAGTTGAAGTGCTGGGCCAGGAACTCGTTGGTTGGGATGCGGCACAGGGCCGGGAAGGAGCTCTTGCAACAGGCACACCAACCTGGCATCATCGGGCGCGAAAGGGCCACCAAAGCGGCGGTACAAGGGCGCACGTCAGGTCAGGTGCGACAGCCGCATAGGGTTCTTATATAGTCAAACGCTCCATATACCGTCGTCAAATCCAAAATCGTTTAAGTGCTGGCCTGTAAAAGGCGCCTTTCAAGGCGTACCTGCGTAGAAGTCCACCACAGACATGCGACCACCGTTGCCTGAGGCGGAGATAGCAGCTTCAAGCTCCTGCAAACTACCGATCTCCTTGAATGCTACAAAGGGGAATGTATACAGAGTGACCGGCTGCTCTTTCATCAGGCAACGCCCTTCGCGAAATGGCATGTGCACGTGGAACCCAACGACTGAAATAAGGCAAGGCCAGAAATAAGGCAAGGCCAAATCAGCTTCCAGAGAGCGCTTACCGCAGGGTTTTTTATACCATGGAACCTTTCCTTCTACCACAGGCCCGTCCCCACTTGAAGATGTCCCAACGGCATCCGCGCTTAAGCCCTCAGATACTGCTATAGCCCTATAGTGCGTCAATCGCCTATAGCGCGGCGGATTTGCGCCCCTTAGACAGGCATTTGCAGGCGCTGTCGTCGAGCGCGCCGACTGTGTGACAACTGATTTTGGTGAGGCAAGCATGTTTCTACGCAGCCGTGGTTGTTACCTAAATCCCAAACAAACAAAGAAGCCAACATGTCAGAAGTCGTGTTAGCCCTTCTACCTATTCTCAGTCGCTTTTGAGACCAAACGTCGTACATGACATCATTGGTCATGGTAATGCGTCCTAGGCAATACACGTCTTGTGACTCAGGAATGCCAACCGCAGTGGTCGAAAAGTAACTGGCATTGGACTTCGACAAGGAAACCATTATAAAACCCTTGATACGTGTACCCTGCTGACGCTGGCAGCGTCAGTTACGTTCATGGACCCTTCATCCCGGAATGCCTATTGCCTGCTTAACTTAAGCAGTAGCTGGTATGAGCATGTACAAAGCCATATACCGTACACTCAGGGCATGCAACATCCATCTTTAGGTAGCTATAAGTGGTTTGTGCAGCAAGGGGTGTCATCGCCTTACAGACGACACTCTTCCGCTCGTCCGGGCCTTACAGATTTCAAGTGAATTCTAATGAAAAGCCAACCACCTGTGCTGTGTCTTAACATACACGTAGGGTAACCACATTGTAAAAGTCGTACAATACCCGCTGCTTTGCTTTCGCCCTTTGTACTGTGACATATCCATGAACACGATTCGTTTAGGCACTGACGCCTTCTGCTGGCTCCGTGCTCGTGCAAATGGTGAGGCACAAGGGAAATGAAGCAAAATTCAATCGCAAGAGTGTTACACCACCATAGCCGAGTACGCAGACGACGCTGTTTACTTCTTGCCTGCGGTACAGAAGGGGCAAGAGGGGGGTGAAAAATTAAATAAGTGAAACAACGAGTCCCAATCCCATATCCCGACTCATGCAGTGAGCGCATTCGGAGACACTATCCTAGAAACACGCATCTAGGGGTTTGGGGGCGCAATTCGTAAGGACAGGCGAAAACTGCCAAAGCAAACATGCAAAGCAAATGAAACTCAAGCACACGCTTTCGTCCTCACGCGCCGATACGGAATCCCGTTGCGCAACCAATATGCTGCCCAATGCTTTGCATTTACTTCACGTCCTTTCCAGAGGCATGTGGGGAGGAGCAGCCTGAAATGGCTCTTCAGCATCTACCAGCTATCAGCTGGCCCACAATGCCAAGGTAACATGAAGTCATCCCCAGCTCCTGTTTCCTGTTTCCGAGGCAATCTTCCTGACCGCAGCTTATCCGGTATTGTCCACAGACCCCTTCATTCGCACCCCGGCTCCCAAGCCTCCCTCATCACTCACCAGCGCCGGCGTTCTTCTTGGCGCCGCGGACCTTCTTGGCGCGCTTCCGGCGCTCCTTCATCTGCTTGCGCGACCTGTCCACCTTCTTCTCCAGGCCGTTCTGTGAGCGGAGCAGGGGATCAAGCAAGAGGGTACACCGTCAGCAACTAGTACAGCTCGCAATAAGCAAAGTTGGTGTGGTAATGTATGAGCCGGAACACAATCAGTGGCCAGCGCTGCAATCCGAAACCAGATGTCTGGTGTGCTGACGTAACCAGACGGTGTGAGGTCCTGAACCGCGTGTGGGCATTGACGGCTGTTTGGGGAAACCCGCTGCGAGGAGGCCACCAAAGAGCCCAGGACGCCTGCTGAGTTGATGGCTGTAACAAGGCTAGTAGCCGTTGTGTAGTCCCAGGTCCAGTTAAGGCCACGATTGTATTGCTGCTGTACGGCAACCATGTCCCTCAACCACGGCTGGCATTTATCCTTTCCCACACCAGTAGTTAAGCGTCACCAAACTTAGGCTAATCTAGCCGCAGCTGCATGCCCAGAGCCACAAGGGAAACCCAGTAGAACTGAGGTCAAGCGCTGCCTAAGCGCCGGGACGGCGCCAAGACGGAAGCCCAAGCAACTAAACAGGCTGTGCCCAGCCTTGCATAGCAGCGGTGGATGATCGCCATCGACACCAGCCGCATGACAGGCCTGGTGCATTTGACAGCTGCACCCTGCTTGCCTCTGAGCCAGTGGGTCAGAAGCACCACTGAACAAGGGCGGGGCCACAGCCATACAATGCAAGCCTGCCTCCAGCCACAGCATCCCGGAGAAAAAGGCTTCCAATTCCAAGCTGCTGGCGCTTTGCTGCTGCCTAGCGCCTCAGCCGCTTCCCCGCTCCTGTCCCGCCGATTGGGGCTCCCTGAGGCTGCAATAAGCTGCTAGGTGGCGCTGGGAGCTCCACCATTGATGCTGAGGAGTTCGCCCCAGCTGCCAGTCCAGCTGCTTAGTAAATAATACAAAACTAATGGCATGTAATGCAGTAATGTCAGGGAACAAGAACCACGCTTTGCTGCGGTTGGTTCGCTTACCCTGATGAGGCGGTACTTGGGCTCGAACTGCTTGGCGGCCTTCAGGTCATCGTAGATGAGGCCAAAGCCGGTGGACTTGCCACCACCGAACTGCGGAAATAAGTAGCAGCACGGCGAAAGTTAACATATCGCGCTGGGAGCATGCATGGGGCCGCCGCCGCACAGTCTGCTAAATAGCCCCGCCTTCACGCATCCCACGCGGTTTCGCGGGATCATAAAGCTTGGCAATCGCTTTTTCCCAGATACATCCCACGCACCTGGGTGCGGAAGCCGAACAGGAAGATGCACTGGCTGTCCTTGACATCGTACATAGAAGTCAGCTTCTCCGCCAGCTCAGACTGAGTTCACCAAGCGAAATACTGTAAGAATGCATCCTGCCTGCGCGCTGCGCCGCTGCTAAGGGCAAGCCTGCCGGCTTACCTTGGAGACGTTCGGCCGGCCAGGGTGCAGCACGTCAATAATCTGCGAAAGTATTCATTATCATTATTCTAGTCCAGTCCGTGAAGCTGTTTGGAAAGTGCCAAGTTGGGGACTCACGAATTGCCGCCGCTGCAGCAGCCTGTTGGTCATGAACTTGCGCGTGCGGATGGTGCAGGTCTTGTCCGACATTTTTGCCGGCTTCTCTAGAGACCAGCAGAGCTGCAGAAGAGAGGGAACAAGTGGTCGAACACGGACTTGTTACCCGGGGATTAGGGGCTTCCCTGGAGTGCACTCCGACCAATTGCCAAGCTCGATGCCTCGATCTTCAATGTTGTTGGTATTAATGTTGTTGGTATACAAGTTACATTGATTCGAAGTAAACCTTAAGAGTCACGTATCCACGTCTGTTTGCGCTCTACGGCCCCAGCCACCGAACCGCTAGGCATTTGTTCCCTGTATGGAACTTCTCGGCGAGGGCTCAATCCCCCGCGATATCACATAGCACCTGCCATGCTTTATATAAGTTCATACCACGTAATGCAAGTCATCCAACTCAATGCGAAATGTACCCGGTCAGGAATCAGCGTAGCTCGTCCGCCCTCGCATGGAGGCAATGGAAGTAGCATTCCCTTGGAACGTGCTCAAAATTGATGTGGTGGCCGACGGGTGGCCCTTGATCGACCCCATCAACAAAGACCCCCCGTGCCCTGCCGTGTTAGCCAGGTTCCGCGTCATGGGCCCCAGACCAGATGCTATGGGCCCGCCCCCGCCCACTACACCACTGCTGCTCGTTGTGCCTGGAGATGCGCCGCGTCCATTCAGCATCAGCGGGGGTACAGATGGCGGGGCGGTGTGTTGTGAAACCGCGCCACCGGAAGCAGGCGCAGCTTGGGCGTTGTCTCCTTCCGCAGCAGGCTGCTGCGAGGTAGTTGTCAACCTGCTTGCTGCTGGTTGCTGCGAAAGAATGGACCCGACGCGACCCGCTAAGCTTGCGAGTAGGCTGGTTGATGAATTCCTGCGCGGTGTCACTCCACCAGCGGAAGCGTTCCCGCTGCTGCCGCCGTGCACAATCACGGAGGAGGTCAGCGGGTTGGTGCCGCCACCCGCCGCAGCAGCAGCCTTGCGCTGTCGCGGCGTGGTGACCCGCCGCACCAGGGTAGTCATCAGCGCGCCCACGTGGGTTGGGCGGGCACAGACTGCAGGGGTAAAGAGGAAACAACTAACTGACTGAGGGATAAGGCGATAAGGGATAGGGGGTGTTCTGGTGGCAGCACGGGCGCAGTTAGGTCGGAGTGACGATAGACGCATTACGTGAAACAGCCATAGGACGCTTTTCGCGCCAATTTCCTGTCATAGGCATCTCGCAGCATCCATGGGTAAACAAAACCGCGCTCCGACTATCGTAGTATGCCGCCAAGCGCACTGCAAGCTTACCCTCTGCGGTGTTGCCGAAGACCAGCTGCATGAACTGTTCCGTTGCATCAGGCCCCGCCAGCGCACACACGACCGTGGCGGACGCCTCCATGCTCACTGTGGAATTCAGAAACAACACTGGTAAGGAACACTTGGGTGTTGCACCTTGCACGGGTAACTGAAGGTGCAAATACGGTAGGCTACCGGTATAACTGCTCTCCCTGGTTTTGGGGACTAGGACTGTTCAATGTTGTTGCCCCAGTTGCCCCTGACCCTCTCGCACGGACCTTGGTCCTTGGTCTTGGCGGGGTCCCACAGCTTCTTGACCAGCTGCAGCTTGCGCCCTTTGGAGTGGGCGCTGACGCCCCACTGGTCAAACAGCATCTCCCGCTCGCGCTCGTTGTACGTGAACCGCATCGCTTGCGCCAGCACCTTGCGCTCGAGCTGCGTATACATACCGCGGATGGGTGCAAACATAGTCGTAAGAAATAGTTAGGAAGGTACGCTCATTGTAACTGACGGTAGCGGCAGCGTAGAACAAAAGTGTGACCCATGGGTCGCAATTGCTCACATCTAGCGCTCGCTTGGCCTTGTCCAGCGCCTTGCTGCGGGAGAGATAGTCGCCCTCGAGTTCCTTCTCAACCTGCTCCAGACGATGCTTCAGCCTGCGCTGCTCCATTTGCAAGTAGATGAGCTCCTTGCTGCGGAAGAGCATGAAGAAGCGGCTGCGGTACACCAGCGGCACGTTAAGCTTGTGCCACAGCTCGCACAGCTGACCCAGAAGCGTCTGCGTTGCGTGAACGGAGGGTTCATGCCGCGGGTTAGTGATGGTGGCGCACGGCAGGTCGGTGTGTGACGTGGGCTACGTGGTGTACTTGTGTGTATGTGATGTTCGCCTGCTCTACTTCACAGATACCCAGCACATTCCCCATGACAAAACAAGCTCATAGGCAAGCGGGCGTCCAGCAAGCCCTGCTTCAAAACAACGCACCTCCGTCGTCGGCGCATCGGCCCAGTCATCGTCGTCGTCGTTGAAGGCGTGTTGGTCTGCGGGTTAGAAGCCAAGGGCATACTTCAGAAACACTGCCAAGCGAGAAAGGGTATCCTGGGCCTGAAAAAGCGCATCTTGGCATACCCACCTGACGACGACGCATGCATCAGCGCCGTCTGCTGCGCAGAGAAGGCCATGGCCTGCGCCTGCTGTGCTTGCAGCAGCGCGGCCTGCTCGCGGCTCTTGGCCTGGGCCGCCTCCTTGACAGCCTGATCACGCTCCGCCTGCAATAAAAAACGCCACAAGTACGGCAAAAGGCATCCGCCTTGGCTCCTTGCTTGACGGTCCAGCAACAAGCACATTGCACATGCCCCCGCCTGCCCAAGCCTCCCTGAGTCGAAACGTAAGCAAGGATGAAGGGCAGACGCACCATCAGCTTTGCAATCATGGCGTTGCTGCGGGCCTCCTGCTGCTCAGCTTCGTCCACCGCCAGCTCTAGTTGCAGCACCTGGGGTGGGAAGTGAGCAGCGTGGGAAGCATGAGGTAAAATGCGGTGTCGGTGATCTTCCGTTCACATTGGCAAGCCTACCCTGCAGACAACAGCAAAGGGCTGCCCGATTTTCCCCGGCACATGGCTTTTTTCTCCCTTCAGCACCATCATGCGCATCACACCTGCTTGATAAGCAGCTGCTTTTGTACGTTCAACCGCTCCACACGCTCCTGAGTCTCCTCAAACATCCCACGGTAGCGCTCCACTGCTTCCCGCATGGCGTCTACATCCGCTTGCGTCTGCGTCCGGAATGCCGCCTTCAGCCGCGCCACCTCGGCGGCGTACCTGTCAATTGGAAGGAGGCAACGGAGATTCGTGTCAGTTACAATGCATCCGTTGCTGGGCGCATCCCGCCATACCTCAGAAACCCCACCACCTCTCAGCGAGGCGCGTAAGAAGCCTAGCCTACCTTCCCCCGTTCCCCTCCTCCAACCGCCTTACCATGCATGGATGGCCTCCTTCTCGCGGCCGATGATTCGTTTCGCGCGCTCCGTGTCCCGCATGACTCCACGACTGCTGATGCTGGCGGTAGGCCGTCCGGCGGACATGAGCTCAGCCTCGGAGGCTTGCATCGAGAGCGATGGTGTGCGCATGCGCCGCAAGCAAAGCTCGTCAGCATGGCCATCCACGTCCGCGCCGGCACGGGGGCTGCAGGAGGGAATGTTGCGACAAGGGGGCCATGTCGTGTGTAAGGAGCAAACGGTTACACGAGCAAAGACGCGCTAACACTACGCAAAGCAGTCTTTACTGACCCTAACGTCAACGGAAGACTGAGTTAAGGGGACCTAAGCCCTAAGGACCTAATCCTTTTTCAGGCGCATGCAGGGAGTCCCACCTATCGGCGCCGTGGTGTTGCACGTGACCCGCGCGCACGCCAGCTGACAGGCGGCTGTTTGGCGTGGTGCTGGCTCCCAGCCCCGCACCGCCATGCGGCGACGCCATCAAGCCCCGGCGAGGCGATTTGACCAGCACCGAATCCCCCTCGCCGTCAAGGTCAGCGCCCGTCAGGAGTGCCCGGGGCAGCTTGCTCCCGCTCAACCGCGCCGGGCTGTGCTGCGCAGCTGCCGTGGTGACTTGCGGCGCCGCTGCCGGCGAGTCATAGCGCTGTTCGCTGGTGGCCTCGCCGTCATCCCTGGCAGCGGCCACTCGGCGCCGGGCTACCGTGCGCGCACCCGTGTGCGTGGGGTACTGGTGGTCTCCAGCGCCGCCGGCTGCTGCTGCCGCCCCTTCGGCTGCTGTCATGTCTTCATCACCCTCATCCAGCTCGTCAGCCTCCTAAGGGAGGACCGGGTTTGGTAAGTATGCGGGGTGGTTGGCGCGGTCAGCAGTGTGCACTGTGGTCCTAGGTAAGGCGATGGGGGCAGAAAAAGCTGATGGGTTGCAGGTGCCTGGCCCAGGTGATCTGGCGCCGAAGAAAACAAAAATTACGACACCAGGGAGGCCTCATTGCACTTTCCCACCTGCAGCGCGGTTTGTAGCCTTTCAAGCACGGCAGGGACCTGCAGCAAGCCGTCCATGTGCGGGTTGGAGCCTGCGAGAGGGCCATGTGTCACGTCGGGTTAAATTGTTGATGCAGATAGCGGTTCTCGCCATTGGGAACAGCCTTGCCATCCAGTCGTGCAACAACCGCATTGAGGCCGGGTACTGCCTTAAACTACGCGGCAGGGCACTACATGGCCTCCCCACGAAAGGACGAGACCGCAACCCGTGCCCTTAGCAGCACATCAGTGATCATTACACCACCCTCGTTCATAGCACTGTCCCCAGGAGCGGCCCCTCCCCTCACCGCCAGTACTGCCCGCCTCCAGCATCGCGACCTTGCTCAGCAGCGACTCTATCGCCTGGTTTGCCTGCACGTTGATCGCCCGCAAGCGCTGCAAACGAGCCACCTCCGTACGGAGCAAGGCTATCAGGTTCGCCTCGTCCTCAGCGTTCGAGGGTTGCTGTCGCTGGAGCGCCCCGGCGGCCGCAGTCTCCTTTCCAGACGGGGTGGCCGCAGCGGAAGCCGGATCAGACGCGGTATTCGGGTTTGCTGCAGGCGCTGTCCCTCCTGCCTGGCTGCTGCCCGGCTCCTGCCCATCGCGCTGCCGCTGCTCTAGCGAGCCCAGCATCTGCGTCAGCTGCTCCAGCAGGCGATCTGCCGTGTCAGGCGTGGCGCCAGCTGCCGCCGCAACCACGGCTGCGGCATCAGGCCGCTGGCTGCAGCAGCGGACTTCGGCCTGCAGCGCCGTGCGGGCCTCCTCGGCCTTGCTGCCCTCGGGCGCCTGTATGGAAACAAATGCCGTCACTTGTTGGAAGGCAGCTTGCATCATGTGCCACACAGACGGGTATCAAGCATGCATGCCGCCTGGGTAGCATCCCCTCCCTCCCTCATGACCTCTTCAGACAGGGTTAGGAGCCACAATAGCGCACCTGCAGTTTGCCGATCTCCATGCGCAGGTTATAGCCATTTCGCGCATCCGTGCCAGTGGGCGCAGCGGCTGCACCGCGCTGAGTCGGGTTCTCCACGCTTAGCCGGTTCACGGCCTCCCGAACGCCCGGGGGCAGCAGGTAGTCCAACAGCAGGCGACCGGGGTTGCCGACAATCCTGGAGGCCAGGTAAAGGTTAGTGCCCAGTATTGACAAGCTAATAACACTTTGTGGGGGATTAAAAGTCAAAGCCGCTAATGCGTGCCTCCAACATGCATGCCGTACTTCTGGTGCTCACCTGGCAGAGCCTGGCACACCCTTCCCCGTCTTGCCAGCGCTGGTGGGCTCGCGGGTGTCCAGCGCGGACATGCTCCCCGGGTTCCACGACGCGCGCACGGACGTCCCAACGGCGCTGCTGCCCAGCAGCCCTGCACCCCGCGCCCCGCCAGGTCCGTTCGCACCAGCCGCCATGGAGGACGCGAGGGAGTCCAGTCCATCGAAGCTGCGCCGTAGGCCCTAGAGGGTGGTGGATGCAAGGGAGCACAGGCAAGGGAGTTCAAGCAAGGGACATCAAGCAAGGGAGTGCACAGTGCAATTTAGGGTGGGCATTGGCAGTTTGGCACACACACGCGGACCACATGCGCTGGCAGGCTCCGCCAAGAGGACAGGGTACGGCTGTTGGATGCTGCCTCACCGGTGCCGGACTGCCAGAGCCACCGCGGATGATGAACTTCTCCATCTGGTTGAGGCGCCGCTCCAGCGCCGCTCGCTCTTGCAGTGCTTTCCGCATCTACAATGGGAGAGGGAAGGAGCATATTGACTCGGGTACCCGGGTCCTATGATCCGGACTTACGGTTGGACTTAGGCACATCCGTCACAAAAGGACCCCAGGAGAGGACCCCACAAAAGCCTAATCCAAACGAGCTGCCTCCTTACCTGTTCCTCCTTGGCCTTTAGCTCCGCATCTTTCTCCGCCAGCAGCTGCTTAGTGCCTTGACGGGAGCTGCGGTCAGGGCGGTCCATGCGAGCCTGGGGGTAATGAAGGGGCAGCGATTAAACAGGGAGGGGCTCCTTAATCAGCACCTGCAGCCTTCAGCGTTGCATTGACACTTCCCGCCGGAAGCGTGTAAGCCAGCATATGTGCCCATTGTAACACGTGGCCCATTCAGTCCCGGTCCCGGCCCACATGGACGACAGCTTTCCCCGGCCTACCAGCTTGCGCCGCAACTCCATGATCTCCACCTCCATCTTGTGGATGATGGCCTGCTCGTTGCGCACCTCGTTCAGGACCGGCCGCATGGTCACCGCCTTGGCGTGGTTGGCAAAGTGCAGCGCGGCTCGGCTGTTGTCGACGGAGCCTGCGTTTTTTGGGTGGGATGACGATGCGCGGGAGAGGTTAGTTGGGTAGGCTGACGATGTGCATGGCTGTCTCCGCCTACATAGCGACACGTCCTTAGCCGCTGTAGGCACCTCTGTAATGGAATTGCGTTGTTTTCTCTCTCCCGGGCCAGGAAAGCCCCCTAGGCAGGTCAGCACGCACCTGCTGCAGGAGACAGCGTACACACAATCGCCATGCGCGAGTTGCCGGCCAGCGAGGGTTGCAGGATGCGCGTCAGGTTGGACTCGCGGTACGGCACGTGCTCGCCCCGCTTGCCCAGCGCCCGGATGACCTTGCCCAGGGTTAGCAGGCTGACGTTGATGTTGCTCGCCTGCATCAGGGCAGCAACGAGGGTCGATGTGGGGGGCCCATTTTGCAGGAACAGGTGGCGTGCTGCATGCGACCATGCCGACAGATGGCATGCGCATGCGACGGCGCTACCATGCGACAGATGGCGCGTACCGTACCTCTTTCTGGCGCAGCTTCTCCTTATCCACGTCGTCCGTCATGCTGGCCTGGTTGAGGCGTTCTGACCCCGCCAGGTCCACAAAGTTGATGGTGGACAAGACCGGCGCCAGGGTGCGGCTGCTGGTCTCACCGCCGACGCTACCGTCGTCATCCTCCGCCTCAGAGCTGTCGTCGCTGGACAGCTCGTCGTCTGCAAGAGGGCATCAAATGCCCATGTTATGAGCTAGGTTAGCTCTTCAAGCGTCGTAGGGTGGGACTGGTATCAGTGTCTCTCCACAACAGCATCCCGGCTTACCTGACGCAATGGATGCAGGCCGGCTCTCCACATACAGCCGCACCACCAGGTGCGAGCGGCTGCTCTTCTGGTTCATCTTTGTCTCCCTCACCTGCAGCGTGTTTCAGTGTGTACGGCATGCGGGTTATATGAGATCGCGTCCCCCGCTGCCATCCCGACCGAAAGCGAGGTTAGCCCATGCGCACCTGGCGACGGCCCTCTATGGCCTTGAGCATCTTCAGCAGGTGCTCCTCCGACTCTATGCTCTGCTCCGTCAGGTCCACCACCACCGGGCCCTTCTCCTTATCGTCGTTGATCTTCAAGTTGGTGTCCACGTCAACGAACAGGTCATGCACAACCTCGTTGTACACTTCAATTGCGCACATCTTCAACACAAAGTCGCGGTCCCGCGTGCGGGCAATGTGCGCAAAGATGTCCTTTGCCGCGTGACGCATCACCGAACGCATCGTCGTGGTCTTGCCCGAACCAGTCTGGCCATAGGCAAAGAGCGTACAGTTGTAGCCCTTCATAGCAGACTGGACCATTGGCTGGGCTGCTGCCGCGTACACCTCGTCTGATGTGCAGGTGTCCGCGAAGACCCTGTCATACTGATACGTGCTTTGCTGGAAAGCGTTCTTCTCCTCGACCATGCATGAAAGCGTTCCACTGCCACTTGCTTTCCATGCCACTGTTTCCTTAGCCTCCGATTCATGTCGCAGCAAGGGGCGAATTCTGACGCCCACCCAGACCTTCTCAACTTTCTCAACTTTATTTTGGGCCGATGGCTGTCCTGGTAATTCAGACATCGTTGTCGTGGTGCTCCGCGGCGAGCCCAGCTGTGACATTTTCAAGCTGTCAACCCCCTAAGGGCTCGCGCAGATGTCCTAGCTCCCGGTAATTGTCTATTATGACATTGTCTGAGTAACTGTTGCTATGCTTTAAAGCAACCGCCTGTATAGAGGTTGACCTGTTACAAGTTGTGGGAGATATAAAGGTACTTGTCAGGTATGCTATGTTGCGTTTGAAGGAGAAGGTCTTACTCTTACCTAGTCAGAAGTCTGTGACCTGGCTGCTGGTGAAAGCTCACTTGCAGCTCCCGACAGCCCGTACGACGGAACCAAATCCCTTGCTAACAACGATGCTACCTTTCTACCTTGCCAGTTGCCACCTGTACTGTGCACTAGCTTGATCTGCGTATAATACTGTTTCCTGGTCTCAAAATTAACTACATTGCTTTCTCTGTGTGGTGCATCCACATTGCGTCTTGTCATATGCGAGTAGGTGCGACGGTTGCCATATCCTTATAAAGTTAGCAGAGGGACGAGCGGGCGTGTCTGCTGTAATGAGAGGGAAGCCTGCCTGCTATCAGTGCGGTATTAGACCACTTTCCACACGCAACCCCAGCCTTCTGCCCCTGGGGCCCAACGGGCCATTCACGCCATCAGTGCACCCGATACACAGCTTCCATTGAGCCAATTCACCCCTCGCAAATTTTAGTTACATTTACTTTCCTGAGGGCCGTCCAGGTGCAAGGGGAGGCACCCGTACCCCACAGCGTAGTAAAGGGGTAACAGGTAACGGTTATCTTCGTTGCCGAGACAGAGAGGGTACCCCCAATTGGCACTGCGGATATCACCAGCATGGGCGGCATTCTAAAGCAGGTTCATGTATATCTGTACCGGACTACCGGTATATGCTGATGGAGGGCTTGAACTCGGCCATGACTGTAGTTCAAGTTATCTGCGGCACGCGAAGATAACGAGCGCCTATACGAAGATCCGCATCACCAGTTACAGTATGGAGAAGGAAACAAGCGCGGCAAAGACGTTCCGAAACCCTGGTACAGCTGCATGCCGTTGTCGTGCGTGGCAACGGTGATCCAATCCCAAGTCCGCATCCCGCTGTCAGACTCCTTTCTTTTCCCTGCATAGCTATCGGTTTGCCGCCACTTTTAGACATCGCAGCTGGGGTTTACCGTAGGAATGGACGCTTCAACGGCGGCAATTGCCGGCTCTTCCGACACGTCTGCGCCTGCACCACCCGAGCCAACAGCCGCTAGCCCTTCCGTTGCACTTCCTACTCCTCCTGTGACTGTTCCGCCTAGCGCACCTACGGCGGTGGCGCCTGAAACTGTCGCGGCACCTGCCCTGCGCGAAGACCAGGTTCAAAATGCTGTTGGCTTCTTATCTCATCCACAGGTATGATCCATGCGTAGATAACATACTGATCGCAACATTACCGGCCATAAGAGCTCATCTGACGTATGCTTGGCCCGACCCATCACCGACTTAATATCTGTGACGATTGCGTTGCCACTGCATATCACACACCATTAATAGTAACAATATCCATCGGGATATTCCTCTTTCCCTTATGGGTCCTTGGCCGGTTGCGAATGATGCTTCTGGTGCACTCCAAAGAAAAACAGCGATCATGCCCCTTAGTCTGTAAACACCAAAACACCAATACCTCCGGTTGCTTGTAGGTGCGCGGCTCCACCAACACCGCCAGCAAGCGCTCCTTCCTAGAGCGCAAAGGCCTGACCGCAGCCGAGATCGATGAGGCCTTCCGACGCGTCCCAGAAGCACCTGCTGCACCTCCCGCACCCGCACCCGCTACTGCGCCCGCAGCAGCACCCGCAGCTCAGCAACCAACATCATATGCCCCACAACCAGGCGCCCCGCCGGGGCAGCAGCTGGCAGTAGCAGCACAGCAGCCGTACGGCACTGCTGCTCCAACAGCGCCATCTGGGTCACAGCTGGTTGCCGTACAACCTGCCGTACCACCCCAGCCCCCCACCATGATGCAAGCCGCACAGAGCTACCGCTGGAGCCAGGTAGGCACAGCTTGTCATGCCTAGCTAGTCATGTGGTTGATGACTCATGTGGCTGGGTCGTGCTGCTTGTACACGCAGTACATGCGGGCAAACACTGGAGACAGACTCTAACTAGGGTTTTGTTGTTGTCAGGACCCATGTCACCCCGCGTGCCACACCATTCAGCTGGAAAGGCTTTCAGCCCAGTGCGGAATAGCCATTCCCTCTTAACCCCGCATCTTTTGCTCCCGCCCGCCTGTCTCCGCCTCCTCCGCTCAGGTGGTGTTGGGTGTGGGTGTGGTTGCTGCTGCGGGCTGGGCGGTGCAGCAGCTGGTGCTGCCGCGGCTGCGCTCGCTGGTCGACTCCTGGCAGGCGGGCAGGCGGGAGGCGGAGGAGAAGCGAAACAAGGTGGGAAACAAAAGAATACCGGTACCCAATGTGGGAAAGTGGAGGAGACGGGGGTGGCGGGGAATGGCGGGAGGCGATAATAAACCAACAACCAAAAGGGGTTGTCGGGGTTGCGAGGCGGAGGCAAGGGGCAGTCGTTTTTCTCGTTTCTCGTTTCCTATCTTGTGCCGCTGAAATGTCTTGATATCGCAAGCCGTGATTATGCCGCTTACCAGGGGTTACCACCCTATTGCGTGTCCGCCTGCCCCCTCCCTACCTTCCCATGCACACTACCCCCCCTCTCCCCCCGCTTCTCCCCCACCCCAGGAGCTGGCAGCGGGTGTGGAGGTGCTCAAGGGCTGCCAGCAGGAGCTCAAGGCGTCAACACAGGTGGGGGAGGCGGTGAATGGGCGGGTTGGGGGGGGAAGGTAGGAACCAAGTAGGTACTGGATGCGCATGCGATCCTTCTCCATGCTCTTCGGGGATGTATCTGAGCTTCGACCACGCAGGCACGGAGTAACTCTTCTATGCCGTTCTTCATTGTCTTACCGGCCCCCGCTCCGTTCGGCCCGCAGGCGCTGCTGGACGCGGTTACGCTGATGCGGGAGCAGCAGCGGCTGGCGGCGGCGACTGCGGCCATTCCGGGGGGCTCCTATGCTCGCGGCGGCGTCGAGCCCGGCAGGTGGGGTGGGATGGGGTGGGGCGGGTCGGTGTGGTGTCATGAGAAGCCCAACTATGGCGGAGAGGCAAGCCAGCACAACGTCGAAAGCCAATGGGTGGGGTGGGGTGGGGTGGGGTGGGGGCGCCGCTAGCATGCCGGGGCATGTCCACATACGGGGTGTGTTGTAGAACTGGAAGAAGGCGAGAAGGCGCTTGGCTGGTCCGGAACAAAGCGCATGTGAGAAAGGATGGTGCCCCGCCTTCTCAAACAGCCAGGCACCCTGGGAAACCAATCGGCCATGCATACCGGTATACCTCACACAAGACCCGACATGAGCAATTAACACACTCACAAGCACTGTCGTACACACCTTCATGTCTTTTTTCCCCACAGGAGGCCCGTCGACGGCCCCGACAGCAGCTACTACCGTAGCAGTGGCAGATACGGCGGCCGAGATGGCGGCAGTTACGGAGCCAACGAACTCTCGTATGGAGCCGAAAACTACGCCGCCATTCGCGCCGCCGCCGGTTACGTCAACGGCTACCCACCTGACTCATCAGCGGCGCCGCCACTGCCGTACGGCTACAGCCGTGACGGCGCCGGCAGCGGCCCCGTCTCCGCGGGCCCTACCGGTGGCGACGGACGTGGCGGCGGCCCGTCGTACAACAGCCCCGGGACGCCGTACGGCGCCGTCCGTACGGCTGCTACAGGGCCGTACGGCGGTGGCGCCGTACAGCCGCCTGAGAGTCTGCCGTACAGGGTGACGGCGCCGCCATCGCCGACTCAGTCGGTGCATAGCCTATCGTCGAGCCGTCCGTCACAGCCCTTCGCGTCGTCATCTCAGCAGCAACAGCAGCAACAGCAGTTGGGAGGGATGGGCGGCATGGGCGGGCCGTACGGCAGCAGCGACCGTTTGTACGAGCAGACCCTGCCTGGTAGGTACCCGTAAAGGGCGTCGGTAGTAGCGGCCAATGTACCGTATGTGTTGTAACTTGGGTTCCGCACCGTACCGCAAGTAGTTAGGCAGAAATGCAGAGGCGGGGTACGGTTGCGCCGCTGTTAGCTTACAGCCCGGGTGCATGCAGGGTGTAAGCTCAGCCTCGTGCACAGGGGCAGCTTGCCTGTGGACGGCTTCTGCCTGTCTAAGTGGGGGCGTACGTTGGGCGTAGGGTGCTGGCTGGCGTGTATGCCCTAGCATATACTACCGTATTCGGCTGGCTTGCCGACCAGCAGTGCGCCGGATCCTTGTCCGGTGGTTTGCGTAGCTCCTCGCCTGTTGGTTTCATGGTTGCATGGGGGTTGCATACTAGGGCCCCGGGGACGGACTGATGATGGGAAGCGTGTGGGTTTTAGGAGGGTGCAGGAAGGTGCAGGCGGGGAACAGAACCGTCTTTTTAAGGAAATGATGCTCAGATGCTATGGCGCCTATGAGAGATTCTATGAGAAGAGCGGGTCATGTTGGGTGTGTAGGCACCTGGCCGCCAGCCTCATCGCTCACACACGAGGGACCGACGCAGGTGTCGTTGTAACACCCCAACGCCGCGCCGCCCTGTTGCGTCTCGCTCAGGTCTTTGGCTTCGCTCCAGCCTGCATCGTTTTGCGTATGATATTCTGTCGCATGCACCCCAGCACCGGGCGTGCCGGGCGTAATCCCGAACTGCTTTCACTACCGGACGTCCTGTCCTACCGACACCTACCGCCATCTCAACCAAGACCCACACAGCAAAATAGATTCCTCACCTCCTTATCACCCACCACCCAATCATTCGCCTCCTCCATGTCATTCCCTTGCAGGTGGCGGTGCTGCTGGTGTGGTGGAGTCCGATCAGAGCCCCGCAGGTGGTGCCCGCACGCTGCCTCGCGCGCCCCCCGAGCAGCCCGCCTACCCGCAGTCCTTCCACGAGGTGATGGAGATGGTGCAGAAGGGCATCACGCCGCCCAATGTGCGGGTGAGAGGGGGGAGGGGTAAAGAGGAAACGAGGTCCTAACGAACTGTTTGATTAGGCGTAAAGAGGGATAAAAATAAGGGAGCTGACGAGGCAACTAACGAGGCGTCAGGAGGGAAGGGGTGAGGTAAAAGGGGTTGGGATGTGAAAAGCATTTGTATACTGTATCGGTTGTTTGTGTTACGTATCTGCGTGCTGCTTAAGGTAATTGGGACTTGACTCGTGCGGCGTGTGCCTTCAGCTTACGGTGCTTACCCACCTCACCATTTCACCAATCTCACCCTTCCTCTTTGCCGCTGCCGCCTCCGCTGCTGCCTGCCCTTCTCAGACTGACATCAACGACGCGCCGCCGGACCCCACCCGCCCCCTCTCCGAGCCCCGCTTGCCACCACCCTCCAAGCCCTGGGAACGCAACACCACCGCCGCCACCACCACCAACAACCCTGCAAGCGCCTCTGCAACAGCCCCGATCAGCAGTTCCCTGTACGGCAGTGCTACCGTCGCCGCAGCCACCGCACCTCGTTCGTACGGCAGCTACACCCCATGGAGCGCACCGCAACCCGAGGGTGCCGTACCGTCGGCTTTGTACGGCGCTGTTGCAGCCGCTGGCGGCGCTAGCAGCGGCGCTAGCAGTCTGAGTGTGCTGCCGCCGGCCAACCCTGGCTGGCGTCCGCCGCCACCGCCCTCTCGCACCGTCCTTTCCTCCAGCCCCTCCTCGCCGCCAGCGGCTGCAGCGACGCCGGCGGCGCCGGTGGCGGAGGCGGCGGGTGCTGGTGAGGGGTCCGGGTCCGGTGGCAGGACCGCCTCCGCACCTGCGGCGGTGGTGGCGGCTATCTCGGATGGACCTGTGGCTGGTCTGACGCAGGAGGCGGTGGCGGTGGAGGCTGCGGTGGCTGGCGGTTCGCAGAGCGGCCCTTCGGGCGGTGTGGCGGAAGAGGTTGTGGTGGCAGCTACGGCGGTTTCGGAGCAGTAGTTGTAGTGGTTGGTAGTGGGTGAGGGGGGGCTGTGCTTGGCGATTGGCGATTGGGGGTTTTGTTCTCTTGCGTGTACATCTGTACGGCGTACACGGGAATGTCGCAAGGCAGTGGGACCTATGGAAGGATGGGGAGCAGTGTCCTGGTCATGTTGGTAGCGGTGGTAGGGCGGGATGCCCTTGGGAGTTTTGCTTGGAATGCTAGGCGTTCAGGCGTGGTCAAAGCATATAAGCACCTGGCAGTTGTTACCCAGGCAACAGGTTTGGCGCCCACGACGGCCCTCAAGCCTGGACAAGGGGCTCCTTCCTGTCGGGTTGGGCTGTCAAGATGGGAATCGGACGGTGGGGCAGATGTATGTTGCCCTCCTGCTGCAGCTTGTGGTGGCTAACGTCAGGTTGGCCGTCCTTGCGTGACACGTGGCTGCTAGCCGGTTTGTAAGGGTGGCCTGAGCTCAGCCCAAGCACAAAGCATGATATCAGAATCTCTTACCGGTACAAGAAACACCCACAGCAATGCACTACTTTGCAGGCGATGACATTCGGGTTCAGGGTATAGATGTATGAAGCGGACGGCGCTTTGCCGTGCACAGCGCCGTGCACCGGCAAGGCCGTACGAAGTCGTTGATGGCGTTGGGCTTGAGGGATGGCTCTAAAGCGTTATACGTATCACGCCGTAAACCTATTACTGTGTTTGCCTTAAAGTATCGACTATTAACGCTGCCCGTTGTCGAGACGTTAATTTTGCACGCCTACCCAAGTAGCTTGTTACTTCTTTGTTTATAACCCTTATCTTCCGAATAAAAGCAGTGTTAGCCACCTGCAGTCAGGGTCTCTGATAAGTTACTTGATTTAGACGCCGCCTAGCGCACACCAACCGAACCGTCGTCATGCTGCGGAGGAACGTTCGCCTTAGAAAAGAATACCTATACAGAAAAAGTCTAGAGGGAAAGGAGCGAGCGGCGTATGAGCGGAAACGCCTGATTCGTAAAGCGCTTGAAGGTGAGTTAGCATTTTTCGGGCATTGAAGCCGCCTTTGGATATTACGCGCCAAGCCGCGATGCATGACAATTGCCAACGGTTTCGATGTAATGGCTTAGTTGCCTTACATATGCTTCTTCCTTGCTGCCAAGCCCTCGATTGTCGCCTTTTACGACCACCCAGTAACACCCTTTTGCCCTTGCTTTTACCCGTTTCCCGATATTAGAGGGAAAGCCTATCCCCACCGAGTTGCGGAAGGATGAAGCGGCTTTGCGGAGGGAGGTGGAGCTGGAGGATGACAACACGGCGGTTCCACGCAGGTGAGCCGGCGCGTAAAAGCTGCCCTTAGGGCGGATGAAAGGCCAGCAGGCCAGCAGTATCAAGGGTAGGGGGTGCCAGGAGGGCAAAGCTGATAAAGCATGCGGTGCTGGGGATGAAGCAGGGTAGGAAGGGGTCCAAGGAAAGAGCCTTGAGTCACTTCATATTCAGCAAGACGACGAGGGGGCCTTTACGGGGAAGTCCATTCCTCCGTAAGCGGGGACTGCCCTTTACGTTGTACCCTTGTCGTACTGTCGGCAACTGTGTCGTACGGCACCCCCGCTTTCCCCCACAAATCCCCCCCCAAACTCACAGCCACGTGGACGACGAGTATGCCCACGCGGGTGAGACCGACCCCAAGGTGCTCATCACCACCAGCCGCGACCCCTCCAGCCGCCTCACGCAGTTCGCAAAGGTGGGGAGGGAGGGAGGGGGGTCAAAAACCATGCAAAACCATAGGAGACCACAGGAGGGAGGGGGGTAGTTGAGTGGTGTTGGGTACTGGGGAAGCGACAAGTGAACCATGTAGGGGTCGCGGGGGGTAAGGAGGAAGGAGGGATGCTGGGTACTGAGGGGTGTTGGGGGTAAGGAGGAAAGGAGGAAAAAACACACCATGCGACACGCGCCCGTCCGCCTGCTGCTCTCACCTCCTGCCCTCACCCCCCGTGCTTCACTGATGCTTTTATGTTGCCCCTCCGCGTACACCCCACTCCCTTTCCTTTCCCATGGTGAAGCCTCGTCATACAGCTCGTCAGTTTCCTCCTTTGCCCTTCCTTCCTTACTACCCCCCTGCTCTCTCCCCCCTCCCTGGGATACCTTTCTTCTTTCCCCCCTCCCTCCCTCCACCCCCACCCCCCAGGAGATGAAGCTGGTGGTGCCCAACAGCCAGCGCATCAACCGCGGCGGCCTCATCCTGAGCGAGCTGGTGGAGAGCTGCCGCAACCACGACTTCACAGACATAGTGGTGCTGCACGAGCACCGCGGGGAGCCGGGTAGGGCGGCGGGGGGGTGGGGGGGTGGGGGCGGGGGTGAGGAGTGAGGTGAGAGCGGGGGGGGTGATGGGGGCGGGTAGGGCGGGGTGAGGGCGGGAGGGGGGGGGACGAGTGGTGAAAAGAGGAAACGGGCGAGTTGTATGGTTTGCTACATGGCCCGCCCACTCCTGCCTGCAACTCTTTCCCTCCCTCCCTCCCCCCCACTGCATATATGGGACTGGGACTCTAGTTGCTTCGCTTTTCATTTACCTTTACCCCCCTCCCCCCCCCTTTCCCCCCCACCTCCCCTCCCCCCCAGACGGCATGGTTGTGTGCCACCTGCCGTACGGCCCCACCGCCTACTTCGGCATCTTCAACACCGTGCTGCGGCACGACATCGGGCAGAAGAAGGAGGTGAGGGGCGGGGGCAGGGGGGGATGAGAGTCGGGGCGGGCGGGGCTGGCGGGTCGTGTATCATGTGGGACAGGGACGTTGTGGACCACCTCGGGGTGGTAGGGTAAGCAGGACACCAGGGTGCATCACAGTGCCACCTGTTCCCTGTGCACCATCAGAGCCCAACGGGGGGCGAGAGGGGGGGGGGGCCGCTTGCAGCAGCCTGCATGTTCATGCTGGGGCTTTTACCCCCTCCTGCCTGCCTGCCTGGACCCCACCTTTCCCTGCCTGCCTCCCCCCCCACCGCCATCATTTCCCCGCCTGCCCCCCCCCCCACCCCCCCCTTGCTTTGCCCTAACTTGTGGTCTCTTATGGTTTGGTACCTGGTCTTTGACCCCCCTCCCCCCCAGGTTGGCACCATCTCCGAGGCCTACCCGCACCTCATCTGCGACAACCTGGGCTCCAAGCTGGGCCTGCGCACCGCCAACATCCTCAAACACCTCTTCCCGGTACCCAAGGTGGGAGGAGGGTAAAGAGGAAACAACTAACTGACTGAGGGATAAGGCGGGGAGGGGGCGGCGTGCAGCGGGGCGGGCCTTGATCCAACCTCTGTTTCGATGAACCACCCAAGTATTGGTGTCCCCATGTTCCCCTACGGCTTCACTGGGTCCCCTCATGCCTCTCCTCCCTGGCCCTCCCTCTCTCCCCCCGCCTGGTGAAGCCTTGTCGTACAGCTCGTCAGTTTCCTCCGACATACCTTCTCCATCGCCCCTATTCCAGTTCGTCAGTTTTCCTTGTTTTACTTCCTTGTTTTACCTCCATGTCAACCCCCCCTCCCTCCCTCCCCCCCAGGACGACTCCAAGCGCATCGTCACCTTTGCCAACCGCAGCGACTACATCTCCTTCCGCCACCACACCTACGCGCAGCCCAAGGGCGCTGCCAGCATAGAGCTCAAGGAGGTGAGGGGCAGGGAGGGAGAGACAGGGAGGGCCAGGCAGCGAGGGAGGCAGGGAGGCGGCAGCAGCACCAGCAACAGCACCATCGCATGCTATTCCATGTTTATTACTCCCCTTCCCCTTCCCAGTGTTTCCGCGGCTCAAGTTTATCTAATCCCCCACGCCCCCTCTGCTAGTTTACCACTATCACACCACACATTGGGATTTCTTCTTTCCCCCCTCCCCCCTGCACTATCCTCTACCATAGACAGTGTCTCCGAATGCGCTCACTGCATGAGTCGGGATATGGGATTGGGACTCGTTGTTTCACTGATTTAATTCTTCCCCTCCCCCCTGCACTGCAGTGCGGTCCCCGCTTCGAGCTGAAGCTCTACCAGATCAAGCTGGGTACCATGGACCAGTCGCACGCGGAGGACGAGTGGGTGCTGCGGGCGTACACGCGGAGCACCAAGAAGGCCAAACTGGCGGGGGATGGGGAGCAGGAGGGGGCGGGAGGGGGAGCGGGAGGGAAGGGGAAATGAGGAGGGGGGAGTGGGGGTGGTGGGAGTTGATGTGGGTGGTGTGTTTTGGACATGAGGAGGCGAGGTTAGGGCGGCTAGGAGGTTGGAGTGTGGGTGTGGGTTAAGCGTGGTGGCGAGGTTAAGGGTTCGCTGGAAAGGAGAAGAGGAGTAGGGCCTTGCAAAGGAGAAAAGAGGTGCTAAATAGGACACCGGTACCCTAGTCCTGACGACCCGGAAGGCTTGTCCTAAATGGGGAGGGCGGCTGGTGGCGGGTGACGGGATATGGGGCGCTCAGGGCCTGGTTGGTTGGTGTGTGTCGGGACAACTGTAACGATCAAGTGACTTAACCGGCTTAACTTACAGCTAAACGGCGGCGAGACAAGCTTCGGGCTCAGGGCCTCGTACAGAGGGAGGCGTATGTTCCAGGGCGCTACGATGGGGGATAAGGAGGAAGAAAACGAGAAATTCCCAACGACCGGGGGACAGAGAGGCCGGGCAGCAACTCAGGAGCTGGTCCCCGGGAGGAGGAGGAGGAAGAGCAGGGGCTGTTAATCAGGGCCCCAGCCAGATTAGGAGTACCGGTAGCAGCTCGCAGGCCTGACGCCAGCTAATCTGCTGCGTGTGCCTGGTTGATGCAAGGCATGCATTTAGGGATAGAATGCGATTAATGTACTCAAGTCATGGTAAGCAAGTATTTTAGGAGTAATGCCTTGCTAATATGCGAGTAATCATCGTCCTCGACCAATGAAGCCCCCCGTATGGTTCTGGAGCTTGCCGGGTGCAACCACACACTCTTTACTCCAAGCCGACAACGGCGCTCCTATGTTCCTCATATCATAGTATTAGCTACCACTTGTAGGTTAAGGAGCCAAAGCTGCTGCCTCGGTGCATAGGGGCGCATCCCGGTGCCCATCCCATACGCATTTTGCACAGAATTATGTCTCTTCATTTGCGAGTTACGATAGGGAACCGTCATGCAGTTCCATGTCGCTTAGGGGTTCTGCGGCTCCAGCACCGGCGGGTAGCTCCTGCCCGGTCCATTGTAACCCGAGCTGGTTACAAGGAAAAAGGTTGTCAAGTGAAGAACGACCAATTTACTGGTAATTATTGACAGCCGTCGTTAACTTGCTCTACGTGCGTTTGACCTCCACCGACATGTGTGGTCATACTAAGGTCGACGCTTTGCCTTCCGCAGACGTGAAGAATGTCATGAAGCGGGTAGCTTCGGCTGCCTTAGCTACGACCACGGCACTGTCGTTGCTGCTCAGCCCTGCGTTGGCGGCATCAGAGCTTGTCCGGTAAGAGGTTAAGATACGCAAAAGCGTTAGTGATGCACCAGTATCATGACGACCGACAATTGGGTTTCCAGTTTTCATATTATAGCTTAGGAGTCGCATCGCAGTCCTGAAGCGGCAAGCTTGCGTTGTCGCCGAAACCCTTGTCGGGAATTGAACAGCTATGCTGCACCAGGCGTACATTGAGCCTCGAAAGCTTTCTGGTGCTTCATTATTTTATGCTCATTATACCGGTCTTCATCATGCCGTTGCGAAAGCCGTTCGCCTCGCCCCCTTTCCCGCCGAGCGATGATGTCGATAACCGGCACAAACGTTAACCCTTAGCGTACATGCATTCCACCTCCTTTCATTATGCCTGTTATGGCGTGCAAGTAGCGGCTGCCCGAGTGTTTGTCGAAACGCCTTGCCGATGCCCTTCTATGACTTCCAACCATCGGTGTCATTGACTACAGGCCTACCAACAAAACAACATGTACATGTCGGAAAACCTCTACGCAAGCTTTGTTTGCTCTCCAACCAGTTACTCTACGTTTAGCCCACGTTGCTTATTTGAGCCCACCCCCCGCTATCCTGCCCTCCGGAACTTTACTCCTGAGGCCCCTTTGCCCGGCCGTTGCTCCACCTGTGATTCTCCAACACCTTCGCCAAATCCTGTGCTAAAAGTACCGAAGTCCATGCCACAATCCCTTGTTGCCTTCACCCTTTCCCTTAGTCCGCTAATTCGCTACCACATGAGTGGGGAATGGGGGCTGTTTTTCATTTCCCGTTTTCATGTCACCTCGCCTTCCCCCCTCCCCTACCTCACTCCCCCCCACCAGGCTGCCAGCCTCAACCGATCCAGCCATCTTTGCCGTACAGCAAACCCTAGTGGAGGCCTGGACCATTGTGTCTCGCGCGTTCGTGGACCAGAATTTCAACGGTCACGACTGGGAGGCGTCGCTGCGACGACACATGATGGCGGCGTACGGCAGCCGCAGCGGCGAGGCGGCGGCGGCGGAGATCGGCGCGCTGTTGGAGGAGCTCGGCGACCCGTACACTCGCCGCGTCCCGCCAGAGTGAGTGTGTGTGCGAGTGCGGAATGCGATGAGGAAGCGAAGCGATTAGGGTCCACTGACCCATGGGTCAGGTATCGACGTTTTCTTCAATCGTTTCCAAGCGTTCCACGCAAAATGTTTTCCATCTTTGCCCAACCTACCTCTCATCCTGCCCCTCCATGTGCACATCCGTCGTAAAGCAGTACGATCCAACCCGCACCCCCACCCCCACCCTTCCAGGGAGTACGCCTCCTTCCGCGTCTCCAGTGACGGCGAGCTGCAGGGGGTTGGCATGCTGATCGCCAACGAACCCGTCAACGGCCACCTGCTGGTGCTTGCGCCCATCCGGGGCAGCCCCGCGGAGAGGGCGGGGGTGCTGCCGGGGGACGAGGTGACCTCCATCAACGGGGTGTCCATGGAGGTGGGGAGGGGGGGAGGAGGGGAGGAGGAGGGGGACGGCGATGGCGGGGGGGGCCTTAGGATGAGCACAGCGGGGACGGCGGGGTTGGGTGCTACTTGGGAGTAGTACGGCTGCTGGGACCCAACCAGTTCACCCTCACGGCTGCCCGTTATCCCCCTGTTACCCACCCCTCGATGTCCTCCACCTCCTCCTCCTCCTCTCCTGACCTCCATGTCCTCCACCACCTCCTCCTGACCTGCTCCTCCTCCATTTCCTACCAGGGCTGGAACGGCGAGAAGGCGGCTCGGCTGCTGCGCGGCCAGGGCGGTACGGAGGTTCGGGTACGACTGGCTCGCCGTACGGGCGGCATCCCGGGGGTGCCCGCCCGCCCTGACCCCCGCCCGCGCTCCTCCTCCTCCTCTTCCTCTACCTCCTCCACTTCCATGCAAGCTGCTGCACCAACCTCAGCCACCGCTTCGTCTTCCCTGGAGTACCGGGAGATCTCACTCCGCCGGGAGCGAGTGGAGATCAGTCCGCTGTTCTTCGCAACCCTGCCGTCGCCTGCGTTGCCGCCCGGCACCGGAAACATCCTGCCGGTTGGGAAGGACGGGCGGGTACGACAATCCAACGGTCCGATCGGTTACATTCGGCTGACGTCATTCTCCTCCAATGCAGCATCGGAGATGAGATCTGCGATCCAGGAACTGGAGGCGGCGGGCGTTTCGTCGTACATTTTGGATCTCAGAAACAACCCGGGCGGGTTGGTGCAGGCGAGCCTGGACATCGCGAGGCTGTTCATGGATGGCCACCCAGTGGCTTTCAATGTAACTGGGCGTGAGGTAGGTTACCGTTCAATCTCTCTGCTTGCGGACTTCCGGTAACACTTGTTTATCATGCACGGAAAGCACCTCTGGGTTTCGAAAGGGCTGGGGTGCTGCGCCACCCCACGCACGTGATAGGTCTGGGGCATTTCGCAAACCCTGTTCGAGCCCCCAAGACTGTCTCAACCTCTTAAGACAGTCCCAAACCCTGCCGGAACCAACCTGATCTAGGTCCCGTATCTCGCTGCCCCTGCCCCAAACCCCCTGCTCCCAACCCCCGCAGGACGACGAGGTGCAGTCGCAGCTGGTGGACGGTCCCGGCTCCGCCCTCACGCACCGCCCGCTGGTGCTGCTTGTGAACGGCGGCTCCGCATCCGCCTCGGAGATCCTGTCGGGGGCGCTGCACGACAACCACCGGGCGCTGCTGGTGGGGGAGGGGCACACGTACGGCAAAGGGCGCATCCAGTCCGTGTTTGAGCTGCAGGTGTGTGGGTTGGGAGGCTGGGGTGGGGTGGGGTGGGGTGGGGTGGGGTGCTGCGGCGGGGTGCTGCTGTTTGCAGCGCTGGTCGTCAGAGGAACGCAGCAGCCGTTCCTGCCTAGCCCTGCCTAGCCCGCGCGAGGTCGCGTCGTCTGTTGCGCAATCACCCCCAAGCAATGGACAGATAGCGGTACATCGGGGTTACGGGGCGGCGCCTTTCGCCACCACACATGCCGTGCCCTCCCATCCAACCCCTCCCCTTCCCTCTCTCTTCTTCCCCTCCCCCCATCCCCCCACTCCCCTCCCCCTCCCCCCCCAGGACGGCAGTGCGCTCTTCGTCACCGTGGCTCGCTACCAGACCCCCGCGGGCACTGAAATAGACCGGGTGGGGCTCAACCCAGATCGGGCGTGTGCGCTGCCGGCGGCAGCGGCGTCAGCGTTAGCGGCTGAGGGCGCGACGTCGGAGGAGGAAGATGGCGGCTTTGTGGCTGGTGAGGGGCTATCCCGGTGTGGGCTGGTTGGCTGGGTAATGGGTGGTTGGGTTTCAGGTTTTCAGCCTGTGCCAACGATCCTCCCGTCCTCTCCTAAATACCTCCCAAGGTTGCAGATTACTGATAGAAAGGAACAAACCACCTCCTCAGTCTTAACGCTTCTTCTCCTTCCTTCCTTCCCCTTCGCTGCCCCCGCCTCACCCCCACCCACCTCCGTCCCCAGGCCTGCCTATGGTCCCCGGCACGGAGGCCCCCCTCGTGTCCTCCCTCATGTCCGACCGCTGTGTGGTGGCGGCGCGGGAGGTGCTGACGCGGCAGGTGACGGTGCTGGCCAATGCGGCCACACTGGCGGAGAACATTGTACGGCCGGTGAGTGCGCCGCCGCTGCGGTCGCTGGCGACGGCGAGTGCGGCGGCGGCGGTACCTCCGTCGGCCCCTGCGGCGGCGGCTGCGGTGAAGGTGTGAGGTGTGAAGGTTTTTGCTTGCGGATGCGGATGCGGATGCGGATGGGTTTGTGCGGAGGGTTGGTTTGAAGGGATGGATGGGATGATGGGGTGTTGCATGTGGCACGAGGAGAAAAAGAATTCAAATGGGCTTGCAAGAGCCCGGTGTACGTTATTTGTGTGGAGTCAGGAGCACTTCATGAAGTGGGCAGATTTAAATATTTGTTTTGTGTCTGTTTGGTCAGGTTTGGTGGTTGGTTTGTTGTAGGTTTGGTGGGTGCTGGTTCTTGGTAGGGCGGGGCGCGCAGCTTTTGCATGCATGTCTTTACAACGTTGCATGCATGCGCAGGCACGCGTCCTCCAAACGTTGGTGCTGTTGTCATGTTTTTTGCCGTCATTGTTGCTGTTGTTGTTGGTTGGCCGATTTAAACTCGTACTCCTAAACAGCCGCAAACATGCCTGATCGGGTCTTTTCTGGTTGAAGGGTGGTGCTGTTTGTGCGTCATGTCAGGAAGGGGCATGGCATGATGTCGCCAAAAGAAACGCGCGAGGTCAGGGATCTGCAGGGCATTGCATTCATCCTCATTGCCGGGGGTCACTGTGAGTCGGCATGTTCCACGGGTTTCCGAGATGAATTGGAACACACGGTGGTGTGAAGACCCTGCTGACGCTACATGGGTTCCGGGTTTGATAAGGAATCCAGTGAAGGATGACGACAGGCATGGTGTTTATCGTCGAACCAAAAATCGTTTGCGTGACGAAGAGAAGAGTACGACACAACAAACTCTTCATGCATCGCGCTGTACTGTTGTACACGTATACATGTGATCACTGGTTGATGGTTGTTGATTTTGGTGTATTTGGTGATGACGCCCGGCAATTTCAGGCTCGTTGCCTTTTGGAGGAGAGAAGAAGAAGAGAAGATGATAATGAAGAATACAAACCTGAGAGCGTGAGAACGAGAGAGAAGAAAAAAGGTCCATATTCGTCCACCTTGTGTTGTGTTTTGTGTACGGTATTCGTCGCTTGCAGTTGTGGTCAAAGGGGCGTTGGTCTGCTGCTGAGCTGATGGGCATTGCGCGTTCGAACATGCACGCCGCGTTGATAATCGCTGTTATTACCACTTCCTGCAGTTGTGGGGGATGCCTGTCCGGGCGAAAGTACTAAGACCGTTCCGTACATCCGTGCTGGCCGTTTCCTTGTACATTACATACCTGCTGTAGACGTGGCTCTGCCTTTGACTTTCCTAACAGTCAGGTTTTTACCGCTCGTGGTAAACTAGTACGTTTCTTTTGCCACGTTCGTTGTCTTCCCTCTGGGTTCCAGGTTCCTTAGGATGGTGGTGTCAGGTTCACCGCCTGCGTCGGTTCCATCCTGGACGACATTGTAAGCTTGCAACACTTTCATAGTTACAAGCCGCATCAGCCAACCATAACAGGCCGCAAACCTCACCACATCCGCGGTCATGCTGACACCTCATGCTTCTCTTACAACACACAGCAAAAGCTCCATCAAGCCACGTGACCGCTGCTGGCCGGCACGATCAGCTCGCTCCGTCACGTACGACCTCGCCGTTGGCCCCATTACCCCCGTGCATGCTGCACCCGTCTCATCTGCTTGTTGCATAGGAGCGTGTTCTTGTCCTTCCTGACGTCCAAAGCCAATCACCACCAGCCGCCTCTCCTAAACCCAAACCCATACCCCACATTCCTCCTCATCCTCGCCGCTGCTGCCACCGCTTCCACAGGCCTGCACCAAAGCTCTATTCCACCCCACCAACTTCTTCCCTTCCCTCCATGCACCCGCGCACTCCTCTTCCCACCCCTCTCCACACCGCAACACCCCCCACACACACCCGCACAATCAAAGTACGTTCCGACTCGCGGCATGTTTTCTTCACATACCCGCTCGCTCCCTCACCAGCTGCCCCCCCTGCCGCCCCCGCCCATGCTGCTGCCGCCCCCGAACCCGCTGGAGGCGCCCGACCGCCCGCTGCCCGCCAGCGCACTCCGGTTGGCGGGGTCCAGCAGCTGGAAACTGCGCAGCTGCTGCGGGTTGAGCTCGCGACCTGTGGGGGGGCAGAGAAAACACATACCAGAGAAAGCGGCCGGGTTACTTACGGCGTAACCGCTATAAGAAACAGGGATCGAGTGGGGAGTGAGGCATGGGTGGTGGAAGTTGGCGGAGTTGTCCGGGTGGGGAAAGCGCGCATACGGATACCGGATACCGCTCACATAAGGAAACACACACCCAACCCTTCCACAGCCCAACCCTTCCAACCCAACTCCTAACCAACTACAGTCCTTACCGCTTCGCAGGTCTGCCTCCCATGCCTCCGCCATCCGGTTATCGATGTACTCGGGGTGCTGTCGCTGCAGCTGCCGCAGCCTGAACACCATCTCCGACAGCAGCAGCTCGTCGGTTAGCCGGTGCTGCTGCCAACGGCCGCCGTAATAACGGTTGCGCCCCCACCGCAGCCGCAGCCGCGGCGGCAGGCCGGCACTGCCAAAGAAGCCACCCGCGTCACTGCCAGCGGTGGCAGTGGTGGTGGCGTCAAAGTAATCCTCGTCATCGTCGACGGTGCATGGAGGCCGGGGGCCGGAGGAGGAGGAGGCGCCGCCGGCGCCGGTTCCGTTGTTGTTGCTGTTGCCATTGCGGTCGTTATTGCTGTTGCGGTTGTTGATGTCGGAGGGTGTTGTGGAGGTGCGGGAGGTGCCGCTGGGGGGCTGACGCGGGGAGGTGGGGTGGGTGTTGGCGTCGTCATCGTCGATGGGGCGGCGGCAGATGGGGCAGGTGACCTTCTTCTGCTCCAGCCATCTGCGAAAGAGGCGGGGACGGGTCAACAGAGAGAGAGAGAGGCGGGGCCGGGTCAGCAGAAGAGGGGCGGGTTGGCAAGGGGCACGGGGCTACTTGAAAGATGGCTTTGCTTACCGCTAGCGGCAGAGAGGTGCTCAATCACCTCAACAGGGCAACAAGCAATCCATCCACCCTGCCAGCTTCATTCCTCCCTCCCTCCACCTCAGTTCGTCAGTTTTCCTTATTTTTATCCCTCCACCTCTCACTCTTCACCCCCGACCCCGCCCTTCCCACCCCCGCCACCACTCACTGTGTGATGCAGGGCTCGCAGAACGCATGTCCGCAGGGCAGCACCAGCGGCCGCCGAGGAGGCTGCGGCTGCTGCTGGCCCCCTGCTGCCGCTGCCGCTGCCCCCGCCGCTGCAGTCTCGGTCGCGCTATTACCACCGCCACCGCCACCGCGACCATTAACGCTGCTTGCCTCGGTCATCAGCGGCTGCAGCAGCTCCGCCTCCGTCTCAGCACCTGCAGGTGTAGCAGCCCCAGCAGCAGCAGGGGCACCGGCGGGAAGGTGGTGGTGGCCGCTGCAGCATGCTCCGGCGGGGGTACTGCTCATCGTCGTCGCAGTTGCGGGACCGAGAGCAACAGCAGTAGTGGGAGCAGCAGCAGCAGTGGCAATGCCGGTGTCGACGTGGCTGCCCTCGGGCTTGGAGGCGTCTGCTGCGCCGGCACCGTTGTTGCTGCTGCTGTCATCGACAAAGTCTTCGAGGCAGACGGGACAGGAGGTGGGGTTGTAGGAGCGAGCCCGCATGGCGGCTTGGTCGCGCTTGAGCTTTTCGAGCTTGGACTTGCAGTCCTGCGCGGCAGGGGGAGCGCGGTGTGGAGGAGGGAGGGAGTGAACGTATGTTAGGAGGATGGATTGAACGAAGTGTGTGGACGGCGGAGGATAGAAGGGCGCAGAGTGTGGTCGCCAGGAGGCTGTGGCCTGCATTCAGACAGCTAACATTTGGTTTGAATGATACACTTTACAACGTTTTTCAAGTGTCTGGCATTTCCTGATAAACTTAAGCAAGCCCCCCAAAGGCAAAATGCTAGGAGGAGGCCAAAAGGCATCATGTCTTCGTCCAGGTTCGAACTGGAGACCTTTCGCGTGTTAGGCGAATGTGATAACCAACTACACCACGAAGACTTGATGTCTAATAATTACTTCTTATTCACCAAGTCCGCATTTCTTTCGCCTGATTCCCCCTGACATCCCTTTTGGTCGACTTCCATCACACCATCACACCGCTTCAGTATCACCACGCCCTCCTCACACACTCACACCCTCACCTGGTACCTCCGCCGCTTGCGCGACTCCATACGGCTAGCCCACCAGATCAGGCCGCCTGCCACCGACGCGAAGATACCCAGCGAGGTCACCTCCTCCCAGCCGGACGTCTGTTCGCCCTCGGGCTCCACCGGCCGCCCAGCGAGCGCGAGACCGATGTCCACCACGGCCCGCTCCACCGCCTCATCATACCTGAGCGGAGAGGAGTACGCGAAATAAAGAAATTATGCACGTGCACGAGCGCGGTTGGAAGCATGCAGCAGCTCCAGTGCAACCCCAGGTTTTAAACCATCCCAGCCTCCAAACCATCCGTACTTTGAATTCTTTAAGGATGGACGCACGTCGTCGAGGATATCGCCAAGGACATCGTATGTAAGGCGTTTATCAGCTCCTGCTCCCGTGGAGATGTAGAGTTGCCGATCCTCCTGGCTGAGGAACAGCAACACCCCATTGCCGCATGCTGCATCGCCGACGCCCCAACTATCGTGAAGGGCTGTGGCAAAGCGCTTCGCAGCTTTTTCAGCATCTCCAGTAAAGCTCATCCGACGCACAAGGGCTACCGCAACCTGCAAGGGAAGGACAGTTGAAGGAGCCCAAGGCAACTAGGACACCGGGAACTTTGCCTTCCCCCCAAACAGCCCTGCCGACAGAAATCCAAGTACATTTCGGACCAGCTCAATAACTAAGGCGTACCTGGAACCCTTTCGGACCAGCGCTTCCGCAAGGTCCAAGGGCATATGGCTCTTCGCCAGCGAAGATTTTCTTCAATGTCCCTTCCACGACGTTGGCCGAATCGTATGGGATAACACCGTCAGGGTCACAAACCCAGCTGGGTACTCCTCGTCTCCCACACTTGGTAACATCCTTCATAGGGTTGGGAAAGGTCTCGGGCTTCCATGCTCCGAACGTAGTTGATGCTGATCCTATCAACACAAGCAGCGACAAAGCAACGTTGCGCATCGTGGCAATTTGTCGGTGAACAACTGCTTTCAGCTCGCTGCAGTTGAATAAAGTTGCCGAATAGACAGCGTTAGGTCTCGTAGAGATAGGAATGCATTGCTATAATCTGCACGCCTGTTGATTGGTGAGGAATCGGCCAAAGACCGTAAAGAGAATAATGTCGGTCGACGACCGTACGGACAAGCAGCTCAGGGACAGCGTGGCATCAGCAAAGTGGCCTTCGAAGTTTGTTATCCACCCGGGTCCAATCAACTCCCTATCGCGCGCAACTGGGCCTCGTACATAAGCTGTTTAGAAAGAGTGTAGTAGCTGTGGTCATGACAGGTTGATGCCCAATCGCAAGTTTGCAAAGCGGGGTCCCTCATAGCATGCATAGGCGTACGGTCTGTGACTCCATGCAACGTCCAGGAATCCAACTAGGCATGCACGCAGGCGCAGGCATAGATGTGCTGCGCATGACATGCCCATATCCCCTAGCTTGGTATGCCCCTAGCCCATAGCAATTTCAAGCATATGAGCCCATAGCTCATATGTCCCAAACGTGGACGGGTATCGTCACCGTGGATCCTAAACACGCCACACTGTTACCTGCATTAGGGTTGATTTTGCTAAAGCGCGCACGCCCGCCGAAAAGACTTAATTCCTCGCACAGACCTGGCATTCCAGCTGGCGCCACCGAGCACGGGAAAAAGCACTCCTGTGCCACACCACCTCCGGGTAAAATACCGTACCTCTAACTACTACACGGCACGCAGGAAGGCTGGCAGGGGTGGGGGCTGGCAGGCAGGCTGGCAGGGGTGGGGGCTGACTTGCAGGCTGGCAGGGGTGGGGGTCTGGCAGGCAGGCTGGCAGGGGTGGGGGCTGGCAGGGGTGGGGGCTGGCTTGCAGGCTGGCAGGCGGGTTGTGGGTTCGGAGGCTACTGTTTGTTGCGGTTGGTTGGGAAGCGGGATGTGAGCTTGGGAAATCCATGTCCCGGGACATGATGCTGCAGAAAGTGCGCGTGCGCCGTAGTGGACTGGACGTGTGGCAGAAGCAGCGCCTGGGCTTGTTGGAGCTGGAATGGCTGTTGCTGAGTTTGTGCGAGGAGAGTTGTTAAGTCAGCATGGCTTAGAGCTCCACTAGATGTGCCGTGAGCAACTGGGTAGATGTCAGCGGTAGGAAGAGGATGAGCGTGGGCTGACGTGACCATTGGAGACGTATAGCTTATAAAGCGCTCGTGGTTGGTTGAGTCAGGCGACGTCAAAGCTGAGTGGGATGAGGCATGGCTTGGGCTGCAATGTGAGGCGATAGGGAACGGCTGGTAAGGCTGTACATATGGAGCCGGCAACAGCCCGGCGAGCATATGTACCTGCGCAAGGTTGGTATGCTTGGTATGCAGATAATTGCAGCAGAAAATGCTCGTCAGGCCCGGGTGTTGCAGGCAATCGTATCTCCCAGCACTCACGGCTTTGCTCGAGTCGTTCCAATGAGGAACTAGCTGGTTTATTTCTCAGACTTTCGGCCATTTCCCCCGTGCCCCAGACCTCACGGATGCTAACGGACATCCATCGACCGAATGTTGGCTTTCACGCTCCCTAGCTGAAGTGTTGCACATCTATAATGCAGCTGATAACGAAGGTTTGTGTTATGCATTTCCCGCCTGCGGTCCACTCGCATTTTTACTGCATGTTGGACGACAACCGCTTGTACATAACTTCTAGCTTTCCGCTTGTTACAACTCATTAACTTTCAGACAGACGCTTCTATCATCGTACTATAAAGCTATCTTGCAAGGAGCCTCATTACAAGCCATTGACGGCTGACATATACCAACACCTTTTTAACGCAGTTCTTCATAAGCGTATCTTATAATGGCAGCAGCAGCACAGCCTACAATTGATGAGCTAGAGAAGAAGGAGGAGGACGAGTACCGCACAGGGCCATTGTCGGTCTTGACTCAGAGCGTCAAGACCAATGGCCAGGTCCTTATCAACTGCAGAAACAACCATAAGCTGCTGGCGCGTGTAAAGGCCTTCGATCGCCACTGCAACATGATTCTGGAGAACGTCAAGGAGATGTGGACGGAGATTCCCAAGACGGGGAAAGGGCAAAAGGCTTCTCGACCAGTAAACAAGGATCGCTTTGTCAGCAAAATGTTCCTGCGGGGAGACTCCGTCATCATGGTCCTGCGCAACCCCAAGTAATGTGGAGATCGTGCGCTTGGAGCGGTCTCCCGCTTTGGAACTTGGCAGTTACTGGATAGGTACAGCAGTAATATGGAGATGGCGGCTTACAGGGTCTTCAGAGCAATGGGATTGACGGTATGGGGGTGAAACCCTGGGACGCCGATGGCGGCAATGCCCCTCTGCCCTTGGTGGGGTGTAGCGGCAGACGTAGTTGCCGTATAGGATGGTTGTAAGGAGGTTGTACTCTGGTAGAATCTGGGAGAGGTTATGCCTCCTGATATGTTGGCATGACTCTAAATTGCGAAGGTTACAAGGGGGACCGGAGGGTCATCGCTTCCCTTCGGGTTTGCGTTCTTGAGACATGACGAATGCCGGCCCCAGGCATGCTTTATGGACTGGCGTAGGTAATATGATAGTGCAACACACTGTCGGGACGTGAGCTTTGCTACGTTGTTGATGATAGACGAGGCCGTGTCTCTTTATGTGCCGTACTGCATTTCCGTACGGGGTACGACCTGGCCTGTTGCCTGGGGTGCTGTGTGTTGGGCTCGCAGGTGGGAGGGACTGCTTTGGTTCTGTGTGGGGAATACGGGCTTAGGCTTGGGTGCTTCTGCACCCTTCCCCTTTCCCTTACAATCGGGCATGTAAGTCCTGGCACGGATGGTGGCCTGAGTTGTACGACACAATTGCCATGCTGTATATTGTGCTTACGTGGCGAAGGGTCCTTTGCCTTTTGTTAACACATCAACCAGCAGATTACAGTACTGGTGCTATTCTGGTGCTATTCTGAAGGAAAATGGTAGTAGTGTAGAAGCAAGGATCTGAGGGTGGCTTGCCGTGGGCCCTGTGCCAAGGTGGGGGGGTATGGGCGATGCCATCAGCATTCAAGCTACAGGTATGACCCCTTGCAGACGGTAGGCCGTTCCAGCGCTGTCAACGTCTGATAGTGTCGGGCCCTCTCCCCTACGATACTTGGTATTGCGAATAGCTTGCATCACCACTTCAGACCATCCAGGCTTTCCCTACGCTTCAGTCTTAGGCGGCAAAGCTACCCTTGAAGTCCGCACTAGGAAAGTTGGCATTAATAAGCGAACTTAGCCAGGGGCTGGAGGGGTACCCGTCGGGAACTTGAAGGGGCCTTCACTCGTGGCCCGTTAAGGCGTCAAACATAAACCGGCTAGGCTTTAGCGTGTTGTAATAGTACTGCAGCACGGAGCAGTGCGGCGGCAGCAAAGTTAGGATGTTGCTAGTACTGTGCCTCATGCTCGCCGCGTCAGCCCGGCCCGTTCAGGAAATATTGTTAAAGCTATGCCACGGATACCATTAAAACGTGCTATGTTCTGCCCTGTTTGAGACAAAGGCCTTTCAGCGAAGTTTAACAGCACTTCTCTCCCGAAACCAGGCCTTGCAACTCAACATATCGGCACGAATGCTGTAAGCTGCAGTTTTGCATAGACGTGTGTACACTAGTTATACGTGAGAGCTTTCAAACCTTTTGACAGACAACTTCAGACAGTCCCGATGAATGTTGGAAAATTCCTAGAAAGGGAGACATACCAAGGTAAGTGAATAGATATGAAAAACAGCTAAACGCCTGTGCCTGTTTTGCGCACCAAAAATAGCTGCATCGTACGTACCCCGCGAAGCGCCACTCGCTCCAACGCTCAACGGTCGCAAGTTCGTGTCCGCCGATGTGCCGGTGTGATGCGCTAACGTGACTACCCAAGCTTTACACGTACCAATTCATTTCAGTCCTAATCCGCTATAGCGACGGATTGGTTTGTTTAGCTCCCGCAATACTGCACCGCATTAAGCGCGACGGCGCAAACTAACGCCGAAGGGCTACAACTTTGGACCCCAAAAGCCTCAAGTAAAATAGCAGTCACCACGTCTGGCAGCAATGCCTAGTACCTAGTTACACGGCGACCGTGCCCGTTGGAGGGCAGTTTCGCGTGCGACTCAACCTAGGAGACCTTCGCGTTTTCAAAGCGCGGCTACGAGGACACCCTCTTCCATTTTCACAGGAAGCGGTGAGCCCCGTTGTTTGTTTCCGTTCAAAGGGCTTTACGGACGCCGCCTAACGCAGCAAAGGCGATTGTTTCTAGCGTTCGTTTGTCACCTCTTTGGACGGTCCAAATATTCATGGCGCTCTTCACTTCCGCTGATATACCACAGAGAATTTTTAGCTAATCGCTATCCAAATCCAGAGGACTGCCAGCTGCTAGCTTATGGTGCCCGGTCAGGTCTCCCAACCGGGGTCATCCATGGAGCCTCGTAGCGCCTCGCCTATTCGAGGCGCTGCTGCCGCCCGACAACGGCCCAACACAACAACCCCGGCTTCTATTCCCACCGTAAACCCTCTCACATCGCCCGCTCTCGCCGCTAGGGCTGCCGCACCTCGCTTCCAGCACTCCGTGTTTGTCCGCCGCAAGGATGAACGCGAGCCCTTTACCATCACTCTGGAGCTGCTGCGCGTTAAATCAAAGGTAGGACTGCAACTTCAACTCAAATCTGAAAGCACGGTACCATCGGCTCACTCCTTCATATAATCACGATGGCGCCCATGACCTTCCACACTTCCACACACTTCTCCAGGACTTTTCAATCGATATCGCGGAGACGGCTCGCCTGGTGGGCGTGTGCGCAACGGTGCTCAAGCGCGCTTGCAGGTCGTTGGGGCTGGTCAACGGCTGGCCGTACCGCGTATGGAAGCGCTGTAACTACCTGCGGGAAGCGTACGCCAAGGTGTGTTGTATGAGGGTGATGGGCTCATGACAAGGCCTGTCATGTGTTTTTGTGTTGTCACGTGCATTCGCATGTCGTAGTGTTGTACACACGAATGGTTGAGAAAGGAGTTGTATGCAGCCGCGCTTCCTCACGAACAAGTAGCGGTGGTGGTACGCTTCTGGAAGTGCACCGGTAGCTGCATGGCAGGGGGCAGAGGGCAGGGGGCAGGGGAAGCACAGGTGCAGGTCAGTTCCCACCGCTCAACCGCCCCTACCCGCCTCCTTACGCTATGCACCCCCTGTCATCTGCCACCTCTCTCCTCTTAGAGCGCTGAGCGGCTGATTGCTGAGGCTGACAAGCTGGACCGCCGAGCCCTGCCGCGCGGCGCCACTCGGCCCCAACCACAACCTGACGACCAGCCGCAGCCGCAGCTGCAGACCCCAGCGGCGGCAGCAGCTGCAGCAGCCGCTCTCCCAACCGCTGCTGCTGCAGCTGCTGATCCGGAGGATGCCGCCGCCGCTGCTGCCACCGCTGCCACTGCTGCTGCTGCTGCTAATGCTAATGCTGCTGCGACCGCTGTGGTACTACAGCAGTTGGACGTGACGGCGGTGGTGGCGGCGCTGCCTCCCTCCCTGCTGTCCCCCTTGCCGCTGGCCGCACTGCCAGCCAACAGGGCACTAGAGCTCCGACAGGAGGCGCAGCTGCTGCTGGTGAGCTTGGGGGGAGAGGGGGAGTTGGTCGGGAGGGGGCTGAAAGGGGGGGCCTGAGAAGGTGAAAAGGGGGTTAGGGGGAGGCTAGGGTTAGGTCACTGTATGCCCCGGCCTGTCAGGCCTCCCTAACCCTTCCCTTCCCTCCTCTCTCCTCCTCATCCCGTAAACAGAACCGAGTAGCCCAGGTGGAGAGCTGGTGGGCGGGTGTGGTGGCCGACCCGGCGGGTCGCGACCTGCAGGCGGATCCCTTCTTCAAGGGCTGCGTGGTGCCTTGGACGCGGCTCAAGTACAAGGAATCACACCGGGAGAAGACCCGCGGCGTGTCACAAGACACATCCTGTCCGCTGCTGCATGCTGCATTGATTGCTGCTGTCCGCGGCGGTGGCGGAGGCGGCGGTCGTGGACGAGGCGGCGGCGGCGGCGGCGGAGGAGGCAGCGATGAACCGCAGCTGGGAGGAGGGAGTAGCGGTAGTTTTGACGTCGGGCTGGGTTCTGGGCCGGCGTCGAGTGGAGGTGGAGGCGGCGGCGGAGTGAGTTATCCTCTTGGCTTTACAGGGCCGGCGTCAGCAGCAGCGGCTGCGGCTGCTGCTGCATTCCTAAGCAACGCCTACGCAGGAGGGCTGGGCGAGGGCGAGGAGGAGCAGGAGGAGGACGAGGAGGACGAGGAGGAGGAACGTGATGATGGTGGTGGCGATGAGGATTACGACGTTGGAACTAGTTCAGAGGGAGGTGCAGCGGCGAAACGCAAGCGGGGCGTACGGCAGAGGGCTGTACGGCAGGGACGGCGGCAGCGGGGCGCCAAGGCGGCGCGTTGGGATGAGGCTGAGGCGGGACATGGAGGTGATGTGGGGGATGAGGCGGAGGCGGGAGGGTTGGCGGCGGCGGCGGTGGAGGAGGAGGATGATGGCCTTGCTGCCGCCGACGCCGCCGCCGCTGCTGCCGCCGTCGGTTCAGATCCTGATGTGTACGGCGGCTATGGCGGCGGCGACGGCGGCGCGGCGGGGGAAGACGAAGCGACGGCGGCGGCAGCGGCGACGTGGGCAGGGGCTGAAGCAGCGCTACGGCCGATCGGAACCGATGACGTTGGCGGCGCCGACGGCGCTGCGAATGACGTGGGCGGCGGCAGCGCCGACGACAGCAGCGGCGGCGAAGACGCTCGCCAGTCGGCTCCGTTCGCTCGTCGGTCGTATCCACTGAGTGCACGGCAACCGCCAACGTTGCCTCCGCATGCATTGGACGAGCAGCAGCAGCGGCAGCCAAGGGAGCAAGGCGATGAAGGCGGCAATGGCGGCGAGGGCGCAGGGGCGCGACTGCCCATGTGCTTCGCGTACAATCAGCGATTCGGTCCACACGAGGATGGACATGATGAGGGGGAGCAAGGTGAAGGGCGGGGTGAACCGGAGGAGGATGACCGAATGGATCAGGGCGAGGAGCAGGAGCCGGAGCAGCAGGAAGAGGAAGAGGAGGCAGAGGAGGAAGAGGAGCAGCAGTACAGGCGGCATCAGCAGCCGCGATCAGCGCAGGAGTCCCGATTCCAGGAACCCGACATGGGTCGTGATCCGGCGATGCTACAGACCCGGCAACGGGTGCTGCCGCTACTGCCGCCGCCATCGCCACGGCAGCAGCAGCAGCAGCAGCGACAACAGCAACCGTACCAACGGCCGCTGCCCACTCGGCGTCCACCAGGGGACGGCCAGCAGTACCAACCGCAGCAGCAGCACCAACAACAACACCGTTATGGACAACAGCAGCAACGAGAACAGCAGCAGCAGGGTTGGCCCCAACCGTCGCCTCTGCTGCCTTTGCCGCGGCTAGGGCGCCAACAGCAGCAGCAGCCCCAACAGCAGCAGCAGGCACCCCGCCAGCAACGGCCACGCAACCCGTACCAGCCCGTACCTCTGCATCGTTCAGATCTCCCAGGGCCCTCGTCTTACGAGCAACGAGATCTCCAGGACCGTTATCATGCCGTACATGGAGCGAACGGCCGGCAAGTCGGCCTTGAGCGGGGCGGGGAGGAAGACGTGGAACGGCGGGGTGACAAGCGGCGAAGGCTCCATGCAATGCAAGGTACTGCCGCGGCTAGGGGCGGTGCTCAAGCCGTGCAACAGCGGCAGCAGGATGACTCCGGCAGGGCTGGTGACCCATGGGTCACCTCGGCCAGCCGGCAGCTGCAGCAGCCGAGGATTGCAACAGCCGCAGCAGCAGCGCAGCCACGTCTGAGAGCGCTTGCGGCTGCAGCAGCAGTAGCTGCAGAAGAAGATGAAATGGACGCGGAGGTGGCGCCCGTCGGCATGGGTAGCAGCAACAGTCCGAGCGACGTCGACCCATGCCGCTCGCCGCAGGCGCAGTGTCCCATGGGTCAGTCCGCCGGCGGCGCAGGCGCATCTCCGATGCCCATTCGAGCGGCGCTTCCACCATCGCCCCAGCCCATGCAGCTGCCGCCCATGCCGCCGGGTCTCACCCTTCCTCATGCGGCGACGACGACGGTTCACACAGCGACGGCGGCGGCGGCGGCGGTTGCTGCCCCCTTCGGCGCCGCTCGGAGTCCTGTCGTACAACAGCAGCCTCCAT